TGTTTATTTCTTTAGCAATTTCAATGGGGTTTAATTCAAAGTCTTGGGGTTCTTTAATATGCTGAATCTAATTGGGTATTTATTATTTGGATTTTGGGTCTGTTTTTGTATTGATCCATATTAAGTTTCAAAGGGTCCAAAATCAAGCTTTGTTTGATTTCATCAAAAATTGAATTATTAGTGTTCTTTGATATGCTGAATCTAATCTTGAATTATAGATTTGTAATTGTGGGGCCTGTTTTCAAATTGGTCAACATTAAGGTCCAAAGGGTTCAAAATTAAACTTTGTTTGATTTAAAAAAAAAAAATTAAAGGTTGGGGTTCTTTGATATGCTGAATCTAAGCATGTATTTAGATTTTTGATTTTGGGCACAGTATTCAAGTTGGTCCAAATTGGGGTCCAAAATTGAACTTTGTTTGATTTCATCAGAAATTGAATTATTGGTGTTCTTTGATATGCCCAATCCAACAGTGTTTTATGTTTTTGATTTTGGACTTGGTTTTCAATGTTAAAAAGGATTTGCATACTCAGTTTAAGGTGGTACCAAACACCTTGACTAAAATTAATTTGGCTCATTTAATTTACATAAAATTTTGACAAAATATTTACATTGACCCTTTGACAAAAACATAAAAATTTCCAAAAACTTGAACCACACACTTTATCGGAAACATTTCATTGGATATATAGCAGTTTGACAAACACTAATTTGATCATTGAGAAGCTTTATATTTCCTTAACAATCGAATGTGATTAAAATGTTCAGCTGATTTTTAAAGAGTTATCTCCCTGTAGTGTTATGTACCACCTTAAGTAAAAATACTGTATGAATCAATAAATTGTACCAGAAGTCCATTACTAGACGAAGTGTGGAAGCTGTTCTATATAGTAAGGCGATCACGATGTCCCCATTATCAGTGGAAAGCCCCTTAGGTGGTCCTCCCAAATCTCCATTTATTACTATGGAATCATGGGTACAAATATTATCATCATACAGATAGCTGTTAATTAGTCTCCTTGAGTGTTTGATTAATTATCAGTTTGTTGTAAATGAAGTGAGCCGAATTAGTGCGGTGGTTTCTTATTGCCAGTTATTTAACTTCATTTTAATTCAACATTTAGAAAATGATATAACATTTTATAAACGAATACATTGGTACCATTTTTCTTCGCGAAAAGGCAAATGAGAACTATAAAATCTGCCGTGTCGGACTAAAAATGTATCGTCTATTTAAAGATATAGTTGTTAATTTTTGTCAAAATATAGTCATAATTGCCTCATTTTTTAAATAGAACGTTGTGTTGACGAATTATGTCTCGGTTACTTACGGCATCAAGGAAGCTATATACAGTGATGAATAAGCAAAAGACAGGGTTTTTTGGAAAGTTTGCTATAGCTTGCTATAGCAATATACTTTCCTAAGGCATCGGCCTCAAACCAGAAGTTGGACAGACTATTTTACTATAGGATGTGTGTTCTACTCCTAGATAATGTAGTACTAGTGATTGAATACTAATTCTAGGAAATTGCTTTTGAAATTTTAAGTTACTTCTATTTTGATTAGCTTACAGCTTGAATAAAAATTGCCCTGAATGTTCACCGACAATTCAAATGAATTCAACTTCATTTTGAAAATGGCTATCACAAAGACTACTTCGCGGATCTGCGCTGTGCGGAAATGAAAATCAATACACATCTACACGAGACAGAAGTTTCTACTTTATGCTTTTATCGGTATTCCCCAGACATGTGATAGATCCATATATGTGTACCTCCCGACGGAAATAAAATAATCCCGGTTTCAGGGGTTTCCTCCCGTCCTCTGCTTGAAGAGAAAATAAATACCGTGTTTAAAATATTTCATGAATGAACATTTTTCAACGCTATTTTTACTACGATTTTTCCAAATGTTTATTATAGACGTAAAAGCCAGAATGTATCGAAATTAACCTGGTATCTCATCTCGGCCCATAACAAACTCGGACTATGCAATATAGATACAATGAATAAGCGTTGATTCTTGAAAAAGAAACCATGAGCCGAGAGGGTGAATGGTTTGTTTTTCATGAATCAACGTTATCCATTGTATCTTTAACTAAACTATTATGTTGATGTCTTTTCAAAATTAAAGCCTTTTCTTAATTAGAAGGTATTGTAAGTGAGTTAAAATAACCATGGTATCATGTTCAACAATGCATTACTAAATATAAGATCACAACTAATTGGTTAGAAAAATACAGATATAACATAACACGTCTGTCTTAAATTATCAGGCATCTGAATATTATCAGTGTTTACAAAATATGGAAATGGGGAATGTGTCAAAGAGACAACAACCTGACCAAAGAGCATATATATAAAGTATATATAATAAGTATGTTACCGAAATTTCTAGCAAGAAGCCTAATTCTAGGCACATCACGATTTACTCGCATAGGAATTTGCGAATAAGCATTTGTAAAATTATGTGGTAAAACAGATGAAATCTTACTATATTTATAAAACAGAAATGGACAAATTGAATGATATCATTTTAGTTTCAAATATGTGAAATAGCCAATAATAATCCAAAAATAAACTATAAAACTCACTATTACAATGTATTACAAAAATATCCACAATTACATACAAAATAAGAAAAAAACAGAAAAACTAAAGAATAGGAATAACAAAGAGAATACAGGGATTCGAACCTAAACAAACAAGTCCCTACCTTTAACTTGACTCTTTAACTCATTGATCTTAACCATGCTAACATTGCGGCTACCAACTTATAATATACGATTGCCTATTATGTATATATAAAGGTACAAGCCCTGTGTGTCCGTTGTACTGATGTATATCATATTTTCATTTATATATATAAAATAGACATTTAAATTGTAACCAATTGGTAGCCGAGAGGTTTCGTTGATATGTTGATGTCAGTCACACATAACAGATTTCAAGGACGGGTTCGATCCCCAGTGAAGGCATATAAAAATTACAAAAATTAAAGGTAAGTTTTTAAATTAATTCCATTAGTGAACAGAAATCAGTAAATTAGCTATTCAAACTTAATGAAATTAGGCACACAAAGGAAACAATTGAATATAATTTGGTGAATCCATTTCAGCGACAGATTTAGAAAGCCTTGATTCTAGAAAAAGAATCCATGGTAAATGAATACGCTGACGTCACGACAATGGTTTAAAACAAACTCGGCTTATTACAAAATCGGACTATAACAAAATTCATATATACAATTTGTTATTAAGTCTCCCAAACAAAGTTTGGAGACTTATTGTTTTTACTCAGTTCTTATTATTTTTCTTCTTGGGGTCTTGTTATGGATAATTCAATGGGCCTACAGAAGGGAGGGATTTACTAAAGAACCCTATGGTATTTTATTTTTTTAAATTTTCAAATGACTATAACTTGAAAACAGTAAGTGATAAACACATGCGGTCTTCAGTAATGATCACAGGACAATAAAACAAATCAAATAAAATATAGGTTGAGTCCCTGGGGTCACCCCCTTTCAATTTCAGAATGGGCTTTTATCTTGTAAACAGTAGAGATCCCCACACCTAAACCATATATATTCATGTATGAGATAATAAAACAAATCAAATGAAATATAGTGGGAGTGGCAAATATATCATGCATATCCCATCAAAGAGTTGTGGCAAGTGTTATATTTAACATCAGAGATTGTAACATTCATCCTGAATACGCGAGGTACTGGATTTAAAGTCCCTAATCTAATCTGACACGATGCGGCTGCTATTAATGTATACATCCCACAATTGTAAGAAAGGGTTTTACTGTTGGAACCGGACAATTTCAGGGATTACTTAATTTCTTTACTTAACCCTTGAGATTGATATAGTATCTGAACAAATTGAACTACAGCTATAGCATGTATAGGTTTATAAAGTAAGACTTCGTCATATTTCTGTATGAAGTACACTTACGTAAAGAATATATATTTATTACTCATTTGTTTATAAATATCGTCGTCGCAGCTTGTCCTACAATTTTAACCTATAAAATTTATTCGTTGAACGCACGTGTTGTGAACGGCATTTTTTTACATGTATTTTAACGGATAAATGTAACAATATCTGACTGAAATGATAACCTTTGTTCGTCCACACCATCATCCAGGGTAGTTTTACCGTCAAGATCTTAGTTACGCAGGATTGAAGATATTCGAAATTGAAGGAAGGGTATACAATTAAATTTCCACTCTTTTTTTTTCAAAATTGCCGGAGGGTACAATTTGTTAATTTTGCTAAAAATGGTTATATCTGCAGAATTCCCGTGTAACTTTAAAAAAAACTTATTTCTTGAATTATGTAATTCATAACATATATTCTTAAAATAAATATAATAGAATGTTTATTCCTATTAAACTCATTCCTAATCAGATTACTTGTACGGTATATATAGATACACAATTCTCCGACCTAATTTTGCCAACTTTTTAATAGCAATCATTTTACAATTAACTCTAAAACCAAAGTTTATTGTATTAAGAATAGAGCTTTTTTATTCTGTCTGACAATTTTTCTACGGTTATAATTGTAGTTTTTAAATTGATAAATTATACAAACATATTTATCATTTAATATTAAAACCATCATAATGACTTATGACACTGATATAATATGCTAGGATCTGCTTTTCATTAACATGTCGATGGTCAAACATTATTTTCAAATGTGTGCTAATTAAGTTATACGGTGTTTTGCATAAATTATCTCTACCCAGAATGCATCTCAAAAAATTTGGCCATTGATGTTTGTTACTATTAATAGCAATCTCACTCAAATCCCGTTTCAATCACAGTTGGAAGTACAGGGACAACGTCATCTCCTTACTATATAGCGGGTTGCACACTTCGTCTAGTAATGGACTTCTGATGGTACCAATAGAAAAATTGCAAGTTATTTGACATTAGTTCTGAAAAGAAGGGAATACATGCTGATAAAACTATTTTTAATATTTTTTCAGGATGCACTTCAGCACCAACTCTTCCTACATTGACATCAGAAGTGACTTGTAACCTAGGTGACAGCTGTACAAGTATAAAGTGTTGTGTGACCTCTGTCAAACTTGGTAGGACTTTCACAATTGACCTTGACCTTGATGTATGTAACCAAACATTTATGGTTGGAGTAGACAGATTGACCAGGACTGTAGCACTGGCTAGTTTTGTATTTAGTCAGGAAGATGTCTTCTCCTTTGATGGCCTTATAAATGTCAAGTAAATAACCAGATATTTATTTTAGTTCTGATATGAGATTTTCATGACTTTGGAATGTAATTCTGACTAATTCACATGCGAATGATTTATGAAGGCTTTTAGATAACCTAAACAATCCATTGAAGATTTGCACTTGGTTCACTTGTATGTCAAAAATATGAAAACCCAAACTTGATTGATTTAACTCGAGTAAAGAATATGCAAAGAAATGTAAGGGTAAAGAACAATAATACAGAAATCCAAGAACACTTCTGTAAAACAAGAAAGGTCAACACATGACCTTCTACAATTGAAAAATACCAATGACTTTGTGTTTGGTTTTTTACAAGGTACAAGATAGATGACTTCCAAAGTGATAACCAGTACATGATAAACCTTGATATTGACATCTGCTACCGTGCCAACCAACCTTCTTGTACTGTACAGCTGCAGATCCTTCATGATGCCCGACTAACAAAGGAAACATGTACTGTAGATACTGGATTTGCTATTCCAAGTGAGTATTCCTTTAATTTTTAGTGGATGATGGTTCATGTCAAGACTTACAAAAGACATGTTCTTTATACTCAGGCGATGTACATACCTGCCAATTTTTCAATATCACCATGGGGGATTTTAAGTGCAAGAGGACCATATGCTCCTCTTGTATTGTCATAAGTTGTTTTAATCAAATACTATATTGTTTGAATGAGTACGTACTTGCTAAAAATACTCTTTTAACCCATTTGAATGCCTGTTTTGAGGTGTTGTTTATATAATAAATTGGGATAGTAGGTATGTCTAGATGTGCTGCTAATCTAAGCAAGCCATTTTGTGATTATGTACCATGATTCTACATATCCTTCATAATGCCCATTTCACGAAAAACCATTTTAATCTTGTACTAACTTTAATGTTTGTGGGTGAGTAAGCTTTGTTTACACATCAATAAACTCTTTTCAAAATAATCTTTATTACTATGATAAATGTGAACAATTGTTTTTATATGACAGTGAATTTTTTATCTCCATAGGTTGTTATATTTTCGGATAACTTTCATGCATTCTCTATCCATCATCTTAATTTGATAACTTTAGTCTACACTGGAAATATAGAAAATGTGGAACATTGACACTGGAAATATAGAAAACGTGAAACATTGAAGACAAAGGAAATTTTGTAGAAATTAGATTTGTACCTACAGGGCATCAATCAAGTCTCATGTCTACCAATATCCATATGTCAATAAAGCTTCATAAAATTCTCCATGATCACCTTGTCACATAACCTACAGCCATTAACCTTCTCCTGTATATTCTTTCACTTAAAATCTTCTGATTAATTGATAAACTTTGTTTCCAGATTTTTCCTTGGCAAATTGGTTGACATCACAAGGTATTTCACCAAGTATATCTGTGATACCAAGCTACATTGTGGATTTACTGACAGAGGACCTTGGTATCAATGGATATTTGAAGGCTCCTTCATGTGTAATGGCGTCGTCTGGATGGGACACTTCCGGTAACTTTGATTTATTTTATTTTTATAGATGAATAGTATTTGTTATGGTTTGATATACAAGATTGAAAAAAGTCTTTTGAGCATCATTTGTAAGAAAATATACTGTTGAAATTAAAGAAAATGCAAAAGTGATCTTCAGCACATCACAATATGCAAAAGTATTATACAAAACCATAATTTAAAATACTTATGTATGCTAGAAATGTATTTAAATATGTCAGCTGAAAATTAGTTTAATTTGATGAAAGATGACAATGATAACAAATTTATCCCTCTCTGATCTTTTAAGGTTTTTATTGAATAAACACATTTTTTTTGTCAATTTACTTGATATGAGTTGTTCATACTTTTACAGCTTGTCCAGAAACAGTTTCTTTGACAACGCTTCCATCTTATACATCATGCCAACTGCCATCTTACTGTACTGGTGTGCAATGTTGTACAGAGATTGGAATTCTGGGAAGGTCCTGGCAGACGTTTGTTCTGGTAGATACCTGTAAATACCGTGTCAGTATAGGGATAGAGAACCAGATGGTTAACATCACTCTGTTTGAATTTGTACAGGGAACCTGGGCAACTGTTACCTTGGGAAATGTTTTACGATTAGGGTATATAGATTAATTATTAATGATTAAAACTTTAATTGCTAATTGTTTTCTGTTTAGCCTAAGATGATTTTCACAGATATGAGTCTTAAGGTGTGCTGTTTCCTATTCTAGTGGCAATTTCAACAATTTGTTAATGTTTTGATAATGTTACACATATGAAACATTTTAAAACAGTGTTAACAGTTTAATGATCGATAATAAAAATATTTTATCTATATCCCTGTTTGATAAAGAAATGTGTACATTATGTAAAATAAGGAGATGTGGTATGATTGCCAATGAGACAACTATCCAACAGAGTCTAAATGAAAGGGATTGAAGCAACTATAGTATATATAGTTGCATGTGCTGCCTTTAGCAGTAGGGAAAACCCATAACATGTAGTCAGCTATTGAAGGCATGAAGTTCAAGGGGGAAAAAGTGTTTGTATATAAAAAATAAGGAGATGTAGTATGATTGCCAATGAGACAACTCTCAACAAGAGTCCAAATGACTCAGACATTAACAACTATAGGTCACCGTAAAACAATTCAAACGAGAAAACTAACAGCCTGATTTATGTACAAAATAATGAACAAAAAACAAATATGATATACAGCAACAAACGATAACCACTGAATTACAGGCTCCTGACTTTTATATCCATTTACACTGTGTGTCTGCAACTCCTTCTATATCTGAACTTGTTACAATAGATAACAGGTATTTGTTGGGTATCAAAAAGTAAAATAACAACAATACCAAACTCCAAGGGAAATTCAAAACAGAAAGTCCTTTATAAAATGACAAAATCAAAAGCTCAAACACATCTAACGAATGGAAAACAACTGTCATATTCCTGACTTGGTACATGAAGTCAATTTCAGGTTCATAAAAATGCATAAAATTGTTCCAGGACAAACAAACCAAAGTCCAATTTAATCATTTCTCTGCTAATTTAAACAGTTGATTACTTTTATTTGTTGACACGTTTTTATTTAACACTTTTGCCAAAAAATCTATTGTGAATTTCTTGATAGTTCATAGCCTACTAGGAAACAATTATATTTTTTATAGATACATGGCCAAGGAGATAACTGCTGAAAATGTATATCAGTTTACAGTTAATGTCAGTATCTGTTTTGAGAGTTCTGGTGACTGTCATTATGAATATACAGTGTTTGACAATACAAAGATCCCTATACCACCTTGTAACTGGACAGACACAGATTATAATGTCCCAGGTCAGTACTCATCACTCTAATGTCAGATTCTTTTTTTAAATAGATCATGAAATACAAGTATCTGTTTCAAGATTGATGGTGAAATGTCAGTAACTGATTTGGTAAAATTATAGATTACACGTCTATTCTTGTATCTAAAGATCTAAGACTGAAAACATACTGCTAGTGAGTTGAGACACAAACATATTGTGTAGGTCCACCAATTTTTGGTAGTGACCGTCAAACATATGTTGTCAATTTAAGTCATTCTTCCTCATAACTCTGTTCGAGCAGTTTGTGTAAGGAACACACCACTGTTAAGTCTGTATAGTGTGAACATGCACTAGTGTAACATATCAATTTAGATATGTAATCACCATCCAATGAGGCAGAGGAAATGTTACTGCTGAGAAATAGGAAGTTGACAATTTGAAAGTTGAAATCATATATGTCAGTATTTGTTTCCAGTTTTTCAGTAACCCTCACTAAAACTTGCAAGTTGTTTGACATCAATAATATCACCTTTTGACTCGCCTGACACTCAAGTAAATACATCTCCCTGTTAGTGATGGGCTGTATTTAGAGAGAGATTATGACTTCTACGCCTGCTTCAGTAGCTGTCATGGGATATCTTAAATTGTATATGTTTTGCTTTTGAAAATTTCAGGTTTCCAGCTTTCCAACTGGTTGAATGAATTTGGCTACCCAGACACTGTACCATTATCAGACCTGGCAGCTACACAGCTGATGGAACATCTTGGTCTCTCTGCATATGTTAACCCGACACAGTGTGATAGGTCAAGTACTCTATACATACCAGGCATAAACGGATGGAAATCAGGTCAGACTTATGTAGTCATGTTATTCCATTTATCGGACTAGAACTCAAAAATGCTTTAACCAATTTTCATTAAACTTTGCTGAATTGTTTATACCTGTTGACGTAAGCTCCCCTTAGATTTTTATGAATTTTAGATTTTCTGTTTCTGAGTTATTGGATTTTATTTATAAAAAAAAGGGGGATTTTCAGTTTTCAACAATAACACAAAAATGCTTTAATCATTTTTCATTAAACTTTGGTGACTGGTATATATTTATCAAAATAAGCTCCCTTTAGTTTTTTTCTGATTTGACATTGAGGAGTTATGGAACTTTATTCGTTGAAAAAGCGACGGGCGTATCATGCGCTCTTGGCGCAGCTCTTTATTTTTTTTTATACTAACACTAGTTTTCATTTGCATATCATGATTTATCAATGAATTAATGATATATTAGTTATCATAATTGTTTTTTTTTTTTTAGGTTGTACCTCTGTAACTCCTACCACCACCTTGGGTAATGATGTTTCCTGCTACCTTTATGACTCATGTACTGGTGTCATCTGCTGTCTAAATTCAACAAGACTGGATAGGACGTTTAACTCCTACCTCAAACTGGATCCCTGTACACAGAAATTGATGATTGGAGTAGAAAAGTACCAGTTTGAATTTTCTCTATTTGATTTCCAGTTTGATGTGGATCAAATATTCCATTTAGATAAAGTTCTACATATATTGTAAGTTCTATTTTTCAGATGTGGCCATTTTGACTTTACTAATAACCTTATGAGTTGTTTGTGTTATATTTGCAACAAAGTTCACAGGTGTCTGGTGAACTTACTGTAAAATGCAATCCATCAGATAACAAGGCAAGTGCTTGATTGTTTTAAAATGTTCACTCTGCCATATATGTGATACTTTTATTTCAATATACTTTTTTTGAAATTATTTCAGTTTTTTATTTTTTTATATGAGATGCGTCAGATAGAAATCAACCTTATGCAAGTGCACATACAAATGTACATGTATAAGGCTTTGGTTGATTTTAGAACATTAAAAAATATGGAATAAAAGATGAATGTTGGTCTGTTCTTATAACAACTCAATTTGCTAACAGTTACATACTTTCCGTAGAGATTTTTTAAACTGGAAATAGGTTAATAGATGTTCATTTGCATAAGGTCGATTTCTATTTGACTCAGCTTTTATAATAAAAAAAAATGAATAGCATTCTATGAACCTTACAAGAGGGATCAAATAACACACTTTTAAGTTTAAAATTATTCATATATACTTACTTCCCACCTACAATAGTAGTCATGGTTTTTTTTTCCAGATACAAGGTAAAGGATTTGCCTGGGGACCGAGCCTATTTAGTGGACATGACACTTTTATTCTGTTTGAATGATCCTTCACCATGTGATGTTAATGTTACCATCTTTGACAAAACAAAATTACCCAAGAATGATTGTCCATGGTCTACTGGATTCCAACAAACTGGTAAGTAATCTTTGATGAAATTATTAGTAACTCTCGTGGACTCACAATTATCCTAAGAAGTGTTGCTTGACTATGGCTAACGATGTATCAAGATCTCTAGATGTCTAATTTAGATCTGTTTATGTTGTTGGGTTTATGCCCCATTGCTGTTTACTATATATTCATTTATTTTTTATTTCTTATTCAAAAATAATTATAAAAATGTTGTATGAATTATGTATTTCTTGATTAATAAGAAATAAATGAAAATAAGTCCCTTAGGTAATAGATTTCTCATACTTCTTTTGTAGACTGGTCCCTAAATGACTGGTACACTGACAATGGTTTTACCAACAACACAGACCTATCAGCAGACGCCATAGCTAAGCTGATGGAAGCTCTTGGACTGACAGAGTACATGTTAGATACATCATGTTATAGGACAGATTCTTCTGTTTATGCTCTAGCTTATCAAGGATGGAGCTCTGGTAAATAACTGTACCATTATAAAGTGCTTGTCATGAAATATAAGTTCCTTCATGGTAGAAGTTCCAAATGGAAAAAATGCTATGTAATATTATTTCCCACTGGAACAAATCTTACAGTATTTCTTCCTAAAGGAATAAATGGTATAGAATATTTTTCCAACAGGAACAGATATTATGGCATTGTTTAAAACAAATTTTCCTGGGGAACTTTTGTTAAGCGGAACAAATATACCTTGATATGCTCACAGTATGGTTGTTAATGGCATATTGTATCAGTGTCTAGTATTGGCTTTTAACTAACCAATTTTGCTAGATCTTTAGGCCATAATACCAGTACAAAGGAGAGGCAAGAGATACCAAAGGGATATTCAAAGGCATATTCGAAAATAAGCTTACAATGCCATAGCAAAAAACAAGACATAAACAAAAGACAAACAACAGTATGTAAAATGTAAAATAGCAAAAATACCCAACTCCTAGGAAAATTCAAAAAGGAAAGTCCCTTATCAAATGGCAAAATTAAAAGCTCAATCAAATCAAACGAATGGAAAACAACTGTCATGTTCCTGACTTGGTACAGGCATTTCCTTATGTAGTAAATGGTGGATTAAAGCTCTCACTTGTATGACAGTCGCATAAAATTCAAAACACAACATAGAAAACTAAAGACTGAGCAACATTAACCCCATCTAAAAAGGGGGTGGATCTCAGGTGCTCAGGGAGGGTAAGCAGATCCTGCTGCACTCTTGGCACCTGTCATTCAAATCATTCAAAGGCAACAATAGTGTATCAAGAATTTAAATGTTCAAAGAAGAAGGAATTCTCTATTGGCTTGTATGCAGCCTTTTGCAAAACCACGAAATCAAATATCCACGATAATATGACGATTTTTCCCCAATCCACAAAAACTAGTACCCACAAAAAATAAATGAATCCACAGTATAAAACAATTTTGATTTCTTCTCGTCACATCAACATTTCTTTACATTGTAGGATGTTTTACTCCTGTAACTTTGGCTTCGTTGGATGATAGCACTATAACCTGTAACCTTGACAGCTCATGTAGGGCTATAGATTGCTGCTTGGATGTCCCTGTCATCAAGAAGTCTGTTCACATCTTTATGAATTTGGACACCTGTAATTACCAGCTTAGAGTTGGAATTGAGAAACTACAGTTTAATGTAACACTAAGGGACTATCAGTTTGGTGAATGGACCATTGTTGATTTGAATGGTGTCTTCAGAATGAAGCAAGTATTACTGACTTTTGATTCCGGAGTATACTGTAAATTCATTTTTATTAATGTGAATAATGCGACTGCGTGACTATCGCAATAATAAGAACTTGCATTCTGATGTCTGTTACATATATCCGTATGCAGATTTTCATGATATTGCAATAATTAATCTCGCATTTTTGTCCATTCTTGAAAAATCTCAATAATAAATGCACGCAATAATTTCTGAATTTACAGTATAATTTTTTATATAAAAGAAGAAAAATCAAGCATACAATCAGTGCAATTTGGAGTAAAATTAACTGTTTTATGTTTTCTACACACAACAAAATCGTAGGAAAACAGTAAATTTTTTCTCCAAGTTGTAAGCTCGATTACACTTCTTTTAGTTAATCTTACTTAAGGTAACAGGTACGTAAATCGCTTGTCCAGCGATTTTTTTAAGAAATTGTATACACGTAGAACTTTTTAAAATACAAAGAAAAATCGAAAAATTTAAGTGGGTAACCGATCTACTTTCAAAGTTACAGTCATTTGAAAATGTTAGGAAAACACCATAAAGTACATAGACATAACGTCAAATTTACGCCAAAAATGAGAAATTTCAAGCTTAATTTAATCGGCAGTTAAAACCATTCCTACGATTTTTCTATAAAAATTAAATGTTTTTGTGATAGTATTTTCCTTTCTATTGATATATAATTTTCCTATGGTTACCGAACCCCCTTTTTATATATCAGCCGTTGAAAGGGTGTTGCCGACGGGAAAAGATAGTTGCATGACGTCGCCGAAAAAGATTACGTAACGTCAAATCTCCATCAACAGAATCAAAATCAAAATAGAAATATTGTCACACAAAGACAACGAACGCTTTATAAACGTGTCTCTTTGATTATAATTTGTTCCTCTTAACTAATGCGCTATAGCGCCTATGGAATATTTATCCTGTCTGAAAAATGTATTATTTACCGATTATTATTTTTTTTACGGATTATATGAGACCCTAAACATGTATAGCTTATTTCTTCAATCAGTGTGGGGTTTACGTCAATGAAAAAAAAAATTCCCTTGAATTTGACAGTTGTTGGAAATTAATCCTCCATTTCATTGCAGTAAAAAAAAATTCTGGGTCATAAACATATATCTTGGGTGCTTCTAAGCGCCATTATATTTTTATTTGGTGTTTCAATAGAATATTTTGAAAACTTGAGGTTACATGGTTACTAACGCTGGTACACGGGTAAAAAAGAGGTGAACATTTGATTGGTTAACTTCCAGTGATGGTTATTTTCTTATATGCAATGAAATGTTATGTGAAATTTTTTCTATGGTACTGGACAGGATAAAACTTTACTCATGCCAAGTATTACTTTATTTGAAACAAAGATAAATTCTACACAATTTTTTTGAAAAGTGCAAATTTAACGAAGACTAATAGGGGAAAATCAATGGTGATATTACACCTAAAGGGTAATTTTTGAGCAGTGGATTTGTAATTTTTCCTTCGCGTATTTTCATGCTTTAAACTCATTATTCACAATGTTCATTTCAAATTGACTAAAAAGCAACGTGAAAACTTTTTTTTTATAATTTTTGTTCATTTTGAAAGACCATTTTACGTCCGTGCACAAGGTCCCACCCGGCCCATTTCGATTCGCATTCAATTTTCTTTTCCTTTTCTCTTGCTTACCCTTCTGATGTAATTCCGCAAATTTCATGTCACGCAGCAATTTAAAACTCTTGTCCAATATTTTTATTAAAAATTATTTGCTTGTTAATCCTTTATTTTTCACACTCGGTACTAGCACTTTCCACTTCTATTTATAGACCATATTGCGGACGTGAAAGAAAGCACTGTAAACAACGGTTTTTTGTTTGTATAAACTTCCAAATGTTTATACTTATGCGAGAAAGTGATTATATAACACGAATATCAAATCAAGAATAATATCATTATTAAGCATAGAACAGTGTATTTCCTCTTTTTTGTCGAGAATTGAATATCTCTTAGTGTTGACAGTTGTTTTGAGAAACGAATATATTTCTTTGTATGCAACTGTAAGTGTAAGTCTTCGACTATAGGCTATTTGCTATGGAATTTCAATAAATAAAATAAAAATATTATAGTTTGAGCTTAATTTGTTATTGTGTGTATATACAAGTGTTTGTAATATTCTTACCCATACTACATTTTGTATTCACGTCCCATATCAACATTCCCTTTTTTGAAGTCTCTGATCAGTGCCGTTTACCAGTGTTTATTAAGTTTGTGTAGGGACAGCTGCCACAAGGTATATACAAAATACTTCCGAGACCGTATTTTTGTTCTTTTAAACAGTTGTTTAGATACAATGGTGCATAGCAGTTCTTGCAAGCTTTAAGTTGGCCAGCTAGTAACCCAACTCAACCACTCTTCGACCATCACGCCATGCCAAATTACTTTCATTTTCTTGGGAGGGAAGCAATGTTTCACTCGGACAAAACATTTCATTTCCAATTATACATTTTTTGTTATATTTTGATGAGAAGCATTTAATACTTTTCAACCGAATTGACCATTTTTCCGACGAAGCGGAATACCTTCCGACATCTTGAAAATATTTTTCTGGTGTAAGGGAGATAACTCTCATAACAACGAACGCAAATTTTCCCGTTTTCCGCTAGAGGCGTTCATTTACGTACCTCTCACCTTAACCACGCACCAGAACATCTTACCAAAGAGTAGGTAACCTGTCAAAAAATTATATACTGTGGTTTCGTTTTTTTTCGTGGGTATCAATTTTCGTGGATTGAGAGTATGTTGCATTTTCGTGGATATTGAATTTCGTGGTTTTGCCTAAGTCTGCATACAAACCAATAGAAAATTTGTAAATTGTTGAACATTTAAAACGAATAATAATGAATCCACAGTACTCCAAAGTCAAACATCGGTAATGTAAAAAAAGTCTATTTGAAATCAAAATGGTGTTATTATTATTCGTAGGATACCAATTTTCGTTGATTTTGTGGATATATATGAACCACAAATTTAATTGTTCGTCAATGAAGAAGGAATTCTCTATTGGCTTATATGAAGCCTTTTGCAAAACCATGAAATCAAATATCCATGAAAATAAGATTTTTCTCCAATCCATGAAAATTGGTACCCACGAAAGTTTTCTCAATTGAATTGTTTTACATTTGTGATTTTGGGACTTTTTATGGCTGACTATGCTGTATGGGCTTTGCTCATTGTTGAAGGCTGTATGTTGACCTATAGCTGTTAATTTCTGTGTCATTTAGTCTCTTGTAGAGAGTTGTCTCATTGGCGATCATACCACATCTTTTTTATATTAAACAAATTTCCTCAAATGGTTGGTTTTATTCCAATATTGGGTTTTAAAAATGAGAATAAATGTTGAACACACAACACAGCAAATGACCTCAAGTGCCCCCTGCCGTCAGTTCCATAGACTGCTTAATAAGAGAGCTTAATGATTTCACTTGCTGGCTATTAGTTGGATTTAGAATATATTTTATTTTATTGTCAGAGAAATCTTTGTATTGGATTATTAAATTATTAAAAAAGACATTTCTTAAATCATTTATTTTACAAAATAAAAATAAATAGGATTTATCATCCAGGACTTTGCACCTGTTGCATAGTCTTTGAGGGTGTGGCAAATATTTTTTGATATCCTCCAGTTTCAATGGTGAGGGAATGATCACTAATTCTAAATCTACATATAAGTTTTCTTGTATCAAGATTAGGGTATGTCAAAAAAAATGTTTGTTTATATTGAGTTTTTATATGTTTAAACAATATGAGTTACTATTTTGATCAAGAGATCATATTTTATTGTCATATAATAAACTTGCACATAAAAAGAACACGACCGTGCAAGACCCTCATGGGTAGTCAAGGTCATTAAAAACCCCCTTGTCATATAAAAATAAGAAGATGTGGTACAATTGCCAAAGAGACAACTCTTCACCAGGGACCAAATGACATAGAAGTTAACAACTATAGGTCATCGTACATAATCACTAATTACTCAGATATTACGCTGATGGTTTGAAATACTGGTGTAACATGAGGATTTTTATTTCATTTCAATGTAGTTTTTTTGAGGTACTTTTAAACAGATTCTTGAACTGATGTTTTTTTTTATTCCAGCTTTATAATCCATGATTTGTATGCAGAAAATGAATACTTAATCTCTTTGAACATCAGTGTATGCTTTGAACAGAACAGCTGCCAACTGGTTTATGATATCTTTAACAATGTTAGGCTGCCGCGACCTACTTGTGATTGGAATAAACAATTTCAGATTTCTGGTAAGTCAAGATATATGTTTAAATTCATGGCCTTCTTTCCATTCTCACACAGTAAATTGTGAGATTACTACTTGTTGTTTTGCAATTGTTGATCAACTATATTAAATTTGGAGATTAATTAATGCGATTTCAGGAACTGTTAAATTACATACAAATGATACAATCATTACTGTAAATTCAGAAATTATTGCGATGTTTTTATTATTGCGAAAAATGCAACAGGGTTATAATCGCAATAATTTAAACTCACATTTTGAAATTTTTTATATGAATTAAATAGGATTTTTCTCAATATCGCAAAAATTAAAATCGCATTTTAGTCTAAAATGACAAAATCGCAATAATAAATGCACGCAATAATTTCTGAATTTACAGTATTCATAATGTGAGTTCATATTAGTACAACACTAGTCCTATTGCATTTTTGCATGATGAAAAATTTGAATATAAATCACATTCCAGATAAAAATTTAATTAGTGATTTAATGTTGGGACATATTTGAGGTATTAAAGGATATTTTGTAGGAAAGACAACTTGTTTAACTCTGTATGTGTTATTACCTCCACATATCTTATATTTAAAGGTACCTTTTTGTTTCTTTATCTATGACTTCTGATAATTTGTCCTTTTGAAAATAGATGAATATCCAAGAAATTGATTAAAAATTTTGTTGCAAGAAATGTGGGAACCCTCGTTTACTTTTAATTATAAAGATTGTTCTTTGGTATGTAAACTTTTCTTTCAGACTTCTCTATATCTGAATACAAGAAGATGCTGAATGTTACAGTTATGGCTGACCACCACGTGACAGAGTTACTGGAGAAATTGGGTATTGCTGAATTCATGAATCCAGTACCTTGTGACAGAAACTCAGCTAGGTTCAACTCCTCAATGGAATGGGTGAATGGTAAGTGTTGATTGGGTAATATGAAGGTCATGTGAATGATTAATTGTTGCTTTTCTGCTAAGCATTACTTTTTTAGCTCCTCCTCTGAAACTACATAGACAAATTCAACCAAACTTGGCCACAATCATTATTGGGGTATCTAGTTAAAAAAAATGTGTCCGATGACCCCGCCTGCCAACCAACATGGCCAACATGGCTAAAAATAGAACATAGGGGTAAAATGCAGTTTTTGGCTTATATCTCTGAAACTAAAGCATTTAGAGCAAGTCTGATGTCGGGTAAAAATGTTCATCAGGTTTAGATCTATCTGCCTTAAAATTTTCAGACAAATCAGACAACCCGTTGTTGGGTTGCTGCCCCTGAATTGGAACATTACATTATGTTAAAAAATAACCAATGGGAATGTAAAAGGAGATTCAGGGTATATGTCAGTGAGACAGCAACCCAATAACAAAAAAAGAGCAAAAGACATTTTATCACTGGTCTTATCTCGATGTAAGCTCCATTGGTTATGGTGAAATGATTAACTGTAGATGTCTTGGGCTTTAAGTTTAAATTTACTGACCCCATATATATCATATTAAGTCACTAGCTCACTGTGTAATGACTATCTTAACATGTGGCATTTAGACTAATGTTCTATCAAAGTGATCAAGTCTTCAATATAAAGAACCTACTTCAAATGGTCTATACAAAAACAAATGCCAACAGTAACAACTTGTTAACTTTTAATGTGTTTTCTGCATTTATTTCAGTCGTTCATCATCAATTCCTTGATCTGTTGTGTGGGTGAAACGTTTCAGATTTTCCTCAACGCAGTGTTGTGTTTATAAAGGAATGTAAAACCACTACTAACCGTGTACTAAAGTAAACCATGCTTACTAACCCAATATGAAAAATACATGGTCGCTTTTAACCAATGATATTCCTAGAAATATATAGGAGGTAAGATAAGAATGAATCTACAGTAGATGTTTGTTATATGCATTCATATCACATTCCCTTATTTTTCTTTTAAATGTATTGATATTTTTATAGATTGTACAGAAACAATTTCTGCCTTGAGAAAGCTAGACAACACCACCACGTGTCACCTCCTGTCTTCCTGTACTGGTATAGAATGCTGTTCTACCTCTGAAAGTCTTGGACTGACATTAAACTCCTATGTGTACTTGGACCCATGTAACTATAGATTATCTATTGGGATAGAACAGATACAACTGAACTATTCACTGGTGGATTATAACTGGGGAGAGTGGATACATTACTCTCTATATGATGTCTATAATCTCAAGTAGGAACCATATTTGAATAACTATCTCTATATGATGTCTATATTTCAAATAGGAACAATATTTGAATAAGACTCTCTGTATGATGTCTATAATCTGAAATATGAATCATAGATAAAAAGTATAGTATGATAGGCAATAAGTTAAAGAGAAAGTCTGGTAAGGGATAGTTTTGGCCTAAAATTCCAAGTACACCTGATGAATGATTTTTTATATTTTTTTAAACACTTAAGTGTCTACTTCAACCGATTCTGTTAGTTTAATGTAAATGATTTGAACTCATTTGGTCATACATAGTAAATAAAGCACATGAGTTACTCATGAAAAAATACTTTTTTCTACGTTAATTTAGAGATTTAATTTTTAAATCAGAATTGATGACTGTCTTTGATGAAAAGTAAATAAATAATGAATACACTTGTCAGGTAACTTTAATGTTTTAAAGATATTATTCTGAGCTTGTGATCACTGTCAGGTGTGAATTAAAACCACAGGTAAAAAGTGATTAGCGATCATTAGCCAATGTTTCCCGGAGGCATTGATATAGATATTAGGAGGGCCCTCAGGATTATCAAACTACTGTAGTGGCAGTTTTATTACAGGAAAGGGATTATAAACAAAAACAAGTGATCACAAGTGCAAAATGGCGATTACGAAATCCGATTTCAAACATTGAGTCAATGAAATGACCGAAATTACTTCTGTAAAAAAATAAAATTTGCCCTAAATCCCAATTACTCGTTTAGGACAAATAGTTTCATCTTAGGACATGACTGGCAAATATGACCGTTTCCGGACCCTTGTTTTTACCGCAAAGTATCTGTTTATTTGGTCAACATGTTTCACCTATAGATAAGCGTCATCAGGACAATGTTAAATATAAAATTTACAGTGAGGTGCATTTCTTGCGGTTGAGCGGTTAACCGGAAGTGTAAGTATAATTACGGTAGTTATGGTGACGTTATACAAATAGAAAATGAAAGTGAAAGTGAAAAGACATAGAGAATACTTACACTTCCGGTTAACCGCTCAACCGCAAGAAATGCACCTCTCTGTAAATTTTATATGTAACATTGTCCTGATGACGCCTATCTATAGGTGAAATATGTCGACCAAATAAACAGATACTTTGCGGTAAAAACTTGAGTGTTGTTGTCTTTATTGTCGACATGTTTTTTATAGGTTAAAAAAAACCGTACTAATTACGATACTGACACTAAATATTAAACTGAACAGTCTGATTATTATAATGTTATTACAGTTTATATGTAAAGGATCTAGTTGGAAAATCTGACAAGTAAGAAAATATGGTATTTCTTAATCTGCATGACCAAAACTTATTTACTCCACACTTAAAAATACTATTGAAAATTCATTATCTGTTAATACATAATTTTACTCTTAGCTGCTCATATCCATATAAGGTTACACTTGCCAACAAATGACCGATGAAACTTGCTTCAATGAAAAAATAAGAAGATGTGGTATGATTTCACATGAGACAAGTATCCACCACAGACCAAAAGACATACATATAAAAAACAATGACTTGTAGAACTTTAAGATGTTTTCTCATATACTAAATATGTTGTCAGTTATTAACTTTATATAGAAACTCTTCAATATAAAAACAAGAAGATATGGTATGATTGCCAATGAGAGAACTCTCCACAAGAGACCAAATAACACAGAAATTAACAACTATAGGTCACTGTGCTGCCTTCAACAATGAGTAAAACCCATACCAATGTATTTTTGAGAGATAACAGCACAATCATGTATTTTGATTGATCAGATAATCAACTTTCTGTGGTATTTTGAAATGTGGTGTGATAAATTATTTTTCTTGTTGTTTCGTCTATTATAATGATACTTATCTGTAACTGCATGAGAATGTGTTATATTTGTTTCTTTTGATAATGTCAGTGAAAGTACACTTTTTATGCATGCAGAAAATGTATTGACCATAATTGCATGGCAGCTTTTACTTTTTCTCTTACATGTTGTCTTTATTGAAAACACTTTCAGGCTCTTGCATGCATAAACTTATCTGTATAAAACATAGAGGAATAAATGTATTTGTTTATACATTTGGGGCATGTCATGAACAGAATCTAAGAAAAAAAATATTCATAAATTTTATTGAATTCTAGAGCAAGGGCCAGTTAGATATTGAATAGGTGGGATTTGATTGTTGATTGTTAGAAGTAAACAAGGGAAGAAACTTTTGACTGCTTACCTTATTAACGTGAAATAGAAAAAAATTGAAGAGAACAAGAGTAATTTGTGTCTAAGCAAAAGTATTGAAATTTTTTTACTAACTGTAAATGAAATCTTGTGCAATTTTCTTTGCTGTGTTAAGTTCCCTGAAAAGATTATACCTAGGACAGCTTCTCAGTAAATTATTATTTACCTAAAAACAATCAAATTGCTCAATTAAATTTTTAGAGAAAGTAATTTTTTCAACCAATACTGATGTCTGGTTGGTTATGACAAGTTTTATACTTTTAAATGTTGCATATAATGTGAAAACAATTGTAGATGTTCTTTGGTTTCAAAAAAAGATTTTATTATATTTTCCAGTTTTGTAGCTGAAGATCTGATTGGAGATGAACAGTATGTTATCAGTTTAAACATATCTATATGTCTGGAATCATCAGGGCCATGTGAGGTGGCACTGGTCATCTTTGAAAATGACCGACTGTCTAAACCTACATGTGACTGGAATACAGACTTTATAATACCAGGTAATTGAAATTGAAATGGAAATGCACATTTATGGTTAAAAATACGTAATGACACTAAAACCCAAATAAGTAACATAATGTTTTACTACATATATTATATCTTGCTGAAAACTGTATTGTATATTCTCTGTCGTTTGATTTCATACACTAATGCTATTTTATTGTGAATATTTGTCAAATGTATATATTCTAAGAGCTGCATAGCTTACAAATAAAGTTAGTGTTATATTAAAGATTTTTCTCTGTCACTGAAACCATGCTTAGATAACTATCTGCAAAGTTTGCTTCTACTTATTTGAAATCTTAAAAATATAAAGACTGAATATCCATGTACAATATTTGTATTGTTTTACAGGATTTTCTCTGAACACCTACCTACTTGGTAAAGGTTTGGATCCTGATACAACCACACAGTTATCAATCCACCTGGCTTCCCAACTCCTCCATGACATAGGTGTGGCTCCTGCACTACTGGATACACAATGTGATAGAGAGAGTCTGCCGTACCATCCCTCTTCTGATGAGATTGGTTGGAATAAAGGTAACAATAGAAAATGTGTATTCATCCTTTGTAAATCTTTTTCCATGGGATAATTATCAATTATGAACTTTTGACTAGGTCAATCCGTTATATATGGACCTGTTCAGATTATATTGACCGAGGACAAGCAGGTCCATATATAACGTATTGACTGAGGGAAAGTCCGTTATTTATTACATATGTCCAGTACATAGTGTAATATGGAAATGATCCTCTATGTTCTTTCTGTGTATTTTACATTGTATTTTGCAAGATTTTTAATATTGACGGTCAATATATATATAAATAGAAACATAAGCATTTTATGGGTTTTTAATATTGACCGTCAATATATTAATAAATAGAAACATAGCGCCCATATACTTATATCCTTTGCAACACATGATCGTAATAACCAATGAAAAAAGTAGAATACTTCATCATATTTAATATCTCCATAAATTACACCCACATTATTAGCAGTGGTTTGCTAAGGTACTGTTGATTCATTTATTTTTGTGGATTGAGGGAATCTTATATTTTCACGGTTATTTTATTTTATGGATTTGCCTAAGTCTGTATACAAGCCATCAGATAATGTGTTCTCCGTTTAACTTTTAAATGTGTGGTCTACCTATACCAACTTAATCCATGAAAATTTGTATTTCCACGAATTATAATGAACCCACATTACAATCTATAGTGAACTTTTCATTTAAACCAGTTCCTGGTAGCTTTATAATCTCTTTAGATGAAGATATGTTTTGCTCTTGTCAGGGTTTGCAATATGATATTTCTATATCTCTTGTTCTCACACTCTATACTTAAAAACAGAGAATTTTTTACTCATACATGGCTAAAAAAGTAGAAATCTTCAAATATGGCTATAAATCTTTACTGAAAGATATTAAAAACAGCATTTCAGGACAAATTCTCTTAACTGTGTTTTTTTAGGTTGTACACAACAGGTGACATTACCAAACCTGCCTAATGAAACAAACTGTCACTTTTATGACAGCTGTACTGGTTTATCGTGTTGTACAGACATTGACCTGATCCAACATTCTATCACATGGGTACTCAGGATTGAGACATGTCAATACCAGATGTTTGTTGGAATCGAGAAGATTGAGATCGGCATTAGTTTGCAGGACTACAACTTTGGTCAGAAGGACTATTTTAAATTACATGGAGCGTTTGGTATAGAGTAAGTTTTCACTTTTTTTAAACAGAAATATTTGAACAAATATATTGACGACAAACTCAATATGAATAAATGGAGATGTGAGGTAAACTTATATGAAGACATACAAAATTCATAGCAAACACTATGAGGCACTTTGAACAATCATAAGCTGAAAAAAGACAAAAGCCCCAAAATTTTTTTTTTTAAATTGTCTACAAATATGTTACACTAAAAAAAGGATTGGGCATCACAAACTCCCTTAAAAATTGATCTGTTAATGTAAGGTCCTCTAGAAAAAGAGGGGCGAAAGATACCAGAGGGACGTTCAAACTCATAAGTCGAAAATAAATTGACAACGCCATGACTAAAAAAGAAAAAGAACAACATGCAAACAATAGTACACAAACCACAACATAGAAAACAAAAGACTGAACAACATGAACCCCAACAAAAACCAGGGGTGATCTCAGGTGCTCGGAAGGGTAAGCAGATCCTGCTCCACATGTGGCATCCGTCGTGTTACTCATGTTAGTACCAACACAGTAATAAGTCTTATTTGGTAGGTCATATTCGGGAATAGGGGACGGGATTGTTGTTGCAACATTAGAAACATATCCGCCATCATCTGAAACGGATATTCCATAACGGCCAACCATCTCGTGATGGCGTCTGTAAAGTCTCAAAAAAGGCCATCAGATACCAAATCAATCTGAGACTAAGAATTTATAGACTGGTGTAACTTATTATTTCTATTGTAGATACATGGTAGAAGATCTGGCCCAGACATACAGAGTGAACATCAACCTGACAGTTTGTATGGAGTCCAGTCAGCCTTGTGGTATTATTGTTCCTGTCCTCACTGATACAGTTCTACCCAAGCCTGTGTGTAATTGGAAAACAGGGTTTATAGATCCAGGTAAAGAACATGTATAAGATACTTGGGATTATTTATTTTTATTGTCACCAATAATTGTGGATTGAGGAAAAAATTGTATTTTTTTATATTAGATTTTGTAGTTTTGCCAAAGATTACATGTAAGCCTACAAAATTTGTACTTCATTGAGCATTTAAATCCATGGTTCACCAGTACCCAAGAAATCCACGAAAATTGGTAATCCACGAGTAATAATGAATTCACAGTATGAATAACTGAAAAGATCCTCACAGTTCCACAGTTTAGCATCTTTATCAATACCGTGCAAGCTTAACCGTTTTGAAACTGAAAATTTTGTTCCAGGAAAGGATACTAGTCCAAAAACTGTTATTTACTGTCATTTACATTTAACAAATTTTTGCAATTCTGAAGCTTAAATATTTGAATAATGTACCAAATAATAAACTAACAAAGATAAATGTTACTTCTGTTTTATATTAGAGTTGAATACATTACATTATAGCCTAGAATCTTTTTCTCCACAGACTTTTCCTACAGTGCTTTCCTGACAGAGAATGATATAGGAGTGAATGATACCCTGGATGCCACACAGTTGTCTATCTTGTTACATACACTAGGACTGACAGATTTCCTCCTTAACCCACAGTGTAACAGGAGTGGTGCACCATACGCTGGAGCTGTCAATGGTTGGACAAACAGTACGTAAAATAGACTGTTTTAGGGAAAACTTGTTTGCTGTATTAAATTCTAGATTAAGCTTTCTTTTTACTGTCTTCATTTTGTGGTTTTAGTGTTGTAAAGAAACAGAGCTTTTGTATGTTCCAAAAACTGAATTGAAACTTTTGGCAAAATGCATACACACTTAGTTATTTCTGGTATTAGCAATTTTAGAAACATTAAGTAACTGAAAAATGATTGATTTAAAAATATTAAATGCTGGCAGAAAATTTATATGGTTCAAATATGTGTTAAGTTTGAATTTTTAAGTTATGTCAAATAAAAGTATTAATTTAGATAATGAAAAGTCGGAAATTTTTGCAACATTTTTATTATTGTAAATATTGCGATTAGATAGTTTTCTCTAAAATAAAAACTTGTATTTTTAATTTCGATAGCATTATTGTTAATCTCTAATGTTCAACAAATTTACAGTACTCTTAAATTTACAAATCTTACAGAATATGTTGATTTTATTTCAGATTGTACTTCTGCCATGGATCCTCTTCCATCCATTGTTGGAGAGGCCAACTGCCACATAGCTAGTCATTGCACTGCAGTTTATTGCTGTGTGTATAACCCCAGGATGGCAAGGTCATTTGAAACAAGAGTGAACTTTGAACCATGTCTATTTAAGCTGACTGTTAGCATTGAAGAATTGACCTTTGACATCTTATTGTCAGATTACGTATGGACAGAACCCACTGATGTGTGGTTATTTGGATTTGTAAGAATGGAGTAAGTTTTATGTCATATATGGGTTTTATTACATAAATAAAAGCAACAGTAGTATACCACTGTTCAATAGTAATAATTCAATTAAGTGAAAACAAATCTGGGTAACAAACTAAAACCGAGGGAAACACATCAACTATAAGAGGAAAATAACGAAACATCAGAAACACTGAACTGCAACAAAAACAAAGGCCAACATACATAGAAACGGACTGTTTGATAACAACTGCCATATTCTTGACTTTGTACAGGACATTTTAAGAAAAATTGTGGGTTGAACCTGGTTTTATGGCTAGCCAAACCTTCTGCTTATATGGAAATGTTAAAAATACCGCTAAAGCCTGTCTTCTGGAAACAAAGATGACTTGATCAATATATACTCTGTTATCAGAATTAAAATAGAATTTCTTATTCACTTAAAGTGTTTTGATACTGAAACTTGAAATAACTGTGGATTCATTAATATTCATGGGATACCAGTTTTTGTTGATTTCTTGGGTATAGGTAAACCACGAATGTTAAATGATCATCAAAGGCCACATTTTCTAAAGATTTGTGTATAGAATTTGGCAAAACCACGAAATCAAAAGTCCATGAAAATTACTAGTTAATCTCAATCCACGAAAATTGGTATCCAAGAAAATATTTGAATACACATTAATGTAATTTGTTTATTTATTTGAAAATGCAGCAGGATTATTAGGCATTGGGGCTTAATTGCATTCACTTTGCCGCTCGTCCAACACATATTTCCATAACACTTTTCTCATGTACTGACAAAAGGGAAGTAACTCTTGCTCAAATTGTGTTAATCCAAATCTATCTATATGCTATGGAGGATGGTGGTTATACCAGTGTTAATGTAATGACCATTTTTTGTTTGTATTTCAGATTCACCGCTGTAGACTTGGTAGTAGAAGGTGACTACATGTTAGACTTGGTTTTACGTGTCTGTATGGAGGCTGATGCGGACACAACCGTGCTGTGTTTTATCAATATCAATATCCTGACCAAATATAGATTACCTAAGGAACAATGTGACTGGGATTTTAACTTCTTTGTCAGTGGTAAGTATATGAGTATAACTTCTTTGTCAGTGGTGAGTATAACTTCTTATTCCGTGGTGAGTATAACTTCTTTGTCAGTGGTAAGTATAACTTCTTATTTAGTGGTGAGTATAACTTCTTATTCCGTGGTGAGTATAACTTCTTTGTCAGTGGTAAGTATAACTTCTTATTTAGTGGTGAGTATTACTTCTTTGTCAGTGGTGAGTATTACTTTTTTGTCAGTGGTGAGTATTACTTCTTATTCAGTGGTGAGTATTACTTTTTTGTCAGTGGTGAGTATTACTTCTTTGTCAGTGGTGAGTATTACTTCTTATTCAGTGGTGAGTATTACTTCTTTGTCAGTGGTGAGTATAACTTTTTTGTCAATGGTGAGTATAACTTCTTTTTTAGCTCACCTGGCCCAAAGGGAGCTTTTCTCATCACTTGGCGTCCGTCGTCCGTTAACTTTTACAAAAAGCTTCTCCTCTGAAACTACTTGGCCAAATTTAACCAAACTTGGCCACAATCATTATTGGGGTATCTTGTTTAAAAAAATGTGTCCGGCCAACCAACCAAGATGGCCGCCATGGCTAAAAATAGAACATAGGGGTAAAATGTAGATTTTGGCTTACATCTCTGAAACCAAAGCATTTAGAGCAAATCTGACATGGGGTAAAATTGTTTATCAGGTCAAGATCTATGTGCCCTGAAATTTTCAGATGAATCGGACAACCTGTTGTTGGGTTGCTGCCCCTGAATTGGTAATTTTAAGGAAATTTTGCCGTTTTTGGTTATTATCTTGAATATTATTATAGATATAGATAAACTGTAAGCAGCAATAATGTTCAGCAAAGTAAGATCTACAAATAAGTCAACTTGACCAAAATGGTCAGTTGACCCCTTAAGGAGTTATTGCCCTTTATAGTCAATTTGTAACCATTTTTCTTAAATTGTTGTAATCTTTTACAAATATCTTCTCCTCTGAAACTACTAAGACAAATTTAACCAAACTTGTCCACAATCATCATTAGGGTTTCTAGTTTAAAAAATGTGTCCGATGACCCCGCCTGCTAACCAAGATGGCCGACATGGCTAAAAAATAGTACATAGAGTAAAATGCAGTTTTTGGCTCATATCTCTGAAACCAAAGCATTTAGAGCAAATCTGACGAGGATAAAATTGTTCATTAGGTCAAGGTCTATCTGCACTGAAATTTTCAGACCAATCAGGCAACACGTTGTTGGGTAGCTCAGTGATATTGTTGTCTTTTTTCAAAACTACCTCTACCGTTTTTTATTGGGAAAAATGCATATTTTTTATTGAAATTGGGAAATTTGTATACCTTTAAAAGGTTTGTATAGTCCGCGGTTTTATTCTCCAAAATTGACCCTGACAGCAGGGGTGCGGACTATAGAGTACAATAAGCAAGAAATAAGAGAGAAAATTTCAATTTCGCAATGTGGTTTGTTTAAGTTCCGCCATGTTTGTTATTGACATTGTAGAGGGCGCTCTTATCATTTTTCAAACCAATAATTTTACTCAATCCATATTAATAAGTTATTTTTATTCAATATCAAATTAATACTGACAAATTTAAAATTTAAATGCTTCATTACAAAATTCTTGTTTCTTTTCAATGCATTGCTAAATATAAACTGGTATCTGCTTGAATGAAATCGTACAAAAAAAGTAAAAAAAGATAACCGTAAACCAGCTTACGATGTGTAAACTACAAAACGTAATCGGTTAATATTCGTTCCATTTTGGTGTTTCCTATTGACAAATATGTTTTGTATTAGCTTAAGACCCTTCAAACATTAATGTGATAGATATATTAAACACTGTTTTACATAAGGAGGGAACTGTTTTACTTTCAAAGTCGTATTATAGTGATATCTATTATGTACGGATTTCGACTCTCACCTGGTTTTTTCATTTTTACACGTGCTTTTCAAACTTCCGGTTTAAACATACACAAGTTTCTAAATTGTTTTTTGTGTGATTTAGACTTATTTTAACCAGCGTGAAGTGTTTTAGAATCATTTACAAGCAGTTTCAGCTTCTGTTTGGTGATGGAAAATAGGTTTTTCCAAGAAAATACCGCAAACGACCACACACGATTTAAAATTACGGGAGTTTCATTAGACCTTTTCTAACAGTTACAAAAAGTTTTTTTACCTGAACTTTCGTGGGGAGAAGGGGGTGCGGACTATGTACCAGTGCAAACTATACAAGCTGATTATGATATTTTATTCTAAACACATTTCCGATTTTTTGCCGACCTTTGCAGTCTTTTTTGCACTGTTTTTTCATGTATATTTTGGTTGTCAGACATTTTCAACCTGAAAGGTACTTTTCTAAGAGGGGAAAGAAACAGAAGCAATGATGGTACTTAATGCATTGAAAACCACATGTGTTACAAACACCATGATGATCTGATCAGAAAAAACGGATCTCAAAAGTGCTTTCTAATATCAAAATAATAACATGAATACGATATTTACAATCATTACTACCAATGCCATCACTGTTTGGGATAAATGTAAAACTTTTTGGGAGGAATTTTAAGCCATTTTTTTTAGTAATTGGGAATTTTCTCTAGGGGAAAAAGCCGAATTTCGGCTGTAATTTGAGGCAAACAATATCACTGTAGCTGCCCCTGAATTGGTAATTTTAAGAAAATTTTGCAGCTTTTGGTTATTATCTTGAATATTATTATAGATGGAGATAAATTGTAAACAGCAATAATGTACAGCAAAGTAAGATCTACAAATAAGTCAACATGACCAAAATTGTCAATTGACCCCTTAAGGAGTTATTGCCCTTTATAGTCAATTTTTTACAATTTTCATAAATTTTGTAAATTTTTGTAAATTTTTACAAAATATTTTCCACTGTAACTACTGGGCCAAGTTCATTATAGATAGAGATAATTGTAAGCAGCAAGAATGTTCAGTAAAGTAAGATCTACAAACACATCACTATCACCAAAACACAATTTTGTCATGAATCCATCTGTGTCCTTTGTTTAATATGCACATAGACCAAGGTGAGCGACACAGGCTCTTTAGAGCCTCTAGTTGTCAGTGGTGAGTATAACTTCTTTTTTGTCAGTGGTGAGTATAACTTCTTTTTTGTCACTGGTGAGTTTTACTTCTTTGTCAGTGGTGAGTATAACTTCTTTGTCAGTGGTGAGTATAACTTCTTTTTTTGTCACTGGTGAGTATTACTTCTTTGTCAATGGTGGGTATAACTTCATTTGTCAGTGGTGAGTATTACTTCTTTGTCAGTGGTGAGTATAAGTTCTTTTTCAGTGGTGAGTATAAGTTCTTTGTCAATTGTGAGAATAACTTCTTTATCAGTGGTGAGTATTACTTCTTATTCAGTGGTGAGTATTACTTCTTTGTCAGTGGTGAGTATAACTTCTTTGTCTGTGGTGAGTATAACTTCTTTTTTGTCAGTGGTGAGTATAACTTCTTTTTTGTCTTTGGTGAGTATTGAAATTGGTGGTGTAAAATGATGTTGATTCTAAGTGTGTGTATAACAAAAATTCAAAATATAGTAAAAACTCAGTATACATATTTTATGTTTGCCCTACCTAATCATTGGAAAAAAACTCAACTCCCCTTAAAAACAAAGTGCAGAAAACGTAAATAAATTTTTACATTCTTTTTATTTAGGTTTTTCACTCAACAGCTGGTTAGGCAACAATAACTACACAAGAACAGAACCATTACCTTTGACAGTATCTGCTAAACTGCTGTCTCACTTAAATGTTCAGTCGTATTTAAATCACCCGACCTGTCAGCAGGGAGGAAGTCTATATACTACAGCGGGTACTAGATGGAATAATGGTAAGTAAATATAAATCATGTGACCTCTCAGCAAAGGAAATACTCTATACAGGGCTGGACATTAAAGTTCATGCTAAAACTTCATTGAAATTAATGAAATCTTTGACTTTAGATAAGAAGGGGTTGTGGCGAGCCCTTTAATACCCTTATTACAATAGTAAGGTATGAACCTCCTTATGGATAGGAGAGAGTGTCAGCAGATTTCAGATCTTATTTTTTTTAATTAATCTACAGCCTGATTAATTAATGGAGAAAATAATTTCTGAATTTACATACAGTAAGAATGTTGCAGATTAAACTATTCCAGTTCAACCTTTCAGTTGTCATTGTTGAGTCACTTATTCCTTGCATTGTTGTCTTTGTTAAAGTTTTTGGTAAAAAGATATATCTTTCGATAATTATATTTAAAGATGGGGTTTTTATATTAAATTATTCTTGTATGAGCATTGACTTTTGATTAGGTTATGTTGTCAGTTGCATCAGACATTTTGATATAACATAACATGATTGTTTTTGTTACAGTTTGTGGTAAAGAGATAGATCTTCCAATGTTGTCAGAAGATATTGTCTGTAGAGTGAATGATTCTTGTACAACTATCGACTGCTGTGTTAATGTGCCTCTACTGAATCAGACCTTCAACTTTTACCTTGACATTGACCCATGTTATCAGGAGGTCACCGTGGGGATAGAAAAGATGTTAACAACACAAAAGCTACTGGACGGCTACACATTTGGATCTTTCCATAATTTTACCTTACTTGGTGTTGGTAGGATGGAGTAAGTCTGTTTTTTATTGGTAGTTAAAAATTTAGACGACAAACCAATAACAAAAACAAAATTAGACATTGAGCGACTGCAATGTTTTTATGAAATACCGTTCCTGTCTTTCTGATTTTCATTTGAGGTAGTCGTAAGTTTTCAAGTAACATATATCAATCTTATATTTAAATTTAATACATGATTCCACAAATTATCAGATAGTCAATGAAGAGGTGTTGTCTGCTTTGAACATTTAAGTCTGTGCTCATTTTGTTTTTGATGGAATGACATTTTGGGGAATGAAAATGGAATGTGAGGCCGAGAAATTTTAGAATTAAGAAAGCAAATAAATAAAGTATATTTTTTATACCAAAGAGTATATATTTTGTTTCAGGTACAGCATAGAAGATTTTCCAGGTGAAGGTGTTTATGTGATAAACCTGAAAATTAAGGTCTGTTTTGAGACTGTAGGACCCTGTGAAATAGACGAAGTCATATTGGACGATTTAACATTTCCTAAGAAGACATGTACCTGGGATGAAACTTATAATATTCAAGGTATCATTATATGTTTTTTCTAAAAAAAAGTAGACACACCATTGTTATACCTAAATTTTGACTGAATTTAGTACTTTCCATTCATGCTTGTATTGGAGTTGCAAAACAGATACTTGAGGACTTATAAAATCATTGTAAAAAGGAAAAAAATTACACAAACCCTTTAACGCATTTTCATAATATAAAGATTTTTTTTAAACTTTTCATCGTATGTTTTGTTCATAAGCTCTCCTGGCTCTCTGTACATGTGCTATTGACATCCTTTGTCTGTAAATTTTGTTGATTGGATACTCATTTGATGTTGGTTAAGTGACAGACATAGTGGCGATGTTGTAAAGGTACATAGTTATTGAAACACTGTGAAAAATCACATTTTACTTCTTTTCTGATACTTGGCAAACTTAAAAAAAACATGGTAAGAGTGATATATTGGAGGTTATTACACAAATTATCCTCATTTGATTCTGATTGGATGAAAACATTGCTATCAGAGGCAGTTTTGATGATGCAGGTTGGTCAATTTTCAAAACTATTCTACTTAGCTCATTTTCTGTATTAGTGGGTAAACACAGATATTAAGTTTGAAATAGTAATATTGGAAAACATGATCTTTTTTTCAGATTTTGCACTGAACCAATGGTTACGAGTAAGATCTGAGTCAACAGATGACATACTACCAGTATATTACATAGCAGAGATTCTACAACAGCTAGATCTGACCAGTTACCTACAAGAAACACCATGTAGCAGGGACAATGTACCATATGTTAATGCTACAAATGGATGGAATAGTGGTAAATATCAAATGTTTTTTTTACAAGTCCTTAATGATCATTCTGTCTGGTTGATGGTTTGCCCATTCATCGGGACTTTTTAAACTCCTATTTTGTTGGTGACTGGGATTCAGTGAAATATTCAGACCGTCTTACGTACACTTTGAACATAGAATTTTGGCCTAAATATTCTACTCCAACAGTTTGTCTTTGCAACTCCTCTGAAACTAAACAACAGAATTTTATGAAACTTTTTAGATAATAAGGACGTTCTATGTAGATGTGCATATTGACCGGAAATTATGATTCATTTTTTTCTAGGAATTGAGCCACTTTGAACATAGAATTTTGGCCTAAATATTCTACTGCAACAGTTTGTCTTTGCAACTCCTCTGAGACTTAACAACAGAATTTTATGAAACTTTGTAGATAATAGGGAAATATTATGTAGATGTGCATATCCACAAGAAATTTTTATCATTTGACTTTAGTAGGAATTTTGAATCTTTTAAATTAGGAATCTAGTAAGATTTTGTTTGCCCAGTGACAATGTAGGGTATGTGAGCGTGCTCACAAAGGTTCTTTAATTTTATTTGAATTATTTAATAAGTGATCAATAGCAAAACAATCACTCTGCCATTTTTACAGCGGGGGCATTAAGGTTTGCCCTTGTCAATCTGTACGTACATGCTGACATTGGTTTCCATTCTCTAACTTTAGTTTGCCTCAACCAAATATTATGAAACTTATACACAATGCTTTTTACCACAAAACTCTGATCAAAATCAAATTTGGGTGGCATCACTTTTACTGTTATGTCCCTTTATAACGAATATGCAAAGGGGGCATCATCTGTGTTCCATGGCCACCTTCTACATTAATTTTTATATAACTATTACTAAAAATGGTGTTTGGTTAATAATTTGTTATCCTTTTACCATACTTACATCTATGTCTTTTAGTCTCTGGTGGATAGTTGGCAATCATACCACATTTTCTTATTTTTTACATTGTTAGAAAATCCAGTTTTTAGCAACAGGAGCAATAAAAAAGTTGTGCACTTATCTATTTTATTTATGGGATTGCATATATGAATTTTTTATTTTTTTCAGCTTGTGCAGATAATATCACATTACATTCACTGTGGTCTGACTCTCCACCGTACCCTCTGACTTGTTCCTTCAACAGTGAATGTTCTGGTGTGTCGTGTTGCATTGAATCCATGTTCATCAACAGATCATTTTATACAAACCTTGAACTGGACCCATGTGAACAGAAGCTTCATATAGGGATAGAGAAGTTACAGTTCACTGTATCCCTGCTGGACTTTGTCTTTGGTTTGTATTTAACAGTTATGATGCTACATTTCAATCAATTGTAAATTACTTGTAGCATAATTAAATGAAAGTAACAGTTAAAATGAAGCAAGAATATATTGAATGAAAAAAACGTAAAAGGTTGAAATATATATCTGTCAATACATCTATCTATCCATATATATAAATTAAGAAATAATTCTTTCATGCCATGCTATATGCTTATATATTTTTATATGGGTAGGCATTATACTTGTAAATATCTTTCTACTGACGAAAGAGAGTTGTAAAAAGTCTGCAAATATAATGGCTATCCATGTTAAAATGAGTATAGAGATAGGCATGAAAGTATTGTTTCAGTTCCAACAGTGAAATTTATAAATTTTGTAGTTCAAAGCAGACCTATAAGACACCTTCAAAAAGCAGCCATTAAGAGTTGATGAAGCCAAAACATAGAAAATAAACCATTTCAGAATTAAAAAATAAACAAATCCATGTAAATATAAAAAAGAAGATGTGGTATGACTGCCAATGAGACAACTCTCCACAAGAGACCAAATGACACAGAAATTAACAACTATAGGTCACCGTACGGCCTTCAACAATGAGCAAAGCCCATACCGCACAGTCAGCTATAAAAGGCCCCGAAATGACAATGTAAAACAATTCAAACGAGAAAACTAACGGCCTAATTTATGTACAAAAAATGAACGAAAAACAAATATGTAACACATAAACAAATGACAATCACTGAATAACAGGCTCCTGACTTTGGACAGGCACATACATACAGAATGTGGTGGGGTTAAAGATGTTAGCGGGATCCCAACCCTCCCCCCTAACCATTAGATTTTTAAAGCTAGTTAACTTCTATGCGTACCCAAAGTATGCCTCCAAACAACCCTCATCAGGTCTCTGAAAACAATGCTGCTAATAACCTAGTGTTCTAGCCCAATGGATTATACCCACCTTATTATATAAGGCTTCAATAATCAATATCTTTCTTGTGCCATCTTTCAGAGAATGGCTGTGAGTATAATCTACTTGAAAATGCAAGTAATTGTGGTACTTTCTATGTGTTTATGTCAATGTGGCAACAAAGTAACTACATAGGTAGTATATATAATAATAAGATAAGACATCTAGGATGAAATAATAAGGTCTCTTTATGCATGGGTATTGTTAATCAGAAAATAACTGATATCTTAACAGTTATGTTTCCTTGCAGATTCTTTGATACAGATAGTATTATCAAGTTAATCAGTATTTGGATTTTGATTTGTTATTTTGTTTTTTTGTTTTTGAAAGTTCATTATATTTTTCAGATAAGGATCAAGAATTTAGCTTGAAGAAAACTATCAGAATCTTGTAAGTTAATGTAATATTTTGTAATTATGTCACAGCAGTCTGCATAGCTCAGATGAAGTGTCAAACAGCCCTGGCATGTGAATATAGCATAAGCCTGATTGAACATTTCTAATGTCAAATAAGTCCAACAAAAATACCGAACTTCAAGGAAAATTCAAAACGGAAAGTCCCTTAACAATTGGCAAATTCAAAAGCTTCAACACGTCAAACGAATGGAAATCAAATGTCATATTCTTGACTTGGTACAGTCATTTTCTTATGTCACCTGGTTTTAAAGCTATCTAAACCTCTCACTTGTAAGAAAGTCGCATAAAATTCTATTATATTGACAACAATGTGTGAACAAAACACAGACATAATAGGTAAAAATGTCAAAATAGGGGTACATCAGTCAACATTGTGTTATAATCTCAATCACTATAAAAAACAAATAAATAGATAAATAAATGAATGACAATCTATTAAAGAGTGTTTCTTTTATCCATAGCTTTATCAAGATAACATATCAAGGACTGATTTTCAAAATGTCAGTGTATGTCTCTGGTCAATATTTATGAGATTCTGATAAATTATAAATCTGAAATAGTTTATAATTACACATTTTAATTTATATCACAGGTACAACATTTATGATTTAAAGAGTGAGAATGAATATTTGATAACCTTGAAAATGGCTGTCTGCTGGGAAACGTACTTACCATGTGACTGGACTGCTACCCTGTTTGAAAATACCAGGTTACCGAAGAAGTCATGCAGTCAGAGAATGGACTATGTTACTCCAGGTTTGTATTCTGTATTGAATTGATCTGTATCCTCTATTAAAAAAACACCTGTCGGTAATCGTAGCAGCAGTAAATCTTGAAAAACAAAATTGGATCCTAAGAAATGATTTGTAGCCAAGGAGAATTTTGTGTTACTCATCAATTTGCCTTTTTGGAAACTAAAGAATTGTGGGTAATTTTATTTTTAGTTCAACCAAAGAAAATAATTCTAGGCCATAGGTATGATAACCATTGTGTAGCACGTTTTCAACCAATCACAATGTTTTGGGATACACTTGATATTTATTACCCAGAATTCATTAGATGATGAGATTCAATACAATAAATGTTCTCTATGTGAAATCTTTCTCTGTTTTATATTCTTTAAGGTCCAAGTCCCTTTTATTTAACCATCAGATTATTGCTAACAAATAGCTTTATTCTTTATCTCCTAGCTACTAAAGATGTACTATATTTTTGTCACAGATTTTTCATTGACTGATTGGGCAGCAGATAATGGAGTAGATGTAAACAACATGATAGACCTTGATGTACACAAGTTTTATGACGCAGCAGATATTGGATGGTTCTTACAGTTCCCGTCATGTCATCGTGGGAATACACCATTTGGTCCATCTATCAGTGGCTGGAATAATAGTAAGTATTAGGCATAGTAGTTCAAAGCTGATGCAAAGTTAATGGCATTTATTAACTCATGATTAATTTATATATAATATTAGTTTGGACAAGGGTGGATCCAGGACACCCACTGTGGATGATTGATTGGTTGTTGATGTTTAATGCCATATACTCTTGGCTATATGTTGGTGGTCAGTTTTTATTGGAGGAGGAAACTGAGAGAACCATGACCTTTCGCAGGAAAAGTGGAAATCTAAGTCATTGAAGGGTCAGAATATATCTCACCTGACACATGCAGGGTTTGAACCCCATCCTCAGTGTTGACAGCCTTGTGATATTGTAAATGATCTTCTTACACCACTCAGTCATTGAGGCCCATGGGGGAATTGCTCCAACCCCTATGGAAAAAAAAAATTGTGTTTTGTTGGACATTTTTCTGATGTTTTGCTTTTTGGTCCTTCTTTTTTAGAATCATGGATCCACCACTGTTAGACATTACAATTGTTGAAGTCAGACATAACTGATTTATTTTGGTTCAGGAGAATTTACACTGAACTAAATCGTTGTACCTTTTATTTGCCGTAAACTAGGGTAAACATGGTACTGATCGAAGATAAAATGCATGTCTAATTTTATAGGTATATATAAGAATTTTTTTTACAATTTTTACTCTTGCAAGCAATTGTGGATTTGACAGTCACAGATGAAGTTTTACAAGCGACAAATTATGGAGCCAATAAAACGAATATTTTAACTGTTAAATCCCAATCGACCCCAGCAATACTTTCGACACATTACTGTTATGTCTATTCTAATGTTGTATGTGTAAAATATTCAAAATAAAACATTTAAGATATTCCAAATTGTTATCTGCCATGCTGTAACTGTATATTTGTTCTGATTAATATATATTATGAATGGAACAAGATGATTGATAAAAGTTCTCCAGTGTGTAGGAAATTTTATTAGGGCATTATGGATAAATTATCATATGGTGAAAGTTTCAAATACAATCTTTTTAATGTAACAAAAGTACTTTAGAACAGATTCTATGGTGGAACTTCTATTCCGTCACAGCACTATTTTGTTGCAAATGTCTCTTTTACCATGGAAATTATGAAAGATGTTATTGCATCATACATATTTATTGAATTGATTAATTTCACAATTATTTACACTTTGTAGCATGTCCGGGTATCATAACTGACCTGAGTGATCTCCCTTCAACAACTTCCTGTTACATCTCCACTGCCTGTACTGATGTGAGATGCTGTGTTGAGATTCCAACGCTGAACAATTTTACTGTTGACTTTACGGTGTCTCTGGATGACTGTCAAAAAACACTGACTGTAACCATAGAGAAATGGACACATTCTCAGATGCTCCATAATTATACTTGGGGAACAGAAGAGTACTTCTGGGTTAGAGGTGTATACAGGATTAGGTAAGTATTAATGAGAGGGAAATTTGAATATTAAAATGTGTACACCATCAAATAGTTATAAACTATAAACTATAAACTGTAAAACATGCTTGAAATACCGCAAGAACTATGAAAAAAAACAAATTTTGGAAAATCATATTTGTTTTTGTCTAGCCTTTCGTCGCAGAAGGAGAGACATTGGTGTTGCCATTCTGGCAGCTGTGTTGTCTTAGCACTGTCAACAGTTGTTAAGTTTTCTGCTTAATTTAGTTTGATAGGAACTACTTGATCAATGATATTTTCTATATGTTGCATTACTATCAATTTTACAACAGTTTCGAGGTCCAGTGACTTACAATTAACTACTTATTTTCAATTTTACGCTTTCTGCTTAAGTTAGTTTGATAGGAACTACTAATGACAGACAATGATATATTTTTATCATTTTGATGCACTGTCCTCTATGTCATGGTCCAGCAATTTTGAATTAATTAGCGACGTTGCTGTCAATCAGATTGCCTTTTTCTGAATTTTCTGCCAACAGGTGAGACATAACTTTGTGTCAACAGTTTATTTTACTGTGGTCAACATTGAAAACTTTTACTTCTCTCTGATCTTTACCATATATAATATATTCATATAAAAAATAAGATGTGGTATGAGTGCCAATGAGATAACTATCCATCCAAGTCACAATGTGTAAAAAGTAAACAATTATAAGTCAAAGTACGGCCTTTAACATGGAGCATTGGCTCACACTGAACAGCAAGCTATAAAGGGCCCCAAAATCAATTTGCTTTCTTGATTTATATTCATGAATTGTTGTAGTAAGTATTCAAGATCATTTTTCTTCCATTTACTTTTTGAATAGAGAATAAACTTGTTGAATTTTATATTATATCTTTTATAGATTCCGAGTTTACAACTTGAATGATCAGGCCTTATTCAGACTGTATATATCCTTTGAAGCCTGTTTTGAAGCAGGAGAGCCTTGTACATCAACAATAGACATTATGAACAGCATAGAACTTCCCAAACAGGAATGTACATGGAGTACAGGCTATAGAATTTCAGGTATATTTTAAATGTTTGTGAAAGAATGAGAATACCTTGTGTAGTACAAATCAATGGATACAATTATATTAATGTGGTCTCGTATTATTCATGGGTTACCAATTTTCAAGGATTTCGTGCGTTTAGGTAAACCATGAGTTTAATTGCTAGCATTGTTTAAAACCAAAACCATCAACTCAAGTATATTTGAAAATACCATTCATGAAAATTTGTAGCCAAGAAAATAAATAATATATATTTAACATGAATGTTTATACGACTTGCAATGTTTATTTTCACTTATTTATTCGGATTCATTTAAAAAAATCTCATTTTAGATTACATTGAACTATGTATCTAAAACATCACATTTTAGATCACATTGACCTACATTTCTAAAACATCACATTTAAAATCACATTGACCTGCATTTCTCAAACATCACATTTGGGATCACATTGACCTACATTTCTAAAACATCAGATTTTTAGATCACATTGACCTACATTTCTGTTCTTTTTTGCAGACTGTCCACTCTATGTGCTAGGTGACCTAGTTTTCCTGCTTGATGAATCTATCAGTGTTGGTTCATCACATTTTAACAAGTCCTTAGAGGCCATAGCTTCAGCTGTCAACAACCTGGCCATTGGTGCTAATTTAACAAGAGTTGGCTTTGTGGTGTTTGGTGGTAATCAGACAACTAATAGAACTATATTTGACATGAATTATGACAAGGCAGCCATCTTGAATGGCATCTTGAACACAAAACATGACCCAGGAATTGCCAACACAGTTGGTGTACTCAAATATGTCTGTGATAATAAATTCATGGAAAGTGTTGGTGGACGAACAGCTGTTCAAAATTACCTGGTTGTGCTTTCGGATGGAAGGTCAGCAAATCACGAAGATATCAAAATTCAATCTGACCTCTGCAGTACAGCAGGAATAAGAATAATTGGGGTACCAATAGGAGATGCTGCAAATGATGCTTTATTAAAAGCCATTTCTTATTTTGATCCAAGTTATTATGTGAAGACAGTATATAGTGATCTAGGACCAACAATAGCAGCACTAGTAAATTCATCGGTCGACTGCAGCTCAGGTAAGGTTAAAGGTTATTTTGAAATTATATGATAAATCCACAAGTGCAAGACAAAATTAATGAAAAAATTTGTTCTGGAACCAATATTTATTTTCAATTATAAAATGATTATAGGTTTGTGATCACTCCATCACCGGAACAAATTTATTGAAATTTATATTCATAATAAAACAGAGAAACAGGGGTTAGTTTTTATGCTGATACCAATATATATTAAATGCCTAGTTTTCATGTTTTAGGATTTTTCCTGAAGTCATGGAAAACTGGTCATGGCCTGGCAGATAATGCTGTACTCAATGAATGGCAGATATCTAGTCTGATGCAGGAAAACAGAATTACAGAATATGTTGTTGCAGACCAGTGTAGTTTGACGACAGGGATGTTTAGTGGAGCTACAGAGGGTTGGGTTAATGGTTAGTAATTTTACTGCATGATAATAGATATTTTGCTTTGCATGGTGAAAGAGTATGGGAGAAACATAATTTTGACTTGCATATTTTTGAATTTTGAGAAAATGTAAGCTATAAGTATTTATGCAATTTAAAAATTTTCCTAGCATATTTTAGATAAATTTCAGTCATTTTTTTTTAAATATTTTTTTGCTGTAACTTTGTTTACAAATCAAAAAGCAGTATATCTTATTTTCGTTGACGTTTTGTTTACAAAACAAAAGCAGCACACCATATTATAACTGATTATCTTCTTTACATTACAGAATGCAGCCTTGGTGTTACGACATTGCTGATACAGAGTAACCAGCTAATCTGTCATGTTAGCGACAGATGTACGAATATAGATTGCTGTTTGTATGACACAGAAACATTCAGACATTATAATTTGTTCCTACATCTTAACCCCTGTAACTACCGACTACAGATTGGGGTGGAACTTTACAGTTTTGATGTGTCACTGCTGGACTTTGATTTTGGTAAAATTTAGCAATTGAATATATTGAAAAATTAAAAAATTAATAGATTATTGTTTTATTCATCATTCTGACATCACTGCAAATGAATACTGTAAATTCATTTATTAATGCAAGTATTTATTATTGTGAATAAATGATTACTGGTAAAAATGCATCATCTCATAGATTTGATTTCATAAATTTTGTTAAGGAAAAATCACTACTAACTTGAAAAACCTACTTAATTTTCTTCTAATGCATACCTGCCAACTTTTGAAAATTACCATGGGGGTTTTAGTGCGTGACAACAATTTCAACGGTTACAATTTTTTGCGCAGTGCCACTGTTTTGTGCTCTAGAAAAAGTGTCATATCTTTTTTTTATACGGTAAACTGATGATAAGCTTATAAGCCTTTTTCTTTTTATTTGCATGATTCTAGTACTTATATTATTGTGTAGAAAAGATGAACCTGTAGCTAAAATACCAAGATATATTTTTTTGTGTAGGGATATTAAAGTGACTGTTGACTTTTCCAATTTAAAAATATGCACAAAGAAGGAAATTCATCTGATTCCTTGTGAAAAATGAAAGATAGTACATTATACTTTAAATGATTTGGTAATTTAATTACAAGAATGACAACACTGTATGATCTGTTACAATAAGTGCAATGTCCATAAACTATTGCATCTTTGAATTTTGTCAATCAGCCATGCTTTTCTTCTTAAGCTGTGTAAGAGCCTTCTGTCATATGAAAATTCATCTGCCATGATCACGAATTGTACAATTCTGACATACAGACAAAGGAGTTCAACTATTTTAATTGGCTGATCACAATTGTCTTCCCTTGGGAAAAGTTCAAAATCGGGAACAATCAATTTTTTCTTGTAGAATGTCACAAAATCGTGTTTTAGAGCTTTCTTCATGATCACGATCGTGCAATCATGACAAAGGGTCAAAATCATGTAGTTCACGGCTAAATCGTGAAAGTTGGCAGGTATGCTAATGTCAAAGTTATTGGCATATTCTATTAAATTTGATTTACAGATTTAATTTGTCATTTCAATCTAATAACAGCAGGAGTTATATTCAGTTCATTACTATTTTGTTTCAGAAAAGAGCTATGAAGTTGACCTATCGGGTATATTCAGAATTTTGTAAGTATATAAAGTAATAAACGTTAAATTGACTCGTAAAACAACTACTACTTATTTCAATAAATAATCTCTAACCTGATGCAGGAGAACTGAATAATGGGCTGTTATTGAAGACCAATGTAGAAATCTAGAAAGTGGATTTATACTTAAATAAATCTTTGATAACTGACCACAATGTTATATTTTTTTAAATACATTTTTGGAAATTAATTCTTAAAATAAGTGATTTTAGCAAATAAACAAAATATTATGTAACCGAAGAGCATGATTCTCAATGAAAAATCACATCGTCTCCACTGGGACTCCAACCTGGGACCTCTGTGTTACTAGGCAGCACTAACCGACTAAGCTATCAAGGGAAGCAATCCTGTCACAATTCCGCCACCTCCAGAGTCATCATATCAACTTCGTACTTTATTTGGTCTCTTTAACTTTTTTTGATTCGAGCGTCACTGATGAATCTTTTGTAGACGAACAGCACAACTGGCGCAAATACAAAATTTCAATCCTGGTATCTATGATGAGTTGATCAATATGACTCCCACACACATACCCTAGCTAGAAATCCTCTCTAACTACCGTGGGTTTCTTAGTTGGGCACCAAATGTAACGGGAGAGCATGATTCTCAATGCAAAATCACATTGTCTCCACTGGGTCCTCTGTGTTACTAGGCTACTTAGTTGGGCACCAAATGTAACGGGAGAGCATGATTCTCAATGCAAAATCACATTGTCTCCACTGGGTCCTCTGTGTTACTAGGCAGGGCTCTAACCGACTGAGCTAAAGAAGTACTTTCTTAGCTCAACCGCTTACGGCTGACTTAGTATCTACTAATGAAAGGAAGCAATCCCGTCACAATTACCAATCGTGCCCCTCTTCTTACAGACTTGTTTCTTTATTATTATGAGGCTGACCTTATACAGGAACTTCTTAGGAAGAAAGATAAGAAGTTAGCAATATCCTTTAACTTTACCATCCGCTATATAGATGATGTTCTCTCACTAAATAATTCAAAATTTGGTGACTATGTTGAACGCATCTATCCCATCGAACTAGAGATAAAGGATACAACAGATACAGTTAAGTCTGCCTCAAATCTTGACTTACATCTAGAAATTGACAATGAGGGTCGCTTGAAAACAAAACTTTACGACAAAAGAGATGATTTCAGCTTTCCAATTGTGAACTTTCCATTTCTATGCAGCAACATTCAAGCAGTGCCTGTAACGGAGTATATATCTCCCAACTGATACGATATTCCTGGGCTTGTATTTCCCATCATGATTTCCTTGATAGAGGGTTGCTGCTCACAAGGAAGCTATTAAACCAAGAGTTCCAAATGGTGAAGTTGAAATCATCCCTTTGTAAAACACTAGTAATTTTTTGGGGCCCTTTATAGCTTACTGTTCGGTGTGAGCCAATGCTCCGTGTTGAAGGCCGTACCTTGTCCTATAATGGTTTACTTTTATAAATTGTAACTTGGATGGAGAGTTGTCTCATCGGTACTCATACCACATCTTCCTATATCTGTTTACGGACGCCAACACGAGTTGGTTGACCATTATGGAATAACCGTTTCACAGATGATATCTGATATGTTTCTTATGTCATAATTACAATCCACTTCCTTTTTCACCACGAATGTGACCTACCAAATTAGACTTTTTACCGGATTTGTAATAACATGAGCAACACAATGTTTGTTTTTCGATCTGTGAGTTTGACTGTCCCTCTGGTATCTTTCGCCCCTCTTTTTATATTGTGTAAATATAGTTTGTATCATGTATTTTTCCAAATGCCAGTCTTCACCAATATAATTTCATAGCACCTATGAAAAAAAACATACAACATTGGAATTATTAGAAAAATTGAAATCTGAAATTTTGGTAAAATAAAGTAAAAAACAAAATTATCGAACTCCAAGGAAAAATTCAAAACATAAGTCCCTTATCAAATGGCAAAATCAAAAACTCAAATACATCAAATGAATGTAAACAACTGTCATATTCCTGACTTGGTACAGGCATTAGGGGTACAGCAGTCAACATTATGTTATAAACTTAATCACAATGAAAACAAACAAATATATCAACAAAGAAAAACAAAAAGACATATGGACAAAGCACATAAGTAAAAATGAAAGACAAGAATACAAAAATTGACCATAGCACAATAACACAATGACAAGATGTATAAGTACCGAGCCACTCCAAAGGAATATTACCAAAAATTGACTAAACAGTAAAGGTAATAATTTACAAAGACAAATAAAAGAACACTATAACATGTATTTAAGATGATAAACAACGTCAGTACCTAGAATCTATACTTCAATACCATCATGTATTATTTGTGAAGTAGATACGGAATATTTATCAACAAGGTCTCCATATAAACATGGAATGATGCCAATTCAATAAGAATATATTATTTGTTACAGGTTTGATGTAGAGGATTTAGTGTATGAAGAGAGCTATGTTGTTAACATGGAAGTACATATCTGTTGGGACATCACTAATCCATGTAACTTAGAAGTCACTGTGTTGAAGAATGTCATCCTGCACAAACAGCCATGTAATCTCACTACTCATTTTGCTGTAGATGGTATGTTTATACTTTACACATCTATTTCTATTAATAAGTCCAGTAGTCAGCGCTTCAGTGTTGACATGAATTATCATTGATATGGCCATAATTTTCAATTAACTGTTTACAAAACTTTGACTCTTCTGAAATACTAAGGGTTTTCTAACCCAGGAATAAATTACCTTATATAGCTGTATTTGGCAAAATCTTTCAGAATTTTGGGTCCTAAGTGCTCTTCAACTTCATACTTTATTAGGCCTTTTAAACTTTATGATTCAATAGTCACAGGTGAGTCTTTTGTAGACGAAACTTGAGTCTGGCTTACAAAATTTTAATCCTGGTATCTATAATGAGTTAATTTACTACTTATTTTGCTGTATAAATTAAGTGCCAATCTGCCTAAGAATCAGGCAGTGGTGAAAACATGACAAACAAAAACCCACTCAAGTTGACATTAATTTATGTTCAAAATGTATAATGGTGCAGGAGTTTAATATTCATTTCCATTTCCTGTTCTGGTAATTCAAGATATAATTTGGTTGAAATGCACTAAAAATTAATAATTAAGGGGAGCTAACTCAGTAATTTGCTATCATTTTAACCAAAAGTTATCTAGAGATTTCTTGAATTACCAGACACGCAGAAAAGAAAGACCTACCATTTCTAACTCAGGATCAGGGTAACTTCAAATTGGGTGGTTAGGTCGATGGGTTTTTTCGATAATGTTTTGAATTTTTTCAAAATTGCATGATTCTTACAAAGACTGGCACTTAAACAAAGATCTGACATCAATGTCGATTTCTTTTAAAACAATAAAATATGACATAAGACAACCACTTATAAACCAATCAATAAAGATTATTTTACAATCAGTTTGGTTTTTCAATCAAATGAAAAAAATGATATATTATAGAACTTTTTATTTACAGACTTTTCCCTGACCAACTGGTTTACAGAGACTGGTTACACTCCATCTGTATCCCTGTCTGGAGATGCTCAACAGGACTTAATGGAGGCATTAGACATATTTAATTTCCTAAACTCTCCATACCAATGTCAGATGTCTGGTGGATGGAATGATAGTAAGTATTGTAGGCTGATTGTCTTAAATCTGTATCCCAGGCCTGTCTGGAAATATCCTAAATGATCTGATTGAAACAAGGATATGCAGAAATATCAATCCCAGCATCAAATGATTGTAACATGATTATCAAAAATGTTTCCCTGTTACAATGGATCATTAAAACACTGGTCTGGTGTTATTGTGTCATCTCCTTTTTCTTCTACAGTTTTCTATCAGACTTAAATCATGTGAAAAGCCACATTTATATAAAATCTTGCAACAATTTAGGAAATGTTTGTCTTTTGATGGTAATGTCTAATTTGATTTATAACATCAAAATAGTAGAAATTATTAAGAGCGTCTTGAATTAGCAGATAAAATTTTACTATATTTTTCATATTATCACCATGATATTTTATAATTTCCAGATGCATGTAATGGTTGTTTGTAATTCACTGCTTGTCTTTATGTATGTGGGTCTCTCCTGTCACATGCTGCAGATACTATCATAATTAAAAAACACTGTTTTTCTTTATCTAGATCTCACAACTGCGGATTCATTTATTTTCATACCAATTTTTACGGATGGAGGAAAAATTACATAACTATAGTAAATTTGTACTTCATTGAAATTTTAATTCGTGGTTAACTTTTACCCACAAAAATCCACTAAAACTGGTATCCAATGAATATTAATGAAACCACAGTACTATTTTAGGTCCGTATTGGATCTTTATGTTAATGCCTTTCTTTTATTTTAGCCTGTCCTGAGTCTGCTGAAAATTTACCTGTACTTCCAAATTCAATCAACTGCACAATAACAGAAGGCTGCACAACTGTGGAATGCTGTGTGGAATCTGTCCGACTGCAGAGATATTTCCACACTGTTTTGACCATTGACCCCTGCCACTATAACATGACAGTTGGAATAGACAGATACATGTTCAATGTCCATATTCAGGATAAACCTTGGGGTAAATTTTCTTCTTTCTTTGTGAATTTTCAACATTTGTTCCCGGCTGATTTATATACTTTTTTCATTCCGGTAAATACAAGTGGATTCTAGTTTATGCTATGAAAAGAAATGAGTAATATGTAATGAAGCTTTTAATTTTGATATTTATCAGTTAATATTGGATTTTGAATGAATTAAAATTGCATATTAAAATGGATTAGGTAAGTAATTAATTTTGCATTGTCCCAGAAATTATTATAAAACAACATATGATTATTTTCACGAGATTTCGTTTCAGATTGCTTCACATTCTTCAATTTTTGTTTCTTTCAAAAAACTAAAATCCACGAATTTGAGAACCCACGAACATGCAACTATTTCTCAAACCACGAAAATTGATACCCACGAATAAAAGTACTTGCACAGTATGACCATGATGACAGAAGGGAAGTTCTTAACATAAGGCATCTTTATATATACAAAGTAAAAAAAGTTCAAAAGACATTGATTAAAAACCTTTATATCCTCTAACCAAGTCCCTGTGTTTCTGACCCAATGACATTACAAAGGTGTAAATTTTTATAGTTTTGAAAATTATAAGGGCACCCTCAACATTTTCAATAACGAACATGGCGGAACATAAACATTGTGTAATCAGGTTTTTCTCTAATATTTCTTGCTTATTGTACTCTATTATTAGCACTCCTGCCTGGCAATATTAATTTTGAAGAGAAAAAAACGTGGACTATACAAGCCTGAATACTGTGTTGAAGGCCTTACTTTGACCTATAATGGTTTACTTTTACAAATTGTGACTTGGATGGAGAGTTGTCTCATTGGCACTCATACCACATCATCTTATATCTATATGTGAAAAATTCACATTTACATGTCGATCTAGTACCTAAATTCTTTATTATTAACATATAATTGTCCTGAATATGTATGGTCTATTTGCCCCATGACATTAAGCAGCTAACTATCAGATTCAAATTCCAGGGAAGTCATGTGATTTAAATAAAGGCAACAGTAGTATACCGCTGTTCGAAACTCATAAATCGATAGAGATAAAAACAAATCAGGGTTACAAACTAAAACTGAGGGAAACGCATCAAATATAAGAGGAGATCAACGACTCAACAAAAACACAACATTAAAAATGTAACACACACAGAAACGATCTATAATATAACAATGGCCATTTTCCTGACTTGGTACAGGACATTTTAAGAAAAAAATGGTGGGTTGAACCTGGTTTTGTGGCATGCCAAACCTCCCGCTTTTATGGCAATGTTAAATATAACATTAAAATGACAACATTGCATGACATGACTACAATACAAATAAATGGGAGAACATATAGTACAAAGAAACACACGAATAATAGCTAAGAAAAGGTACTAGGTTTAAAATTTAATACACCAGACGTGCGTCTCGTCCAAACAAGACTAACCAGTGACGCTCAGATGAAAAAAGGTTGAAAGCCAAAACAAGTACAAAGCTGAAGAGCACTGAGGACCAAAACTTCCAAAAAAGTGCGCCTAACACTGCCAGGGTTAGACTGGATTTATGCTGAGGATGAGATATACAATGGATCAATTGTTTTTATTTTTTTTCAGAAACTATCTGGAATGTATGGCTTAATGGAATCGTTAGACTGGAGTAAGTACACTCTAAAATGTTTCCTGAGAATTTTCAGTTTCTGTATAGGAGTTTGATAATCAAATTTGGAAATTCGTTTTTCACAACAGGTGGAAAGAAGCCAATTAAATATCATCAATAATCATGTTTATTTCAGTTCCAATTATGTGGTCCTTAATTATCACCCGAATTTATCATTTATATGGTCCTTCAAAATTTAGTATTGGAATCCACCATTTGAGTCATATATATGACAGTTCACCAATTCAGAATATAATGCATTCTGGGTAATATTTTCAAAAGCGTACACCAAAACATTGTGATTGGTTTAAAACTTCCTAAATAATGGAGATTACCAATAGTCCTTTACATTCTAAAAAGGAAATTTTTTGCAAAAACATAAAAATTGTAGTTCCTGACAGTTTTACCAAAGATTTTTTTAAAATATTGAATTTAAAGAAGCAATAAATTTAAGTCTGCTTCGAAAGCGCCAGAAATTGTTTAGTTTATCCTCAGTAAAACAGTTTCCCCATTTCCTTGTTTTTTTGCAGTTTGAATGTATATGATGTGTACAATGAGAGACAGTTCCTGATCAACATGAATGTTAGTATTTGCTTTGAAGATGGAGGTCCTTGTGACCTTGAAAGTATCCCTGTCCTAGAAAACTCATTACTGAACAAAGGGCATTGTAACTTCAACACTCAGTTTCCTGCAAAAGGTAAATATTGATATTTGGAAGTTGTTGTTTTTTATGTATATAGATATATATAGATGGCAATAACAATCAACTTGTAAAAAAAATATAAAAATATAGTACAGATTGATTGAAAGTGTATACACATGTTAACTTATCAAAGAGACGTGCAATCTGTAAACCCAACCCCAGCACTAAATATTAACTAGAAAATTGATAAAAATAAGATGTGGTGTGATTTCCAATAAGACAACTCTCCACCAGAGACCAAATGACATATAGAAGTTAAAATCTATAGGTCACTGTATGGCCTTTAACATTGAGCAAAACCCATACCGCATAGTAAGCTGTAAAAGGCTCCAAAATGACAAATGGAAAACAACTCAAACGAAAAACTAACGGCCTGATTTATGTTCAAAACAATAAAAGAAAAACAGATGTGATAAACAGTAACAAACAACAACCACTGAACTGCAGGCTACGGACTTGGGACAGGCACATACAGAATGTGGCAGGGTTAAACATGTTTACTGGCGCCAAACCTTCCCCATTGCATGAATTGATAAATTCTAATAACTTTTTACAGTTCCATTTTTCAAACTATCCAAGTTTGTAGATAACAATGCTTCATAATGTTTCTCCATGCTGTAATACTTTTGTGTTCTTTTCTGATTATTTTATATCCAAGTTGACAGTGCTTTATCCTGTATTTATCATACTCATACTGATTTTATTGTGTTCTTTTCAGATTTCAGCATATCTTTGTTTGCCGATGACAAAGGATTAACTCATGTTTCACCATACCCTGATTATTTTGTGGCTCAAGTCCTCAACACTCTGATGGTTTCACCATTTATGAGTGAGTCGTCATGTGACAGGGATGCCTCACCATGGACTCCACCGGGACATGATGGTTGGAAGAGAGGTATTATTCTTACTCAACAGAAAAACTGAAATAGTCTTATGCAAAATTTAAGGACCATTTATTATAAACAGATAATAATTACTAATTTTAATTGCATTTGATAAACAATTCATGTCTTTGGATTATTCTACATTTACATTGTGTCATTTCATGTGATTAGAGTTATTTTTAACCATTTTCCACTTTTTCCTTTGATATAAAATAAGGAGATGTGGTATGATTGCCTTTGAGACAAATCCAACTGACATTGGATAGAGTAAACTTAAAGGAAATAACAGCATTGCATTTAAGTATTGGCAGGCATCAGCCTATGATTTGATTGTTACAAGTAACTGTTTATCTGCTCTTTGACAGGTTAACCTAATTTGCAGCAGACTGTATATAACAGTTGTCTTCCACCAATATTAACTGGCCACCTCAAAATAGCCCATAGTGCTGAAAGTGGTGAAAAACACAAAAAAATCAATCAGTCAATCTTCTACTGATAAAGTTACAAATTACTATAGAAGACAGAAAAGTTGCAAAGTTGCATATGGTCTTATCTCATTGGCCATAGCAACAAAAACAATGATACGTGTATAAACCACTTTCATAAAATCACATGAATGAGACACAGGAGAAATATTAAGGTATATTATTGATCATATTGATATTAAGCATATTCATTTTATATTAAATTAAAATTCAATTCATTCATCCTGTTTATGACATTTGTTATTTTTTGTTAAAGTGAAAAAATGTAAACTTTCAAATTTAATGTTTATTATTTAAGAATGTGCTGCAGTAGAAAATTACTATAACCTTTATGATACTGGTTCCATTGACCTACTTAGAGGAGGAACTTGTAATGGTACCAGTTGTAACATCACAGAAACAGTCACCTCTTCGACAACAGAGACCAACTGTATTTCTATAAGCGACTGTACAGGGTTTAGATGTTGTGTTGAGGCCACACGTCTGACAAGGTCTTTTGTCTTTGGTATATATATTGATGCCTGTAATTTCACCTTGACCTTGGTGATTGAAGAACTTGAATATGTTATATATCTGGTGGATTTGAGTTTTGGTAAGTGTGTTAATTTTATGTATAAATAGAATCAATACTTTTAATCCTTATTTGATTTCAGAACCAACAAGTCTATTTGTAAGCACTGATCCAAGGAGTGAATATGTAAGGTATGCAAGGTTGTTGAATATGTCTATAGAACTATCTTACCATTTAACAACCCTTAATAGAACTCAAGGTATAACTTTTATTATGTTGACTAGTTTCTGCATAAATGTCCATCATCCAAACAGTTAACAAAAGTTTAACATGAGCCTACATATTGTGATAGGCACAATAAATGTATGACGTCATAATGTATGAATTGAAATATTACAATACCATGTCTTCATAGCTATTGACACTAGAAATGAAAGTATAATTGATGTATTATTACATTATTGTCATTGTAAAAACTTTTCTATTATTATTATTGTAAAATAATCTGTATAAGAAATGGTTGCTAGAATTGACATGAGTAATAAAACTGTTCTATGCATTAATAGCTTATTCTAGGTGATTTTTGTTGTTGGGTTTGGTTTTTTTTGTATACATTCTCTTTGTATTTTGAGAAAGAAACATTGAATTATCTTTTGCACTTCATTCTTGCTAAATTTTATCTAATGTGTTGATTGAGAATGTGTATTAAGGAAGCCAAAAATCAATCATTGAATATGTTAAATGTGAGTTTTTTTTATTTTCAGGAACCAAGAACCAGTTCTACTTGAATGGAGCTTTTAGAATTGAGTAAGTATGCAGTATATAGATTTTCTTTATTTTGAAATATGCTTAAAAGGGTATGACAAACATATTGTTTTGAATAAACTGTTTTTATGAACTATTGAAGTAAAAAATTTAACATAATATTAATGATAATTGGGTTGAATAAAGAAGGTTTGTGTTTGGACCAAGGGTTCAGAAACGGTCATATTTGCCAGTCATGATGTAATGTTTATAAATAAATACATATAACTTTGAAATTAGGCATTTCTTCTAATTAATTGTGTACTGTAGTTACATCATTGAAGATCTGGCCAGTAAAGAAATGTATGCAATTACTGCAAATCTAAGCCTGTGTTTTGAAACTACGAATTGTACTGTTGAGAGGACAGTAGCAGACGGCACAATGTTCCCTAAAGGTGTATGTGACCTTACCAAAGATTATAATATTCCAGGCAAGTTTTACAATGTTCCCTAAAGGTGTATGTGACCTAACCAAAGATAATAATATTCCAGGCAAGATTTATCTTCTAGGCTACTAAATATACAATGAAGAACTTGTTCAAACATAGTGTGACATGATCTAAATTACATAACTTTAATACTAAAATATGGGAGATGATTCTAAATTTTGAAATTATTTTCATATTTTGTGTCTGTTACTCTTCTTGAATCAGTTACTGAATTTCAATTAAGGATATTGCTCCTCTTGTTTTCAAATGTATGAAAAGTCTAGAGATAATCATTTCCCACCAAATTTTCAATGGCTTATATCTCAAAAATAGACCCTTCATTTTTAACTGCTATTTTAGTTCTTTTATTTATATACTATCAATTTATCACAGTCTTTTATAAAGCTTGTTATTTTGAAACAGAGTAGGGAACATCCTTCAGCATTCAATAAATCTTTGTCGAAAAAAATGTATGATAAAAATTTCCTTCTATTGCCTGTTTATAAATTTATGAATTATTAAGAAACAAAGGTTTCAGTTCCGTAAGACAAAGTTAACCTTACATGGATTTGGCTATTATTTTTAAATCTTTTTTTGGTCATACAGCTCTTCAACTGTTACATTCTTGGTTTTTAGACATTCAGCTTTAAGGGTTCCTGATTAAGGTAAATCCAGATAAGTAATTAGGATGCATGAAATTTATGAATAGTTGAATTTTTTTTATGTGCAAAACAAGTGTTTATGGTATTACAAATATTTTAGGAGTTCAAACTTTAGTGATGATAGGATAACATAATTTTAAAGTAGAAATTTACAGACAAAACGTATAAGTAAATCATGCCAATACCAAACAGTGATAGAAGCAGTTTTACTAAGGGAATAGATAAGAAATCTTCAATAGTACTGTGTACTGGTAGGAAAGAAATATCAAGTCTCCACAAAAAGTAAATGTCTTTAAAAACATTTTCCTATTAATGCTATAAAGTATTTCTGAATCTCCCTTGCAGACTTTTCACTGATAGCTTGGGCAGCAGAGAATGAACTTCCATTGCCGTTACTTAACTATGGTATAGTACAATTATTGAAGGAGACCAACATGGCTACTTACATGAAAGATGTCCAGTGTGATAGGTCAGGATTTACAAGTACTAATGGGTGGATCAATGGTAAGTTACTTACATGAAAGATGTCCAGTGTGATAGGTCAGGCTTTACAAGTACTGATGGGTGGATCAAAGGTAAGTTACTTACATGAAAGATGTCCAGTGTGATAGGTCAGGCTTTACAAGTACTGATGGATTGATCAATGGTAAGTTACTTACATGAAAGATGTCCAGTGTGATAGGTCAGGATTTACAAGTACTGATGGGTGGATCAATGGTAAGTCACATGAAAGATGTCCAGTGTGATAGGTCAGGATTTACAAGTACTGATGGGTGGATCAATGGTAAGTTACTTACTATACAGTATGAAGATGTATTATTATACAATCACAGACAGAAATAATTAATGTATAACTGAATTCATATTTGTCTGTGTATTTATGCTTTTTGCAAACAAATTTGGCAAGAAGGGTCATATATCTGTCTATCTGCGTATATGACAAACTCCTCTTAATAAGTGTGATAGATTTCAGTGAAACTCAAATGTATTACACTATATGATTGATTGGTTGATGTTTGACACCACTTTCAGCACTATAGTGCTATTTCAAGGCAGTGAGTTTTTTTTATTAGTGGAAGAAACCAGAGTGTCCGGAAGGAACCACCTACTTTAGGAATTACACGATATGAAGTAATGTACAAAACAAAATGACTAAGACATCGTAAACATTCTTAATATAAATTGGACGGTACTGTAAATTCAGAAATTGTTGTGAGGTTTTTATTAATGCGAATATTGGGACTGGGCCGGGTGAGTATCGCAATAATAAGAACCAGCATTCTGATATCTGATACATATCTCTTAAGTCAAATTTTCCTGAAATCGCAATAATTAATCTTGCATTATTGTCCATTATTCAAAAACTGCAATAATAAGTGCACACAATAATTTCTGAATTTACAGTAATTATTTCTTACCTTGTTAACAGTCCCTTTGTTTTTTTTTCAATTTTCTAAAGCTTACATATTTAAAGTCAGTGGACAATTTTTTTTTTACCAATGGTGAACCAAAGAGGAAACTTGAGTATTTTATTTTATTTAGAATAATCAACTAATATGAAATTCTCATCCACAGAAAGGAAGTTTTTAATTTATGTATTCAGATTGTACCCTGACAACTTCAAACATACCAGTTCTGGATTCCAATACAAGCTGTCGTCTGCTGTCACAGTGTACCAGTGCCACCTGTTGTCTAACTGTAGGAACTATAAATAGAACTGTTAGTATTGACCTTGAACTTGACCCCTGTGACCAGTCAATGTCTATCAGGATTGAGAATTATGTCCACAACACCAGTTTGTATGGTTTTGGATTTGGTAAGGAATTGATTTTCTATTTACCCCGTACTGTATTTGGAAAGAAAAAAAATAATCTTTTAAATGAAACAGAATATTTTTAATGAAATTGACAATGGAGACAGGGAATGTGTCAAAGAGACTACAACCCAACCAAAGAGCAGAAAACAGCCCAAGGCCACCTATGGGTCCTTAACACAGCAAGAAAATCATGCACTCGAAAACTGAAAATGTCTGAACTGTTAAATCAAAGTCAGACACAAATTTGCAATTTAACGTTTTATTGGTTTTATAATTTTTCCATGTTGACCATACAAACATAAATAATAAAAAATCTTCTGTTTTTCATTGTTTTTTTAAATGTTTACATATTTTTTTTTATTCCTCCTTTCAGGTATTTTACAGAAATTTTATTTGGAGAACATCTTGAGAGTAGAGTAAGTGCTTGTTTTAATGGAACTAAATATAACAATTGTTTTTATGTTTTTACCACATTGATGTTTTTTTTTAGCCTGCCAACCATAAATGCTGGACATTGTATGTCCTCTTTCAAGTCTAACAAAATTTAGAATTAGTAATTGCTTCTTCCTTGCATAGCATAGGTAAATTTCATATTCTTCTGACCTTTATATGTTCTCTTCCTAAATAGGGTTGTAATGTTAGCTGCTAGATTTTAATTATCCAGTCATTACAACTTTTTAATCATTCCTCCAACAGTGCAGACTTCACTTTTTGTTGCAAAAAAAAGTTATTAAAAAAATATTCCTTGATTGAAATTCCTATTTCAAAGGAGTTTGAATAATTTATTTTTTACAAGTTTTCCTGGATTTCTAAATTTTGAAGGTCTGTTTGCAGGTGAAAAATGAAATGAACAAATAGCTTCTGTCCCAAATCTTCTTTTCTTTATGTCTGAATTTTTTTGGGAGACCAAAGCCCTCAATCCATATCGTGGCCTTTATTAAGTACAAATGTACTAGAATTAACCCAAATGTCAATCAAGCTAGCAAGGAAGGTCAGCATGACCTTTTTTTCATAAAAGGCTTAGTTATGCATTTGTGCAAATGAATCATTTTGTGATACAAAATTCACTTGGGTTACAGGTTATGTGGGAATATAATTATGAAATTATGTCAGTTTCTGTTTTGAGTGAAACACACCTTGCTACACATTTAATTCATAGTACATTACTTTTTAGGTATGTTGTGTATGACCTAGAAAGTGACCACCAGTATCTTGTTGATATGAATGTTAGTGTCTGTTTTGAGTCAGCAGGACCATGTGAACTTAACAGTTCTATGTTTCATAAAACTTTCCTTCCCAAGAAGCCTTGCAAATGGCAGACAGGCTTTTTTCAAACAGGTATGAAAGTATTGTGGATATCTTATAGTAATTATGAATAGAAATCTGTATTTTGGGGAAGAAAAACTCCAAATTCAACCTTGCAATTTTTTTTTTATTTGCTTTGGTAACAAAATGAAATGATAAAGTTTTCTGATCTATTTGTCCATCGACTGTTCTTTTTTCCAATATCAGGTTAAAGTTTTGGTTTAATTTAGTTTGCTGTGATGTTGTGGTCTCATAATTGTTCATTATGATGTGAACTTTTTATAATAAATTCCAATTTAAAGTTTAAACTGAGATATCACACATTGAAATGTAATAGGTGTCCAGTTACTCATATTAGCTTCCTGAAATTTGGTGAAAACTCTTTACTGTGTGTAGCATTTTCACATTTATCGTTCTTAAGTTTCCAGTTTACACACATAACTAACATTTATGAAAATTTCATCATATTTTTCTCACCATGAATCAGAACATTTTTTAAACAGTGTGAATTAAGTGTATGCAACATCAACCTTTTATTGATGTCACTTGAGTGTGGTAAGATCTTCATTTAGGAAATAATTCATGTAAATATTTACCTTAATGTCAAAACTTTACAAGAAAATATAGCATTTTCCATGTGGAAACAGATAGGAAATATGAGCAAATTTAAAGTGTAGGAACATCTATGTTACTGCCACCAACAATTTAGGGTATTCTGACACCTGCAAACTTTTCAAAATCTGCAAGGGGGATTTTATGCGCAAGAGGACCTGATATGCCTCTTATATTGTCACAAGTGCTTTTAATCTGCTACTATATTGTTTGAATGAGTATATTATGTGCTTAAATACTACTTAACTCGTTTGAATGCCTGTTTTGAGGTGTTCAGTTTATATAATGAAGAATTTCAAAATTCAGATCAACACCTCTGATGGGGGAAATACCAATAAATTCTAAGACATTTCTAATGTAAGAAACTAGATAAATATATATAATGAATTTTAACAGAAATAAAAAACATTCTGACATCAGTATTGTGACATCCAATCCTTTATCTTTCAGATTTCTCTTTGGCTGCATGGAGAATAGAGAATGATATAGGACCAACAGCCTTACTATATCCTGTAGATATTGCCAGACTGATCAAAGAATTAGGGCTAGGAGACTATCTTATAGACTCTCCATGTTCTAGACTGAACGGGTCATATGTACCACATTCTAGCAGATGGAATGATGGCAAGTTTTTACAAGATTTTTATACGACATATACCAGAAATATATGAAAAATTTTCAAACAAATAATTCTTTCTTTGGCAAACAATATAGAGGGGTTGATAAGTTCATTAACTTGTATTAGCTTTGAGTCAAATAGTTTTTGTCCAATTAGTTAAATTTCATCACTAAGCCTGGACACGGAAATTGTGAAATGTTTAAAAGGATTATGTAAATAACAATGGCAAAGATAAGTTAAGGATATAGTAACTCTCAAGTGCAAAATTGAGGGATAAGAACAAGATGAACACAAAACAAAAACACATAGAGGGAAAAGATGAACACAAAACAAAAACACATAGAGGGAAAAGATGAACACAAAACAAAAACATGTAGGGAGGGAAAAGATGAACACAAAACAAAAACACATAAGGAGGGAAAATATGAACACAAAACAAAAACACATCAAGAGGGAAAAGATGAACACTAGGGAGGGAAAAGATGAACAAAAACACATAAGGAGGGAAAATATGAACACAAAACATAAACACATCAAGAGGGAAAAGATGAACACAAAACAAAAACACATAGGGAGGAAAAGATGAACACAAAACAAAAACACATAAGGAGGAAAAGATGAACACAAAACAAAAACACATAAGGAGGGAAAACATGAACACAAAACAAAAACACATAAGGAGGAAGAAGATGAACACAAAAACAAAAACACATGAAGGAAAAGATGAACACAAAACAAAAACACATCAAGAGGGAAAAGATAGACACTAGGGAGGGAAAAGATGAACACAAAACAAAACACATAAGGAGGGAAAAGATGAACACAAAACAAAAACACATAATGAGGAAAAGATGAACACAAAACAAAAACACATAAGGAGGGAAAAGATGAACACAAAACAAAAATACATAAGAAGGGAAAAGATGAACACAAAACAAAAACATGTAGGGAGGGAAAAGATGAACACAAAAAAAAACGGTTAAAGGGTTATGTAAATAACAATGGCAAAGATAAGTTAAGGATATAGTAACTCTCAAGTGCAAAATTGAGGGATAAGAACAAGATGAACACAAAACAAAAACACACAGAGGGAAAAGATGAACACAAAACAAAAACACATAAGGAGGAAAAAGATGAACACAAAACAAAAACACATAAGGAGGAAAAAGATGAACACAAAACAAAAACACGTAGGGAGGGAAAATATGAACACAAAACAAAAACACATAAGGAGGAAAAGATGAACACAAAACAAAAACACATAAGGAGGAAAAAGATGAACACAAAACAAATCAATTTGAATGTTATTTTTTACAGGATGTGGAAATGTTGTCAACAAGCCAGTCCTACCTAACAACACCCATTGTTATATCCCAGCATCTTGTACCTCATTTAGATGTTGTCAGGACATAGATTTACTCAGTTCTACATTCGAAAGCTCTATTGAACTTGATCCATGTAATTTTCTGCTTAAGATTAGAATTGAGAAGTTGACGTTTGATGTGACTTTCTTTGATTTTGCTTGGGGTAAGTTATAAGTACAGGCAATTCTGTAATTGCAATCTGAGGTAAGCAAGACCCAGTTAATAGTTGAGACTGAGAAAATACCTTTGACTTATCTCAGTTATTGACACAACAGAGTGAAAAACAAAAGGTTCAACTCTATTGCCTAATAATTAAAGAAACTTCTCTAAGTACACACAAATATATAAATTTTTTATGCCCCGCCGTATCGGTGGGGGCATTAAGTTTTATCCTTGTCCGTCTGTACGTACGAACGTCCGTCCGTCAGTACGTACGTCCCAAAATTGGTTTCTGTTCTCTAACTTAAGTTTGCCTCAACCAAATAGTATGAACCTTATACACAATGCTTGTTACCACAAAACACAGATCAAGTTTGAATTTTGGTGGTGTCACTTTAACCGTTCTAGAGTTATGCCCCTTTATAAATGGAAAAGTTGCAAAATTTTTAGTTTCCTTTCTCTTACTTAAGTTTGCCTCAACCAAATAGTATGAACCTTATACACAATGCTTGTTACCACAAAACACAGATCAACTTTGAATTTTGGTGGCGTCACTTTAACCGTTCTAGAGTTATGCCCCTTTATAAATGGAAAAATTGCAAAATTTTTAGTTTCCGTTCTCTCACTTAAGTTTGCCTCAACCAAATATTATGAAACTTATACACAATGCTTATTACCACAAAACACAGATCAAGTTTGAATTTTGGTGGCGTCACTTTAAACCGTTCTAGAGTTATGCCCTTTATAAATGGAAAAATTGCAAAATTTTTAGTTTCCGTTCTGTAACTTAAGTTAGCCTCAACCAAATAGTATGAAACTTATACACCATGCTTGTTACCACAAAACACAGATCAAGTTGAATTTTGGTGGCATCACTTAAACCGTTTAGAGTTATGCCCCTTTAAAAATGGAAAAATTGCAAAATTTTTAGTTTCCGTTCCCTTACTTAAGTTTGCCTCAACCAAATATTATGAAACTTATACACAATGCTTGTTACCACAAAACACAGATCAAGTTTGAATTTTGGTGGTGTCACTTTAACCGTTCTAGAGTTATGCCCCTTTATAAATGGAAAAGTTGCAAAATTTTTAGTTTCCGTTCTCTTACTTAAGTTTGCCTCAACCAAATAGTATGAACCTTATACACAATGCTTGTTACCACAAAACACAGATCAACTTTGAATTTTGGTGGCGTCACTTTAACCATTCTAGAGTTATGCCCCTTTATAAATGGAAAAATTGCAAAATTTTTAGTTTCCGTTCTCTCACTTAAGTTTGCCTCAACCAAATATTATGAAACTTATACACAATTCTTATTACCACAAAACACAGATCAAGTTTGAATTTTGGTGGCGTCACTTTAACCGTTCTAGAGTTATGCCCTTTATAAATGGAAAAATTGCAAAATTTTTAGTTTCCGTTCTGTAACTTAAGTTAGCCTCAACCAAATAGTATGAAACTTATACACCATGCTTGTTACCACAAAACACAGATTTAGTTGAATTTTGGTGGCATCACTTAAACCGTTTAGAGTTATGCCCCTTTAAAAATGGAAAAATTGCAAAATTTTTAGTTTCCGTTCCCTTACTTAAGTTTGCCTCAACCAAATATTATGAAACTTATACACAATGCTTATTACCACAAAACACAGATCAAGATTGAATTTTGGTGGCGTCACTTTAACCGTTCTAGAGTTATGCTCCTTTATAAATGGAAAAATTGCAAAATTTTTAGTTTCCTTTCTCTAACTTAAGTTTGCCTCAACCAAATAGTATGAAACTTATACACAATGCTTGTTACCACAAAACACAGATCAAGTGTGAATTTTGGGGGCATCACTTTTACCGTTCTTGAGTTATGACCCTTTATAAATGGAAAAATTGCTAAATTATTCGTTTCCGTTCTCTAACTTAAGTTTGCCTCAACCAAATGTTATGAAACTTACACACAATGCTCATTACCACAAAACACAGATCAAGTTTGAATTTTGGTGGCGTCACTTTAAACCGTTCTAGAGTTATGCCCCTTTATAAATGGAAAAATTGCAAAATTTTTATTTTCTTCTAAATATCAAGTTATTTTTAAAATTGGAGTTATCTTCCTTTGTCCATGATTATAGTTGAATCATCTACAATCAATGCTTTATATAATGCAATGTTTAATTTTGACTTCCACTGATAAAACACAGATCAAGTTGAATTTGGATAGTGTCACTTTAACCATTTTTGAGTTATGCCCCTTTATAAATTGAAAGATTGCAAAATTTTTAGTTTCCATTCTGTAACTTAAGTTTGCCCCAACCAAACATTATGAAACCTATACACAATATTCATTACCACAAAACTAAGATCAAGTACAACTTTTTTGTTTCCGTTTTATAACTTTAGTTTGCCTCCACCAAATGTTATGAAACTTATACACAATGCTTATTACTACATAATACAGATTAAGCATGAAATTTGGTGGCGACACTTTTACCATTCTTGAGTTATGTCCCTTTTATAAACATAAAAATTGCTGTATTTTTAGTTTCCGTTCTCCAACTTTAGTTTGTCTCAACCAAATGTTATAAAACTTATACACAACCATTCTAGAGTTATGCATGTTTACAAATAGAAAAGTTGCTGAATTTTTAGTTTCTGTTCTCTACTTAAGTTAGCCTCAACCAAATGTTATGAGACTTACACACAATGCTTATTACCACAAAACTCAGATCAAGTTCAAATTAAGGTAGCATCACTTTTACTGTTCTTCAGTTATGTCCCTTTATAACTATATGATATGCAAGTGGGGGCATCATCTGTGTCCACATGTGGACACTATCCACATTTATTTTAATTTAATATTGATATTTGCCTTTTTTGCAGGAACAAACCAATATTTTGATCTTTATGGAGTTCTGTTGATGTCGTAAGTATACTCCTTTTGTTTTGATGTTTACCAATTCAAAACACTTAAGACAACAAAAAACTACAAGGCATAAAATTCTTACATCAAATCTTTGAAGATTCTGCATGAAAATATTGTAAAATATCATTTTCAAGTCACACAGTAAGGTTTTTTTGCATGTGAGTGAACCGAAAGATTTGTTTGAATTTTTCTTGATCCAAAAAGAAGTTCATGTTTACAAAAAAATTATAATAATACATGTAAAATAATGTGTCCACTAAAATTTATCTGATAGAACTTGTAGATACAAAAGAAAATATTCTAACAACATTGTAGCACTATGTAACCAAAAATAAATTTTGATTGGTCTATTTTCCAAAACTGTCTGTCATAAGTGTTGTTAAACATGTTTGTGAGTGCTCAAACCTCCCTCTAACAGGATCAGTGGCATTACAACACAAAATAACACAGACCTGCCAACTATCCCGATTTTGGCGGTATTATCCCGATTTTCATGCCTCAACCCGAATCCCGATATCGGGTTCCTAAAACAAGCAAAAAACCAGATTTTCATAAATTCTACCCGAGAAAATTTTATTCTTACCGATTTCCGGTAATGGAGGACAACATAGAGATATTATCCAATCAAATTCATCGTAGTATCTGATATTCGGGTCATGTTGATTTACCTGAGGATTATCGATCTGTTTTGACACTAAGTATTATGTAAACATATACACGTGCCTCAATAAAATCAATGATTTGTCAAAGTTTTATGGGTCTTAATTGGTAATAAAATTATTGATCTTTGTTATTTATACCGATCAGCTTGGGAGTTACATAATTAACTGTTTTAATTTTTTTACTTATCATTTAATTGAGATTAATTATATTATAATCAAGTTAACTAGTTAAAAAAATTCTTTAATCAGGTGAACATAGTTAATAATTATCTTAATTATAACTGATCAAAGGAATTTTGCAAATTAAACGTAAAGGCTTGGATGCTGTTTGCACATTGAGACAATTGTTATAAAATGATATGAAAAATGGAATTGAATCATAACAGTTCAAACTATCACAATGGTTGTTACTCCACCCAGCAAGAAGAAACGTTTGCCATGCCGTTTTCTTGAAAAATGGCAGAATGACCTGAAGTTTTCAGGATGGTTGACCAAGTCCAACACAGGAGACTCCCATGCTTACTGCAAATTATGTAATAAAGACTTCAGAATAGACCACGGTGGCCTTAATGATGTTAATAAACACACCAACACAGCAATGCACATTAAGAACCTACAAGCACAGAACAGTACCAAGTCTGCCTCCAACTTCTTCACCCGCCCAGATGATGATGGTGTTTTGTATTGTTTTGTATTGTTTTTATCTCCTTTAAATGCTACTGAATAAATATTATTAATATGACATTTACCTTGTTTATCTTTTCATGACATAGTTTGCAATGTATGCATTAATGAAGCAACCAAATCATTGTTTATCAATTTATTTTAAATAGATACAGTGAAAATACAAATAAAACACTGAAATAAAACAAATATAACACTGAAATAAAACAAATAAAACAAATGAACCAAATGAAAGAAACATCTTTACACAGAATGATACATACAGCATCAAAACAATCTCAAGAGTTCAAGAAACAAACCAAAATTGATCCTAAATATACATGAAATACTTTCTACTGGACATTATAAAAAAAAAAAACAGTCACAAGATGAAGCGATACATTTAAATTTTTTTCCCCGGGGAAAATCCCCCATGGAGGTTTTCAAAAGTTGGCAGGTCTGATAACATAAGAACTCACTAAAAATTATAAGTTTATAATCATTATGATAATGGAGAAAATAAAATTGACAACACTGAATTTTATATACTGTATGCTTTTGCTTGGTGATGAATGCCTCACTGTGAGTTTGAGATGAAGAACAGCAATAAAAGAGCTATTTCTTTGCTTTTTGTGTTTTTTTGCTGTGCATGTACTGATTTTGTGTCGTGGATGGATACACCATATTCTTTGTTTTTCTATTTTTAGATTCAACATTGAGAACCTATATGAAGATAGAAAGTATCTTGTGAATGTGAACTTGACCTTGACCTTTGAAGCAGGTGGACCAGAGACATCACATCATGTGATCTTCAAAAATACATTGTTTCCAAAACAGAGCTGTGATTGGAGCTCAGAGTTCCATATTTCAAGTAAGTAATAAAGTAACAGTGTGTATATAATAAGATTTCTTTTAAAAAACAGAAAAGCTAAGATGAAATTTTGTCTGAATATAAAAAAAGGGAGATGTGGTATGGTTGTCAATGACACAACTATTCACCGGAGATCAAATGACAAAAATAAAAACAATGAATGACCGTTTTTCATTAATTTTTATGACCAAATAGTTTTCACTTTCAAATATCGTGTATGCTATAGACAGAATTCATTGACATGTAGGAAGCAGTATAGTCTTGTTTACTGAATTTGAAAATTCAATCTTTTAAGAATTAAAGCTATCACAATGAAAAGAAGATAACAGTTTGTCTATCTTTATTACAGATTTCTCATATGATAAATGGGCCATAGACAGGGGACATGATCCAGCCGAGTCTCTGCCATCAGACCTTCTGGCTAAGTTATTAGAGGAGACAAATTTACAGGGATATCTGAAGGAGCCACAGTGTGAATTGTCTAGTGACTGGACTAAAGGTCAGATAAATGCAAACTTTTATTTTTCATTTAATTATATATTCAGATTGTAAAAATTATAATATTATATCTTTTCACATATTAAAAATGTTCCTGAAATAGATTTGTATAGTGAAAACATCTTCTTTTTAGCATAATATATGTTATCTTAAGTTTTTTATTTTTATGATTAATTTATCTTTTTAAAAGTGAGATACTTTAACATATTTTGGATTATACTTACAATGTCTGACCAATAGCAAATATAATTGAAGTAATAATAAATAATTCTGGAAAATGTCTTTATCCAAAAATATGTGTTGTAAATATAAAAATAAGAAGATGTGGTATGATTGCCTATGACACAATTCTCCACAAAAGACCAAATGACACAGAAATTAACAACTATAGGTCACCGTACGGCCATCAACAATGAGCAAAACCCATACCGCATTGTCAGCTATAAAAGGCCCCTATACTATTTGTGTTGTACTATTTGTATACCTCAAATTCTGTGATAGGAAGATTATTTCTTCTTTACTGCTATTATCATGATTATATGGTAGTTAACAAAAGATCTGATATTCTGCAGATTGTGCCATGAATATTACCCTACCACCATTGTCATCTGACGTCAGTTGTCATGTGACCAGTCTGTGTACAGGGATACAGTGCTGTGTAGATAATGAGCTGCTGAACCGAACCTTAGATTTCAGTATTCTACTGGATCCCTGTGAAAACCAACTCAGTATCAGTATAGAACAGACACGTTATAACACAACATTAAATAATATCGAATGGGGTAAGCAAAAAAAAAAATCTTTTTTCATATGGAGTATTTAAAAAGTCTGCTTTTTATTTTAGGTAGTGAAGTCTTTTAAGTTGACCAAAATATGTCCAAACAGTAGTCCATCCAAAATATATATATGATAATTTTATCTGGAAAAAATAGTAAACTAATTTTTAATATAAAGTAAATGTTTTTATGAATACATTGTATATTATTATTTAGAGTTGAATTCTTTTGCAGGTGTAAACCAGTATTTTAATTTACAAGGGATGATACGGTTTGAGTAAGTAAAACTTATATTCTGACAGAGAAACATAATTAAACTTATATTCTGGCACAGAAAAAGAATTCACAATAAAATTTGATTGAGATTATATCTAAACAAAGGTTTCTTTCTTCATTTAGCAATGCAAAAGAAAATGTTCTTTTTTCATAATGAAACCAAAGCAATTATATAATTGTAATATTTCAACCAAGAATATAAAATTGAAAATTTGAATATAGAGATTAGCCCTTTGGACTCTTTTTCCACTGCTCTGTTTTGAATAACTAATACAACGAGACAGAAATCCATAAACAAAAGAATTTTAGAAAAAAAAAAAAGAAATAGACCATTGACAGAAATCCATAAACAAAAGAAACTTAGAAAAAAAAGAAATAGGCCATTAAATGTTGACGACAGTATATTGTAGATGTCTTTGTGTCATTGTATTGTTGTTTGATATATATATATGCCATCTATCTTCTCTAATTAATGATATATACAAAGGATAACAGTAATAACCAAAAATATTGAGACAGTACAACAGACAACAACAACCACCAACACGAAACTTCAGGAAAATATTTATAGTTATACAATCACCAAACAACATATGGTCCTGATAGCCAGACTTAACAGTTGTACTTTTCCATTAACTACTGTAAAAACAGAAATTTTCGTGGAGTATTTAATTTCGTTTATTTTGTGGAAAGAATATATCTACGAAATTAGAACCCCCACGAAAATTTAACCTACATATTATATCACTTCCATTTAATGGAAACCACGAAATTAAATCCCCATGAAATTTTATATAGAGACAAAACCACGAAATTTTAATGTTTCTACAATATTCATAGTAGTTCTTTTTTCACAAACTAGTAGCATGTAAAGTCCTTGTCAATTATTAATTTTCAGATACAACATAGATGACTTGTACTCTGAGAGATTTTTCTTGATAAATGCCAGAGTCCTGTTCTGTTATGAAGCGTCTCAGGCTTGTAGTGTTGCCTATACTGTACTTAACAATACCATGCTACCAAAAGTAACTTGTAGCTGGAATGAAGGATTTCTTCAGCCTGGTTTGTATTACCTTATAGGGAAATTTTCATGTGTGCCTAATTTGATATTGTGGTAGATATTTTACCATAAAATTTACCAAACGTGAACTTTTAAATGTTCATTTTCATGCATGGTTAAAGGTCATGAAATATGTTTTATGAACGCAACCAAGATTTAATTGCCTAATTTAAGATAAAAAAAACGCAAACAAAACTTGATGCATGAATACCCCAGCATACAATATTTGGGGAAAAACTTTTTGATTAAAACTTTCAATCATACAAATTAAGATATAGCAATAGATTTACATGTAACAATATAAATGAATCTGATGGCCCTACCAATATCAGAAAAGAGGAGCTGCATAATATCTATTAAGAGACGCAAAAGATACCAAAGGGACATTCAAACTCACAAGCCAAAAATAAACTGACAACGCCATGGCAAAAATAGAAAAAGACCAACAGACAAACAACAGCATAGAAACATTATATAACCTTCTAAGTTCTAGAATGCATGTTACAATCCAACTTTGTGTTGGTGTATCTTGTGGCCTTTAATAGCGGCAAAAATTGCCACATAACCAATATTTACCTTAATTTTTTATTGTGAGAGAGTGCTTAAATTTTGATGTTGAATTAACACATTGTTTAGGAATGACAGAAATTTAATCTGGTGTTGTCAATATGAAAATAAGGAGATGTGGTATGATTGATTGCTAATAAGACAACTATCCACCCAGTTTCAAGCATTCAGTTAAACAGATGTGTGAGATTGAAAGATTTTCTCCAGAACATTTACCTAAATACTTTATTAACACAGGACTTTACAATCATTGCTGATGGAAACAGAACAAATTGCGATTGACTTTTCATGATTATGCTGATTTTCAATTACTGTGGATTAATTTATTTTCATGGGTACCAATTTTTGTGGATTGTGGAATACTTGCCTTTTTGTGAATATGTGATTTCATGGTTTTGCCAAAGCCTGCAAACAACTTGATAGATGAATTGCAATTCATTGAACATTTAAATTCATGGTTCACCTGTACCCATGAAAAACACAAAAATTGGTGTCCAACAAATAATAATAAATACACAGTAGTTTGTTTGACCTAGGTGTAAACTTAGCAGAGAGGGAGAAACAAACAAAAATCAAGTGAACCTGTATAAACTAAATTCTGCATAAACGGAAACTAATGCAGAACCTTACTACAGGAAATGCAACAAACTGATTGTAGATGGTCCCCACATCCCACCCTTGTAGATTTTTCTCCTTAAAATACTGCTCTACTGTATATTCAAAAATTATTGGGTGCATTTTTTATGTCTATTGTTGGACATACAGTGAGTTTAAATATTGCTATTTTAGGAAATGGTGCATACAGATAATGCTATTTGCAAATTTTTATCTTATCCTAATTTTCGCAAAAATAAAAATGTCGCAAACATTTCTGAATTTACAGTATTTTTGGTCTGTTTGATCTTTTTTGTTTCTTTCAGGGTTTTCATTGTCAAACTGGTATTCAGAGCATGACCAGACAACAGGAGACAAGTTAGATGATTGGGCCATATCCGTTTTTCTGGATGACCTTGGGTTATCTCCCTTCTTAGAAACTTCACCCTGCAATGTTGATCCTAGTTTTGTTTACGTAAACAATGACAGTTGGGCCAATGGTAAAGCTGATAATTAAATTACATTCTTATATAAAAATAAGAAGATGTGGTATGAATACCAATGAGACAACTCTCCAAATGACATAGAAGTTAACAACTATAGGTCATCGGCCTTCAACAATGAACAAAACCCATACTGCATAGTCAGCTGACAAATGTAAAACAATTCAAACAAGAATTATGCACATATTTTTAGATTTTTAAGTAATGCAAAGTGATTGTTTTCTGTGAAAATCTATATTAGTAAGTGTATTCTTAATATTTGCATTTTGTAGGAAATTCTTTGTGCAGTAATGTCCTGTAAAATTTTCATAATGATTGAAGAATTGTTTTCTACCTCATACTATTTTTGCAACTTTCAAAAAATCTGCATAACAAATCTGTGAACTGCAAAATTTCTTTTAGAAAAAATATTTTATAAGAACTAGCAAATTAAAAGTTCGACACTAATTATTCAAAAATGAGTATTTCCCCAGCTATACGTTAAGAATAAACACATTCTAATATCATATTTTGGAACACATTGGTTTAACAAAATATGTGAGAGTCACTTTTAGTTTAGAACTTTTATAAATAGAAAACTCATATTAACAACTATCTACAAGAAAACCAAAACTAAAAAATTTATTGAATTTTAGAATGCATAAAGAGCCTGAACCTACCTAGTATCACCACGACAACAGACCGTACAAGATGTCTGATGAGAACTTCCTGTACTGCAGTTGACTGTTGTACAGATGTAGACTTTATACCAAAGTCCTTCAAGACTTACCTTCATATAGATCCTTGTAGACAGGAACTTGTCATAGGGATAGAGAAATACATGAGAAATATATCCCTGTCTACTTACAAATTTGGTAAGTCTACAATAAGCTTAAAAAATAAAAGAATAACTGATTTGATAGTGTTGTGAAAGTTTTTAAGAAGCTGTTATTTAATACATTCTAATCACTATTAACTCATATATATTTTAGAGAATATATTATTTCTATGTAATGTTCTTGACCTGTTTTGCTGGTTACTATGAAAGAAATATGTATATAACATTATAATGTTTTGTCAAAGTTTATAGCATCAAAGCCTTGCAACAGCTTTAATACAAATACAGTAAGTTGTTGCTCTAGTGGTGATAAATTTTAATTCTAGTATTGTAGCATTTATATTACATTCTTGGTTGGTAAGACTACTACTTTGGAAAATATAACATTGAATCTACTTTTTTTTAACTTCAGGAACTATGGCACAGTTTACATTAAATGGGTTCATAGTAATGGAGTGAGTAAATTTTTTTATTTATAATAATTGTTTGCTATAAAGCTGGAAACATACATTTTTGGGATCAGGAGTTGAGGCCAAAGTAAGTTATTTTGAAAACTGTTATAAATTATGGAGAAATTGGATCAAAACTAAAGTTACAACACAAAATATACATAATTAAGAAGTCATTACATCGTTATAAATAATGTGATGTGCAAAACTGAAGTTATTTTGTATTAATAGTAACTAATTTCTATTTGACATTTGTAGTATTTTGACGTGATTCAGAAAATAAAAGATATAAGAATCTGAGGGCCAATTTTAGCCAATATTGCTTCTTTTTTAACAGTCTTTATGTAAACATACTATAGTTGTTAATTTCTGTGTCATTTGGTCTCTTGTGGAGAGTTGTCTCATTGGCAATCATACCACATCTTCTTTTTTAGCTCACCTGGCCCGAAGGGCCAAGGGAGCTTTTCTCATCACTTGGCGTCCGTCGTCGTCGTTAACTTTTTACATTTTGAACTTCTTCTAGAGAACCACTGAATGGAATGAAACCAAACATGGCATGAATGTTCCTTATGAGGTGCTGACCAAGTGTTGTTACTTTGAAGCCGATCCATCATCCAAGATGGCTGCCAGCGGGGGAATTAGTTTAACATAGGATCCTATGGGAAATACATACAAATGTCTTCTTTTAGAGAACCACTGAATGGAATGAAAACAAACATGGCATGAATGTACCTTATGAGGTGCTGACCAAGTGTTGTTACTTTGAAGCCGACCCATCATCCAAGATGGCCGCCAGCGGGAGACTTAGTTTAACATAGGACCCTATGGGAAATACATACAAATGTCTTCTTTTAGAGAACCACTGAATGGAATGAAACCAAACATGGCATGAATGTTCCTTATGAGGTGCTGACCAAGTGTTGTTACTTTGAAGCCGATCCATCATCCAAGATGGCTGCCAGCGGGGGAATTAGTTTAACATAGGATCCTATGGGAAATACATACAAATGTCTTCTTTTAGAGAACCACTGAATGGAATGAAAACAAACATGGCATGAATGTACCTTATGAGGTGCTGACCAAGTGTTGTTACTTTGAAGCCGACCCATCATCCAAGATGGCCGCCAGCAGGAGACTTAGTTTAACATAGGACCCTATGGGAAATACATACAAATGTCTTCTTTTAGAGAACCACTGAATGGAATGAAACCAAACATGGCATGAATGTTCCTTATGAGGTGCTGACCAAGTGTTGTTACTTTGAAGCCGACCCATCATCCAAGATGGCCGCCAGCGGGGGACTTAGTTTAACATAGGATCCTATGGGAAATACATACAAATATCTTCTTTTAAAGAACCACTGAATGGAATGAAACCAAACATGGCATGAATGTTCCTTATGAGGTGCTGACCAAGTGTTGTTACTTTGAAGCTGATCCATAATCCAAGATGGCCCCCAGCGGGGGACTTAGTTTAACAAAGGACCCTATTGGGAAATACATACGAATGTCTTCTTTTAGAGAACCACTGAATGGAATGAAACCAAACATGGCATGAATGTTCCTTATGAAGTGCTGACCAAGTGTTGTTACTTTGAAGCCGATCCATCATCCAAGATGGCCCCCAGCGGGGGACTTAGTTTAACATAGGACCCTATGGGAAATACATACAAATGTCTTCTTTTAAGAGAACCACTGAATGGAATGAAACTAAACATGGCATGAATGTTCCTTATGAGGTGCTTACCAAGTGTTGTTACTTTGAAGCCGATCCATCATCCAAGATGGCCGCCAGCGGGAGACTTAGTTTAACATAGGACCCTATGGGAAATATATACAAATGTCTTCTTTTAGAGAACCACTGAATGGAATGAAACCAAACATGGCATGAATGTTCCTTATGAGGTGCTGACCAAGTGTTGGTACTTTGAAGCCGATCCATCATCCAAGATGGCCGCCAGCGGGGGACTTTGTTTAACATAGGACCCTCTGGGAAATACATACAAATGTCTTCTTTTAGAGAACCACTGAATGGAATGAAACCAAACATGGCATGAATGTTCCTTATGAGGTGCTGACCAAGTGTTGTTACTTTGAAGCCGACCCATCATCCAAGATGGCCGCCAGCAGGGGACTTAGTTTAACATAGGATCCTATGGGAAATACATACAAATATCTTCTTTTAAAGAACCACTGAATGGAATGAAACCAAACATGGCATGAATGTTCCTTATGAGGTGCTGACCAAGTGTTGTTACTTTGAAGCTGATCCATAATCCAAGATGGCCCCCAGCGGGGGACTTAGTTTAACAAAGGACCCTATTGGGAAATACATACGAATGTCTTCTTTTAGAGAACCACTGAATGGAATGAAACCAAACATGGCATGAATGTTCCTTATGAGGTGCTGACCAAGTGTTGTTACTTTGAAGCTGATCCATAATCCAAGATGGCCCCCAGCGGGGGACTTAGTTTAACAAAGGACCCTATTGGGAAATACATACGAATGTCTTCTTTTAGAGAACCACTGAATGGGATGAAACCAAACATGGCATGAATGTTCCTTATGAAGTGCTGACCAAGTGTTGTTACTTTGAAGCCGATCCATCATCCAAGATGGCTACCAGCTGGGGACAGTGTTTAACAAAGGACCTATGGACAATACATATGAATGTCTTCTTTTAGAGAACCACTGAATGGATTTAAACCAAACATGGCATGAATGTTCCTTTTGAGGTGCTGACTAAGTGTTGTTACTTTGAAGCTGATCCTTCATCCACGATGGCCGCCAGCGGGGGACTTTCTTTAACATAAGACCCTATTGGAAATGCATACAAATGCTTCTTCTAGAGGTGCACTGAATGGAATGAAACCAAACATGGCATAAATGTTTCTTATGAGGTGCTGATGAAGTGTTGCTACTTTGTTGCTGATTTACTGTTCAAGATGGCCACCAGGATTTTTTTTATTAAATTACAAATTACAGGGCCAATATTAAACCAAATTTGGCCTCACTCATTATTAGGGTAAATAGCTGTTATGATTTTAATCTATTTTAACATGATTTCCAAAACCAAAGTAGAATCAGGTGAGTGACACAGGCTCTTGAGAACCTCTAGTTTATAATTACCATGTAATGCAGTTTCAGATTCATCCATCCTCTACTTCCTGTTTACCAAATACTTACAAAAAAAGTATAGATATAAATTATAATTCTGCCTGTTTATCACTAGGAACAACGTTATCGAATAAGTTTAGATATTGTTATATGAATTAAAGTGATTTTGAGTAAACCTCAATAAGACAGCAACCACTCATAAGTAAACCATGCAATATATTTTGAGGTCATTATATGACCTTTAAAAATGAACATGTGATTACAATGACCAGCTTTAAATAGCAACCACATTCTCTTAAGACAAAAACAAAACCAAGTTAAGACAGCAGCAGTCACTGAAGGCTTCCTGACTTGGAAAAAGCATTTGTAATATTGATTTTTTTATGTGTTACAGTTGCTTAACATTAAATTTGAAATGAGATTTTTTTTCAGTTATTTTATAGAAGAACTAGCTGGTTCACTTACATACTTAGTAACATTGAACATAAGTTTCTGTTACAATGATGGCCAACCTTGTAACATTATAGCCTCAGTATTGGAGAACTCTCTGTTGCCTAGAGGTTTATGTGCATGGAACACTGATTACCTTATTCCAGGTAAGAAAACCTCTCATTCCAGGTAAGATTACCTTATTCCAGGTACGATTACCCCATTCCAGGAAAGATAACCTCTCATTCCAGGTAAGATTTCCTCATTCCAGGTAAGATTACCTCATTCCAGGTAAGATTGCTTCATTCCAGGTAAGATAACCTCATTCCAGGTAAGATAACCTTATTCCAGGAAAGATTACCCCTTTCCAGGTACAATAGCCTCATTCCAGGTAAGATAACCTCATTCTAGGTATGATAATCTCATTCCAGGTAAGATAACCTCATTTAGGTAAGCTTACCTCATTCCAGGTAAGATTACTTCATTCCAGCTGCAATAACCTCATTCCAGGTAAGATTACCTAAATTCCACCTCATTACAGGTAATTTTTAGATGACATGTGTTTGAATCAGCATCATTTGTAGAATACAAAAAGCTAACTCAGGGATAATTTTTTTCTCTTTTAGCCCTTTCTAGACAATTTCGCAGTGATTTTGTTTATAACTTTGTTTGTGTATTTATAGATAGATAGATAGATGCTTTATTTCCATCAAATGGGCTCACAAGGAGCATAATATAATATCATTATAATATTATTTTTACAAATATAATAAACAATACAGTATACATAGTTACAAACACAAATAAGAAACAACAGTTTTCACATATTCGTATACATATAGGAGTATATATAAAACCTTCGTCTCAGGCACACCTCTAGAAAGTAACAAAAAAGAATTCTGTGAATAGGCTATATGTATCTAACTTAACTGCAGGAGGCACCAAGGGACGGTGCTATATGGCATGGTGGGTGCATATTAAAATGTGTATCAGGACATTAACAGGATTAATGATATGGTAAGATATTGTAAGAAGTTGCATATAACTGGTATGTCATCCTCGTGCCTGGTGCAGAGGAGTCAGTACTATTTAAAGTGACACAACTGCAAGAGGCACCAAGGGACAATGCTAATTGATATGCCAAAGTGCACATATTACGAAAAGATAAAATATTACCAGTTTAATAAAAAAATATCACAAACAGAAAGGTAATAGAACTTATATGATGTGTCATGTAACCCACCATGCCAACCTCGTGTGTATTTATATAAGAAAAGTTTCAAATATGACATATTTACGAGGATTTATATTCATATTACATTTCTAATAGCAAAATTTACAAAAATATCCATTTTTTCATCAGGGAAAAACATCAGTGATGTATGGGGATGCATTTTACTGATCTTAAACTTTATGTTCTTTTTTTTTGTAGGCTTTTCACTAAACACCTGGCTGACAGAAAATTTCCCAACAGTTGGACAACCATTACCAGAATATGCTGTTGAACTACTGTTTGAACAACTTGGAATCTCACAGTATCGCCCTTCTACACAGTGCAGTGAGACAGCTTTGTACATGTCTATACCGACTGGAGGATGGCAAAATGGTATAATAACTTACTTATATACACCCAAGATAAAAAAAAAATTGTAGAATCTCAGCTTTCATATATATATATATATACTTAATGGTAGTCGGCAGGCAAATTCTGAAAACACATTTAACAAGGAGGAAAATGAAAGCTGAGGAGTGAATCATGGAATATTTTTATTTTATTATACTTCATGTCATTATGCCATATTTTGATTGGTTAATACGAGGGAGATAATTTACTCTATCTCATGGCAAATATTCTATAACCCTTCACAGAGACGCTTGATCACTTGTGCGCTTTATTAAATACAGATGGTTGTTATGTACAAGACAGCATAGTTTATTACTTTTAATTTGTAATTTAATAGACATTAATAACAGAACATCCAGTATAATGAATTAAATAACACATATCTGAGAGGGTGATAGAGCAGTAAACCCCCCCCCCCCCCCCCACCCCCCATCAAAGACATTGTCAACCTTGGCTTTGCCTCGGTTGACAATGTTTTCTCGGGGTAACAATCTGCTCTCTAGCTATATGTTATTTATATAATAGGCCTTTTAACAAATCTATGTTATAATTAAATTGAGAATGGAACCAGGGAATGTGTCAAACAGACAACAACCTGACCAAAGAGCAGAAAACAGCCCAAGGCCACCATATATGTTGTTTTGTCCTATTCAATAAGTTATGTTTGTATATGATATCTTTTCTATTTTTAGTAACTTAGGGATACACAAAAATTTACTTTGAATCTATATTTAACTACATTTACATGTCTGAGTTAACTTCCTCATCAAACTTTGATCCTCCATATTACAGTCGACTCCACTTAATTGCATACCGCTTAATAGCATAATTCGGTTAATTGCATAGTTTTCTCCTGCACAAAACCATTTCCCATTCATCTAATGTTAAATTGTCCGGTTATATGCATAGCTCTACAAGTGGCCTTTCGGTTTATTGCATAGAAAATTATCGCCATCTAGATATGCTTAGTTAAATCTATCGAAATTTTTTACCAGAAACGGCAAGTTGGTGAGTATACTTTTCTTGAATGCATCATTATTTTCATTATTATTTCATATTTACTTTTGTGTTATTCAAATAAAGTTTTATAACAGTTTCTTTCGTGTTTATATGATTGAATTTGATTTAAAAATAAACCTCGATACCTACACAGGTAAAGTTTCTCATGTTCTATTTTAAGCCTCGAGGTCATAAAAATGTCCAACAGGTAATTGTTGTAAAAACACTGACCATTCTATCTAAAAAGGTGTAAATAATTGATTGGATTTCAAACACTGTCAATAGATTACATTTGGGTGAAATTCAAAAGCAATAACGCCTGCTAATTATCGATCATTATCCAATGTGAACTCCCGTAATTGGGCTTGGGGTGATCTGCATTTAAGTTAAATATTAAAGGGCATTTTTATATGGTTCAAGAATTTTATACATCAATCATTTAATTTTAATATATTTTGAAAAGAGCATTTATTTCTAATTATTATATTTTCTCACTTTCAACACTCGTGTCCAGCAAATAACCCGTACAGGGCCCCTTTACTGCTTTGCATATACGAAACTAACGAAGTCAAATAAACAGTGTTACTTCACTCTGCAAGCTGTAAATATTGTATATCAAAGGCAGTTTAGTACACATCTATTGTTAAAATGATTATAAACTGTGTAGTTTTGTTAAACAGTTTATTTTAATCAAAGCGTAACAATGTACATTGTACATACGGGTCATAGAAACAAATCTATTTTTAGAACGAATTTATTTTCATATCCCAGGTAAACTGGTAAAGGAAACGTCGGTACGCAAATAAACTAAAACAAAATGTGTATAATCTTTATTGAAATAATACAAAATAAAATAACATGAATGACAATAGACATATAACTTTTATTAGAATAAATCAACATTCAATATGTTGTAATTGGATTATAGACGTTCATCTTTCTTCAGGGATTTCCTTTACTGATCTGTTCTATCGATGTTGTTTGACTCCGTAATTTGGCATTTCGGATATAAGCATACTCCGCTTTATTGCATAATTTTGTCTGACAAATAGGCTATGCAAATAACCGGAATGTACTGTATAAGTATATTTAGGTAGAATTTGCATATTTGTACATCTGAATTGTCATATTATACTGATGTTATCAAGATGTTTCCTAATATCCTGTCATCATTACAATAGCGATAAAATGAATGTATATTCTATTTTACATCCAACTTAGGCTAAATAACAGGCAATTATTTTCATATTACTGTAAATTCATTATTATTCAGGGGGATACCATTTTTCGTGAATTTTGTTTGTATAGGTAAGCCATGAATTATAAAGTTCAGTGAAGAACAAATTTTCTATAAGCTTGTATACAGACTTTGGAAAAACTATGAAATCCAATATCCACGAAAATAAATGAATTCACAGTACATTTTTATTACAAATTAAGTATGAGGGGGTGGTCAGGGAGGTACCTTTCTCCCACATCCCGCCCCTATCTCCCACCTCCCACTTTTAGAATCTTTTTTTCTCTCCCACCTATTTTTTGTCTCCCACCTCCCTCAAAAGTTGTCCACCCCCTCAAGTATAGCATAACCATATTACTATAACATTTCAAGCTTTCACTTGTAAGGGATTCTAATGACAAACTTTATATAATTTCTTCAGATTGTCCATTGAGCACCAATATCCAAAATCTAGATCCCAGCTACACAGGTATTACCTGTCATGTGACTAGTTTGTGTACAGGTGTTGAGTGCTGTGTGACCTCTACAGAATTAGATAGGTCATTCAATACCAAGGTTGAACTGAACCCTTGTGACTATATCCTTACTATCGGCATAGATGACTTTGTGTATAGTGTATCACTGGAAGAATTTAGAATGGGTAGGTACTAAATGTACTTATAAAAGGGGACAGAAGGGGCACAAGGGCTTCATTTTATTTATGTATAACAGGTGAAATATTGAAATAAATGGCAATATAAAATTAAGAAGATGTGGTATGATTATTGCCAATGAGACAACTTTCCACCAGAGACTAAAAAACGTGGATGGCCTTTAACTATGAGCAAACACATACCGCATAGCAATATCAAAAAAAGGAGATGTGGTTCGATTGCCAACAAGACAACTATCAACCAAAGTTCAAATAAAGTGTAAGCAATTAGGCAACCGTACAGCCTTCAACAATGAGAAAAACCCATACTGTATAGTATAGTTGCTATAAAAGGCCCCGACATGAAAAATATGAAACAATTCAATTGAGAAAACTAATAACCTTATTTATAACAATTTATGAAAAACAAATATGACAGACGTCAACCAATGACAACCAGTTTGTGTACAGGTGTTGAGAGCAAATGTAAAACAATTTAAATGAGAATCTAATGGTCTTATATATGTACAAAACAATAAATCAAAAACAATTATGACAATCAGCCACAAATAACAAAAACTGAACTACAGGCTCCCTACCTTGGTCCTGATGCCTGTATTTGGGTCTTGTGTCCTTGTTGGTTATGGTAGATACATTATAGAGCACCCGAGTTAAAATAAGTAAAGCTCTACGGGTGATGAAGAATAAATTTCTCTTGTCAATTTTATTGCCCTTTTAAGAAATTAGATTGTTGATATTAGTGAAATGTATACTTTATGAATTTATGAAAATATTGAATCTTAAAGGTCATGATGAAATATGTATAATGATGGCTGAATTTGTTTTTAGGTGAACAGCAGCAATTTTCTTTAGGAGGTGTTGTTAACATTGTGTAAGTATTCTTTTATAAATTATTGATACTTAAAAAAAAATCTAGTCAATTGTATGTCTTTTCTTATGTTTAAAAATCATTAGATGATATTGATTTTTAAGTCAGTTCTTAGGTTCTAAGTGACATGTCAATCTACTGATCTAGGTTACTACTCTATTGGGTTTTAATGGCAGATCTTTGGTTGTTTTTGTTAAATTTATTCTCAACTTTTGATGATTTAGACCTTGCAACCATCCCCTAGCCAGAAAACTGAAGTTACAAAACAAAGATAACAGAACTTTCAGAATGGCTTATAAAACAGTTATGCTTTTAACAATTTATATTTGACAGTTTTGTTTTACCTGTTGATTACTAATTATATTTAGGTTTTTGGTGTATGATTTAGCAGCATCTAACTACTACCTGATGTCATTGAACATTACAATCTGTACAGAAAGTATGGCACCTTGTGAGCAGACGTACATTGTGCTGGATAATGTCCTGCTGCCAAAACTACAATGTTCATGGAATGCCACATTTATCAATCCAAGTATGTTTGTCTTATAGAATAGAAAGGCACTGTTGAAAAAAAGTTGTGTGAAGTGAAAAAAAAAAATGATATTAAATAAATGCATTAGGGACAAATTGATATTTTCTATTTTTTACTTCCTTTGAATTTTAAAAATTTGCCTATCATTTTCAAATTGATACCATATTTATTATTTTGATTTTTTTCACATCCAATTCTGCTTCCCATAATTACATTTTCTGATGTTCAGTTTTATCATTTACTCATGAAACCATAATTTTTTTTTCTTTGAAAAAGGTCATCTCCTCAAACTACCCCTGCAGAAAATGTTAAGGAATATGATATATAAAACATTTCCATTGTTATGTTTTTAGCATTTTCTCTTACTAACTGGATGATAAAGAATGATGTGACAGCACCATTACCAGACTACGCTATATCCATCTTGCTAGATGATCTTGCAGTGTCTCCCTACCTTTTATCTACATCCTGTGACAGAGGGAGAAGTCCTTATAATAAGGAAGTGACAGATGGATGGAGAAATGGTTAGTCAAAATGTTCTGGCAAATTTTAGTCTAGAGAGTCATTTTGGTCACAAGGGGGTCTTTTTTATATAATCATAATTCACTATGTACAGAACGTCTGCACAAAGTCCACCTCTGAAAAGGTTAAATACTAACCCTTATACTTTTATAATGAAACAAAAAGTCATATCACCTCTGAATGATGTCCTTATGAAAGAGAAATACAAAAAATATGTAGAAATTGTATGTCATGCTTCTAAGACAGATAGAGAGGTTCTTATAACAGGTTAATTGTACAAGTTAAATGCATGTAGATTGAGTTTTTAATATTCTATTGCAAAGAAATGTCAATTATAATCTCAAGATTCTTTCAAATTCAATTGACGTTGAAAGTTTAACTGTGACTTCACACAATTTCCAGCTTCTTTAAAAATTGAACTGTGATCTCACACAAGTCTACATTGTGTTTGTTGGAATTAAATCATGTATTTGTTTACAAAGGGAGGGGAAAAAGAGCACCATATTAGAATATGTAATAAAGTAAACCACAGATCAATCAAATTTATATTTTTCCTAAATCTCACTTTTTTTTTGGGGGGGGGTGGGGGGTTGTTAACTGTCTATTATTTGATTAATTGCATTAGTTATGTGTGAAAATTGATAAAATAAGTTTCATGCTTTTTCAGTTTGCCATCAGGATCTGAATGTGACCTTGACACCTATAGCTGAAGATGACCATGTGACTTGTGTATTTAACTGTTACACATCAACCTGTTGTTATGAGGTAGATGGTATTGATCATAGCATCATGTCCAGTGTAACAATAGACACTTGTAAATCAGAGATGAATCTAACAATAGAGAGAATTACACAGACAATATCACTACAAAATTACAGCTTTGGTAAGTTTTCTATATATATTGTTGACCCACTAGATTAGGATGGCATTGGCCTTGGAGACTGTTTGGTACAAAATGACATATATTTACATGATAAGATTCATTAGAAACAGATTACATATCAACCTGCAAAGAGGTCAGTTCTATTTCAATTTAACAAGGAGCTGTTAGAAAAAATTTACATATTGAACCTATCCTGCTCAGTTGGAATACAAGTCAAACTTATACCATTCTTTTACTGATGTCTAATAAGCATAAATTTTTATATATACAACAGACATCTTCAATTTTCAAGTAACCTGAGGTATAATTTTTATGCCTAGTCCTGATTGGTTTCCATTCTCTAACTTTATAATGCCACAACCAAATTTTCTGCAGCTTATACATATAATGCTTATTACCACCATACACAGATCAAGTTCCAAATTGGGTGGTGTCGCTTTCACCGTTCTTAAAGTATGTTCCTTTATAAATGGAAACATTGACAAATTTGCTGTTTCCACACACTTTTGTAAGTGATAAATTAGTCCTGGTAAAATGTGTCCGGGCGGACAAATATTACTAGTATAAAAAGTCCATGGTTACAGAATTAACTATTATATTTAGTCCGATGTCAGTAATTTATGTCCCCAGACTCATTTTCCTAGGAATTTATGTCCATGTCATCAATATTCCTAGGTAAAAACGTCCATGTCCTTTATTTTAATAGGAAAATGTGTAATAAAAGAAATCATTTACATTTAAACAATGGAATATTTAATTCTTATGTTCTAATGTTGTTTAACAGTTGTGCATTAACCTTTTAATAAAATGTATGTGCCCAGACTAAATTTCCTAGGAAATCCTGTCCAGGCCATTAATATTGCTAAGTAAACACAACCATGTTCATTATTTTGATAAGACAATTTGTAATGAGAGAAATCATTTACATGTGAACAATGGAATTTTTAATTATGTTTCAATGCTGTTAAACAGTTGTGCATTAATCTTTTAATAAAATTTATCTGCCCAGACTAATTTTCCTAGGAATTCATGTCCAGGCCATTAATATTCCTAGGTAAAAACGTCCACGTCCTTTATTTTTATAGGAAATTCTGTAATGAAAGAAATAATTTACATGTAAACAAAGGAATTTGTAACTTAAATGTTTTTAAATTGTTTAACATTTGTGCATTGATATTTCACTATTTTATCAAAATATGGGTGTTTTTTAATAATTAAACGGACTTTTTTTCCTAGGAAAATTAATATCACAGACTTTTATGATGTACATAATCACAAAGGTTCCTTTCTTGATTTTGATATTGATTAATTTAAGTAATGTCTTAAGAAATAAACTTCTAAAGGGACTTTTTTCATACAAAAAAGGAGAATACAGAAATATAAAAATTTTCCTAGGAAAATAGGTGCCAGACGTATTTTACTAGCTACGGACTTATTTTCCTAGGAAAATTTATCCAGGGACTTAATTTCCTAGTAAAATTATGGTCACGGACTTGATTACCTAGGAAAAAAAGTCCGGCGGACAAATTTTACTACCGGACCAAATTTACTGTTACACTAGCTCTACTTTGCCCCCCATTACTGTTAATTATTGAACAATAAGAGCACTCAAACCCCAGAGCATCTCTAATGACAACATACAAAAACAAATGTCATTAAGTTTTAAAGAAAACAAACATCAGTAGGTTTGAATTAGTACATTGACTTGCATATTAACAATCGAAAGGCATATGTGTCCCATGGACATATTCTTCTTTTATTTTAAATGAGTAAAACCTGTTATGGCAATGTTTGATTTCTATTTTAGGTTCAGTAGGAAGATTTTCTTTGTTAGGTGTGTTTAGGATCGAGTAAGTATGATCTAATTCATTTAGTCTATTTTTTATATTTAAATAACTACTGTACCTTTTTATCAATGAATTTCTTCAGCGTTTAACATCACCTTCATTTGGGCCAGGTCAGCAGTGCCCTACAGTAAGCGTTCTGTTTGTCCACCCTTTTGTTCACTGAAGTAATTCCTGATGTCAGAATTAACAAAAAAAGGATAGTATTGAATCAGTATTCTTTGTTTCTGTGCTCGTACAGTAATGTGAAAGAAGGCACTTTGCTGACATTTCAGTTTTCTAGTTTGATAAGTCTATTTACATGCTGCTGTCAAAAAAGAAAAGTTTACAGAAAAATTATTTCCATATCATAAATACATCCTGGTCACAATGAAATTAAAGAAGTACTAAAATAAGAAGAAAGTAAGAAACAAATTGCATGAAATGACATGGCAAAAAATATCTGCATATGCATTTTTTTTGTTTTTAGGTATACTATCTACGACCTGGTATCAGAACACAACTATCTGATTTTCATGACCTTGAGTACATGTTTTGAATACAGTGGGATCTGTATGTTTAGAACAACCATCTTTAATGGATTCAAACTTCCAAAGGAGATCTGTACAACAGGAACATCAAGACTTGATACATCATGTTAGTATATAATGTCAAAGTACAGTGAAACCTGTGAGTGAAACAATCTGGATTTGTTCAGATTAGATTTGCTGTTTGGTTTTAGTGTCCCCACTCTAAAAGAGGGCTGTACACTTGTTTTTCTCTGTCTGTCTGTCTGTCCATTTACTTATAACACATTTATGTAACTTTCTCTCAGCAACTACAAGTCAAGCTTCATTTTGTTTGATGCCATACTGTGTGACAGACATGCTTTCTGTCAACAGAAAAAATATCTTTCCATATATGTCTTGAAAATTTAATGAAACCTTCATTTTATTATTCTCAGCATCTTCAAATCATAGCTTCTTAATTTATGACACCTTTTCAATTTCTTCATATCATTTAAAGGTCTTTATAACTTTTGCTGTCACAAAATTTGATTGATTCACATATTTACTGCTATAGAAATTTGTTAGGTGTATAAGAAAGCATATGCCTACAGTACATCTTGTTAAAATTTGAACTTAGTAAAGAATATTTACTGTAAGTCCTGATACAAGAGTTCAGTTTGTAGGTATTTGAACTTTGGTAATCTATGGCAAAACATTTAGTGAGGAATATTCACTTAGTTTTGTATTAAAATTTTGACACTCAAAATTTGTAATTATTTGAAACACACAAATACAAACAATGTTCATTGAAAGAACATTCGCAAAAAAAGAAAATTCATATGTTAGCCAGCTAAAACTAAAGAGTAAATTTATTTGATTAAGGTCTGTTTAAAAAATGTTCCAATTTAAAGCAATCTTGCTTCGGTTTTTGTCTCGCCTTGACGGCGTCAAAAAGCTAGACAAGTATGCTGTTTCCAGCGGGGCGGCAGCATCAACAATCTATTAGTTTGTGATTAGGTCTAGTTTATAGTGAACCACTAGTGGTAGGTCAATGATATTTAGTATGCAGTTGTATTGAATTGGCACATCTCATTTCCATGGAGATTATTTGGCACCACCCCCTCAGTCATGGTCTATTGACTTTGAAACTTTGCTTAGTTTACATGTATTAGTTTGTGATTAGGACAGTTTCAGGGGAACCACTAGTGGTATGTCAATGATATTTGGTAGGCAGTTGTATAAGCATTGGCATATCTCATTTCCATGGAGATTATTTGGCCACGCCCTCTCAGTCATGGTCTATTGACGTTGAAACTTTTACTTTGTTTACATGTATAAGTTTGTGATTAGGTCAGTTTATGGGGAACCACTAGTGGTAGGTCAATGATATTTAGTATGTAGTTGTATAAGCATTGGCACATCTCATTTCCATGGAGATTATTTGGCCCCACCCCCTCAGTCATGGTCTATTGACTTTTAAACTTTTGTTTAGTTTACAAGTATTAGTTTGTTATTAGGTCAGTTTCTGGGGAACCACTAGTGGTAGGTCAATTATATTTGGCATGCAGTTGTATAAGCATTGGCACATCTCATTTCTATGGAAATTATTTGACCCCGCCCCCTCAGTCATGGTTCATTGACTTGAATATTTTTCATAACTTACATATGAAAGTATTGCAATTTTAATTTCAACATTTGCATTTTACTATCAAAATAACAAAAAGGCGAGACATATCTTTGTGTTAACAGTTTATTATACCACCGCTTTAAAAAAAAATGTGGGTATACTGTTTTACCTCTGTCTGTCCGTCCATCCGTCCCATGAATATTTTTTCATCGCATCTTTCTCAGAAACTACATCATAAGGATTTCTGAAATTTGGTTTCAGGGTTTATATAAGTCGGCTATACCATGTGATGCGTTTTCAGATTCATCACTCAACAACTTCCTGTTTACCGAACACTTACATCATTTTACAATAACTATTTAAATATTCCATATGCATATTTGGGCGGGGGTATCATCAGTGAGCAGCAGCTCGCAGTTTCACTTGTTAATTACTGATATTAATAAGATAAAGATATATTTCAGTTGACTTTGATACATGGATGGCATCTAGAGATTTTCCTAGCACCACCATCCCTCTCCCTGAATGGGCTGCAATGCAGCTAGTAGAGGAACTGGGAGTGGCCAAGTTTGTATCCACAACAGAGTGCTACAATCTGAAATCTCCATTTATTGAAGCAGATGCAGTGAATGGATGGAAAAACGGTAATTTTTTTATATTTTTATAACATAAAAATTGCAAAATTTGTAATACAATTGTAACAAGAATAATATTGTTTATAGCATTGCAATTCATGGTTCTTATTTCATTTTAAATTAATTTGCTTTGTCACCTCTTATGTGTACACATTAGAATGATGAATTTGTTGAATTTTATAAAGAAACAATTACTTGGTCATGTGCAAAAATAAGTCCACTTCCTTTATCCTTGATTCACTGCTATTCATTCAGAATACTGTATATTCAGAAATTATTGCGAGGTTCTTTTTATTATTGTGAATAATGCAACTGGGCAAGTATCGCAATAATAAAAACTAAAAAACTAGCATTCTGATATCAGATAAATATACCTGAATGCAGATTTTTAATATGAAACCACTTTCATTTTAGAAGATCTCTGTTGTAATTTCAGTTTTAGACTTTTGTAGGAACCTGATATTCACTCAGAATAATATGAAATAGCTTTATTTTTGAAAGAGTCCTAAACTTCAGTTTCAGACTTTTGTAGGAACATATTTTTCTTTGATTAATTACAGATTGTGTCAATGCAACCAACACTCATGTCTTTGATGCTGGAACATCACGACTTGTCTGCAGTATACCAGTAGGATGTAATGGAGCCAGGTGTTGTATGGATATACCTAGATTGAACAGATCATTGGAGGTGTCAATGTTGATAGAACCCTGCACCAACAAATTGTTGCTGAAAATCGACAAAATGGAGAATGACCTGCTGTTGTCGGATGTGACCTTCGGTAATCACTCATTTCAATGAAGATTAATTTCCTATCAAAACACAGAACAGGGAACATCTGAATTCTGAGCATCTGTGCGTTTTCAGTCCAATCTTGAAGGGAATCTCATGGCTATATTTTTGTCCAGATTTTTATGATAAATCTTATAAATGCTGAGATTACAACCCCTCAAGAGATAATTTTTTAGTTTAGAAGTCCTATGTATTTAACATTTTTGTCTTTGAGTCGAGTTTATTACTACTAAATGCAAAGAAAACTTTCAAAAGGAAGAATTATCTTTCCTTATTTCTATTTTATGTAATTTGTGTAAGAAGAGAATATTTGACTTTTAAAATCCAGGTATGATATTTCTATGCATTGATATAATATTTTAAATATTTATTTTCAGGTGTGCATTACAAATTCTCTCTTTATGGCATCATCAACATTGAGTAAGTTTTAGGTGTAAATTAAATGAAGTGGATACTGTTGCTTCAGTTTTAATCATAGTGTACTAATTTTGTGGATTTGGTTTTACAACGTCTTTATGATCCACACAATTAAAGTATTCGTAAAGAACATATATCCTAAAATTTTGTTCACAGAACTTGTTAAAACCATGAAATCATGCCCTCATGAAAACACACTTTTTTCATCACTGAATAGTCTTAGGAAAAGAAATAAGTCTGCTATTGGTTGTTGGGACATATTTTTGGCTTTTATGTAAACCTTTACTTTCATATTCAAACTGTTTATTGGTCCATCTTCAGTTCTTACATATTATTTTGACAATGCTTTGAGTTATGCTTGGAAAAAACAACTATGATGTACCAAAATATTTTATATTTTATCATTTTTCTTGTGTTTGTCTGTGATTTTGTTTTTCCCTGATGAATGTCTCTGAAGGCAAGATGACAGTAAATGGATTATGATCTGAGGGGTGGACAGGGGTAAGAGTACATGGGAATGAAGGGGCGGGAAGTGGAATGCAGGAGGCGGGAACTGGGGAAAGAGGGGAAGTAAAAATTGGGATATTGTGGGAAAAAAATTTGGACTGATTTTCATTTTGGAGTAAGGGGATGGGAAGTGGGAGTTAGTGGAAGGGAATAGAGAGTTGGGAGATGGGGGGAGTGAGAATCAGTGATTCCACTGTCCACCCTCTAAACTGTTAAGATGTTGAATATTTTACAAGTTGGGAGAGCTAGTTATTCTATCTTTGACTTACAAAAATGTACAAAATACTTAGTCTGATTAGTTTGTGCAGGCAAAAGCATAACATGCAGTAGAGTGAACAGATTGAATCAAGATTCAAAGTGATGAAAAAGTTTTTAATTTTCAAAATTATATCTCAGAAATTGGTTCATCAACATAGTAAAAATATTTACATAAATGTAAGTAATGCTTGATATAGAAATTTTATGCATCAAGCCAACAAAGGATAAATGAAATGATTTGATTCATTTCAGATATACTATTAGAGAAGTAGATTTCGAGGATCAGTACGAGGTCAATATGACCTTGACAGTGTGTTTTGATTCTATGACTTGTGAGATTGAACATCCTGTATTCATCAATACAATACTTATAAAGGAAGTCTGTAATTGGACATCAGAATTCAAAACTACAGGTAAAAACAAATCTTACATTCATAGCACTTGGTGAATTTTATCTTACTAATAGTTCTTCGATTTTTATCAGTCCACACTAACCAGCGTAACCATTCTGAAGATAATTATATTTTATTTCAGAAATAATTATGCAAACAATAGATTTGTTGGAAATTTTCACATGGCCTGGATTGTTATTATTATTTCCATTTTTTTGTCCCAAATGTAGCAAGGGATAAATTAACAAATATAACGGCCTAGGCCATGTGAAATGAATTAATTGATTCTAATTGGACAAATAGGATAAGTTAAAAAAAAAAGTAAAGCGCAGATATGTGGGAAGTGTGTGCGACTGTTCTGTTTCACCACCTAAAAACACAGTATAACAAAAGTACTGAACTCCAAGGCAAATTCATAAAGGTGAAGTCCATAAAAACTGACAAAATCAAACGCTATCAATCAACATAACAAGTGAAAAACAACTGTAACAAGTGAAAAACAACTGTCGTATTCCTGACTTGGTACAGGTATTTACTGAAGGAAATGGTGGGTTAAACCTGGTTTTATAGCAAGCTAAATCTGCCACTTGTATAACTATATATATTTATAGTTCCGTAATATTGACAAAATTGGGTGAGCAACCCAAACAGACACAATAGGTTAATATGACATTAATTGGGATCTGTAAAAAGATCAAGCTAAAAATTGCAAACAAATATAGGACTTGCATAAGTTATTTCTTAAATTATCAGTAGAAAATAATAGTTTTTTTAGAGTCAACTTTTAGTTATAGTGTAAGGTTAAAAATTTTCAGTCACCAATGACTTTGTCAAACCTTCATGCAATTTTAGGTGAATTGGACAGAACTGTTATTTGTAATCAAAAGACAGTATTCAGAGCAAAAATTCAAAATATAATATATGTAATGAACTTGTGTTTTTATATTCTTTGATAAGGTTCAAACATTTTATAAATTTCAGATTTTTCCTTGAGTTCATGGTTGTCTGACAGAAATTTAACCATGACCTCTGACCTTAATGACATCAATGCAGATGAACTGTTACAAGATTTGGGACTGACAGATTTCATGGGCAGTACCAGTTTATGTGACCATGGCATTTCTCCTTATAATACTCTGTCATATGGATGGAATAATGGTAAGTTCTAATGTTGTCATATTACATTAAAAATGATTAACACTCTGTTAAAAGACTTTATCATCCTACCCTTTGCCTATATCACCCTGCTGAGTTGCTCCGTAATTCTTGTATTATGGCTTTGAGACATGAGCAGACATTATCAGCGATGTCACAATGTCTGAGAAGAAGTTATCAGCAACGTCACAATATGAAAGGAGAAGCTTACTTTCGTCAAACATTACACTGTCTAAAGGAGGGGGAAAAGGCCACCAATAGAATGATAAACAGATTATCGGGTTTTCTACTTATAGAAATCATTAAATATCAGCCACTGTACACAATGTGAATCTTTTTTGCTCGTTAACTATGCTTACTTGCCAAAAAGGTTCACCTTGTGGCTAGTGGCTTATATTTTAAAAATGTACCGTATTTTCCGGATTAAAAAGCGCACCCCTAAATAAGGCGCACGGCCGTTTTTGGGGGTGAGGATTGTTTTTTTCCTTACATAAAACGCACCTGCATATAAAGCGCACCCTGAAGAAAACGTACATGCATTCTACGGACCTTAGCATAATGAATGTTCACTCCTTCTTGTAACTCACTCCGTAACATGTTTCATTTTTATTTTCAGATTGTTGAGAAAGTTGAAAGACATTTTGTATATATTTATTTGTTTCATATTAAAATAAATAAATGTTAATAAATTATTATAATTTTTTTATTGTTTTAATCATGCCAGATTCATTAGTTGTTTTTTGTCAACAATGGCCATGTGTTGACAGCTTGGGTGTCCATTGAACCTTGTTGTTTTGATTAAAATAAGTTCGGTGTTGATTGCTCATTTATTGTTTGAATTGGAATCAAGGATTTTAATTAATCTTGAAAAGGTATTCATTAAAAGTTACCCAAGCCATAAAACTGCCATTGTTTACCTTGATTATGACCTACTTAATTACCTGTACCCACGTGTGAAAACTGTTCACCCATAAGTCAGGAAAAAAAATTATTAAATTAAATCTAAAGAATTTTATTGTTGTTTATAAAATAAAAGTTTAAGTTTTATAAGTAACAAACATTTTTCAATTTAAACTTGGTTGAAAACTACGAACAAAACCATTCAGTTTCTGCAAGTCATTGTCTATTTTTAACTGAAAGTGAGATGGGCCACGGAAAGGGGAATTCAAATAAGACGGCGATATATAAATGTCTTAGCATATTGAATTATGAAAATTAATATTCATTTTTTTTATTTCTTACACCAATATGTGGCTACAATATTTCATAAAGATATTTCATTTTGAAACAATAAAACAACAAGCAGTTACTCCTCAATAGTATATCCTGTATGGTACCTCTTTTCAAACACGCTTATCTTTCTTTGTTTATGAAACACTTTAAAGGGTTCATTTCAGCACATGGTTATCACCATCGTCATTAAAAGAGACTTGAAATATTGGAAAGAAACACAATCACTTCCTTTATTATTTCTAAAGAAGATTTTATTTAAAAACACATTACAACAACAAACAATTACATATTTATTGTAAATACACAATTAATATCCTGTATGGTACCTCTTTCAAACATGGTTATCTTTCTTTGTTTATGTAATAAACACATGGTTATCAACTTCGTAGGCCAACAATGAAAAAAAGAACAAATGATAAAGTATATATATTTTTATTCATAACAAAATATGCCACATGAACAATTTATCAAGTCACTGCAAGCACTTGACAATCTGACGGTCTCCATAAAAAAAAAATCCAGATATATATTTTTTTTCACGCTTGCCCTGAAACTGAAAAAAATACATACATAAAGCGCACCTGAGTATAACACGCAGGGACAATGACAGAGAAAAAAACCTGCGGCTTATTTAACGAATTTAACGGTAATAGTTGTTTTCTTATTGAAAAACATTTATAACAAACCAAAACCACAGTGTTGCACCTGAAAGAAGCCAAATGAATCTGCTTTCTGTATCTATATTTTCGAAATCATTTCGTATTTTTAAAGCAGAATCTAACAAAACTTGTCGTTGTTGTTCAAATCCTGGAAATTCCATCTGAAAATGAATTTCATCTTCAATTGAATTTCAAGAACAAACTTTTCAAATTCTTTTATCTTTGTCAATCTTTTTATAATAGTTATTAGCTAATTTATGTGCACTCTTTCACATTTGTGTGAGGTGTTTTCTAGTTTTAAAATTCTTCACAACATTGAGATAAGTCTCCATTTTGAAAATAATATCCTTAAATTTGAATTGCATTCATTATTTACCCTGTTTCACTGTAGCAGTCTATAAAAGAAATAGATATAATATTGGAAGAAATAAGTAAAATAAATTTTTGCATTTTTAATAGAATGCACCACACCAGGGATTGTTCTTTCAAATATCTCCCACCCAGCAGCCTGTCACGCCAATTCTGATTGTAACAGATTTTCCTGCTGTATTGAGGTTGGCATTCTGAAGAGGTCATTGTATGCAGCAGTGTATCTTAATCCCTGCAGATATAACCTACAAGTACAACTGGAACAACTGACCATCGATGTAGACCTCTTTACATATACTTGGGGTAAGTAATAGATGTCAGTTGTCTTACAAATATGCATTGAGCAGAATAGACCATCAAAATTTACCTGGGTGAATTCAAATAAAATTGAATGCTTTCACAATTCTGTAGTAAATTTTACAACTTTTACTTAGGAAATCTATGTTAATGTTTTTTATTGATATTTAGGTTTTTGATTTAGATAATTTAAGAAATAGGAAATCTATTCCTTGCACTAATGAAGTATAATCAAATGTTTTTTTATTTTTCCAGGAGAAAGGAAACAATACTTCTTGTATGGTGTCTTTAGGTTAGAGTAAGTATCAATAAATTAAAACCTGTAGTGGTGCTTTCCCTTACCTAGTAGATACCTGTAGTTGTGCTTTCCCTTACCTAGTAGATGCCTGTAGTTGTGCTTTCCCTTACCTAGTAGATACCTGTAGTTGTGCTTTCCCTTACCTCCCTTACCTAGTAGATACCTGTAGTTGTGCTTTCCCTTACCTAGTAGTTACCTGTAGTTGTGCTTTCCTGGTAGTTACATGTAGTGGTGCTTTCCCTTACCTAGTAGATACCTGTAGTTGTGCTTTCCCTTACCTGGTAGATGCCTGTAGTTTGTGTTTTCCTTACCTAGTAGATACCTGTAGTTGTGCTTTCCCTTACCTAGTAGATACCTGTAGTTGTGCTTTCCTAGTAGTTACCTGTAGTTGTGCTTTCCCTTACCTAGTAGTTACCTTTAGTTGTGCTTTCCCTTACCTAGTAGATACCTGTAGTTGTGCTTTCCTAGTAGTTACCTGTAGTTGTGCTTTCCCTTACCTAGTAGATACCTGTAGTTGTGCTTTCCCTTACCTAGTAGTTACCTGTAGCGGTGCTTTCCCTTACCTAGTAGATACCTGTAGTTGTGCTTTCCCTTACCTAGTAGTTACCTGTAGCGGTGCTTTCCCTTACCTAGTAGATACCTGTAGTTGTGCTTTCCCTTACCTAGTAGATACCTGTAGTTGTGCTTTCCCTTTCCTAGTAGTTACCTGTAGTTGTGCTTTCCTTTACCTAGTAGATACCTGTTGTTGTGCTTTCCCTTACCTAGTAGATACCTGTAGTTGTGCTTTCCCTTACCTAGTAGATACCTGTAGTTGTGCTTTCCCTTACCTAGTAGATACCTGTAGTTGTGCTTTCCCTTACCTAGTAGATACCTGTAGTTGTGCTTTCCCTTACCTAGTAGTTACCTGTAGTTGTGCTTTCCCTTACCTAGTATATACCTGTAGTTGTGCTTTCCTAGTAGTTACCTGTAGTTGTGCTTTCCCTTACCTAGTAGATACCTGTAGTTGTGCTTTCCTTTACCTAGTAGTTACCTGTAACGGTGCTTTCCCTTACCTAGTAGATACCTGTAGTTGTGCTTTCCCTTACCTAGTAGTTACCTGTAGTTGTGCTTTCCCTTACCTAGTAGATACCTGTAGTTGTGCTTTCCTTACCTAGTAGATACCTGTAGTTGTGCTTTCCCTTACCTAGTAGTTACCTGTAGTTGTGCTTTCCCTTACCTAGTAGATACCTGTAGTTGTGCTTTCCTAGTAGTTACCTGTAGTTGTGCTTTCCCTTACCTAGTAGATACCTGTAGTTGTGCTTTCCCTTACCTAGTAGATACCTTTAGTTGTGCTTTCCCTTACCTAGTAGATACCTGTCGTTGTGCTTTCCCTTACCTAGTAGATATATAACCTCTATTCATTAACTGCTTTATTGGATAACTCCTCTAGCTCAATTGGTAAAGCGGGGGTAGTGGTGGTAGGGGTCCATTATAAACCTGTAATTTCAGGAGACAATTCAGGTGAAAAAATGTGACTACTTTATTCATCCTTGGAGAACTTTGAAAATTGCAAACAAATCATTTTTGGAATACAAAATGGCGGTTTCCTTTAGTTACAGATAGGTAAACTGTCTATTCAGCCCTTCAAAATATATGATTTAAATGTTACATAGAAATGCACACCTGCACTTTGAATTTACAATAAATGATGAAACATTATTATTTATGAAATAAAAAAAGATATAAAAAAAAGTCTTGAATATACAATAATGAAGAAAAAACGTTATTAGTTGTATTAAAAAAAAACGTCTTCAGAGTACAGTTGTGTATAATATGCAGCCCCTCTATCAACTATATGTTTAGGGTAAAAAAGTGTATTTAATACACATCCAAATAAGGTATTTGAATTTGGCTATGATAGTTTCTGCTTTAATTTGAGTAATGAATACATTGAATTATGTTCTTTTGATGATTGATCTTTATTCAGCATCAGGGAATACAAAGAGATATTGTTTTGACTGAAACATCAAATTGTCTGGTTAATGAAATATGTACCAGCTATAAAGTAATCATTCTGATCAGTATCACCTGCTTCATATTGTCTTTTATTAGGTTTATGATCAACCATGTAGCCACTGAGAGAGCCTATGTAGTGGATGTCAACATCAAAGTTTGTTTTGAAGCTGGGTCTGGCAGCTCATGTTACCAAGAGTTTACAGTACTAGAGGATACCAGTATACAGTATCCAAATTGTAGTACCAGTACTTTGGAGTCACTTCCCTTTGATGGTTAATACATTATTTTGTTATACTGTTTTATAGAATACTTTTAAAAAAACAGGATTGAATTTCGTAACTAATAGAATTGTTAACAAATTGATCCCCTTGTAATTTCTAACGTGTAAGTAATAATGGCAATTATTGCAAAGTTCAAAGTTTAGAATTATATAGCAAAGATCCCTTAAATTCATGAAAGTTCGTAAATGAAATTATGTCCTTTAAAGAAGTAACAAAAAGCAATTTTAAATTTTGAAAACTATAAACATTGCTTATTGAACTATTATGTGTTGAAATGTAGATTATGTAACCCCTGACACATATTCATGTGCTTATCGCAAGTCATGAACCTCCTCAGTAATTGGGGGCCTCGGTGGCCGAGTGGTCTAAGTAGTTACTACTGTAATCACTAGCCAGTCAACACTGAGGTTGTGAGTAATAACCCCGCTATTGCGGGTGCACTCGACTCCAATCTTAATTGACTAGGATTGTCAGTTTTCCTATCGAAGGTCCTGTTTTTCTCCGGGCACTCCGGCTTCCTCGACCAATAATAACTGGCCACCACGAAATAGCCCAAAAGCGGTGCTTAAAAGTGGCGTTAAAACACCAGAAATAAAAAATCAAATCCTCAGTAGTTGTTCTAAACCAACAACTTAAAAATGATATTGTCTGATATTTATTATTTAGTGACCACAATTGTCTTTTATCAGAATATATTTGGGAATAATCAATTAATTGCAAAGGAATAGCATGTGGTCTTCCTACAATTTTTGTCATGTTTTGCCAGATGAGAGAATTATCATACCAAATATCAGCAAACAATCGCAGGACATTAAAAAAAGAATAGGAACAGTTACTAATGCTTTTCTTTTTATTATGACATATTGGATTTTTACATTAAAAACAAGGTTTCATAATTGTTAATGCTATATATATTTTATGAAATATAATAACTTTTTATGACATTTTTTTTTCAGGTCTTAGCCTTGACTTTTGGGAACCTGAAGTTTGTTATTTCTTCAATGGAACTGTTTTTCCAAGAATATTCATCATAGAAAGTAAGCTATATATTATACACAATCCTATTTTCTATTAATATACCTAACTAATAAGGAATGTTTCTGATTGGTCCAAATAATCATAGAAAGTAAGCTATTTATTATACACAATCCTATTTTCTATTATTATACCTAACAAAAAGGAATATTTCTGATTGGTCCAAATAAGGATCACATGATGTTGACAATTGTTGAGATTTTTTTTCTCACAATCTCACAAATTCACTTACCGATTGTGATAATAGTATTATAGACAAACCTAAATTTCATCTACCAGGTGATTACCAGAAATGGTCTGTTTTTGATAGTTTTCATGGGTACCGATTTGTGTGGATTGAGGAAAACTCATTTTTGTGGATATTTGATTTCAAGGTTTTGCTGAAGTCTGCATACAAGCCTATAGAAAATTGGCTACTTGTTGAACATTTGGATTTGTGGTTCACCTGTTCCCACGAAAGCCACTAACATTTGTATCTCACAAATAAAAATGAATCCGCAGTATAGTTAATTAAAGGATGAAGTATTTCTAAATATCATTTGATAGTTTCTTTAATTGACCTTTAAACAGTCATTTAATATATTTACTATTTCTGTTCCCATAGCAACCACAGTAGAAATTTTTACAACAGGCAACATGACAACAGAAGAAATGACAACAACAGCCCAGACAACCACACCAGTGATAACAACCACACCCGAGATCACAACAACTCCAGTAATCACAACAACCATAACAACTGAGACAACAACTGTTGCTATGACAACAAATGATGGCACAAATTTTACAGTAGGAAATATGACCGATTTTACTGAAGCAAACATGACATATGTCACAGAGGCTATTGAAACAACAACCTTGGAGCAGACAACTGTTATTACAACAACTGAAGCCACAACAACACTCTTGACAACAACAGAAGCAACAACCACCATCTTAACAACAACAGAGACTTTTGATTGTGAGTTTAGACAATTTCACCATTTACACCCAATTTTTAAAGGAGTAGGGACTTTAAGTATAAAAAAGAAGATGTGGTATGATTGCCAATGAGACATCTTTTTACAAGAGACCAAATAACACAGAAATTAACAAATTAGGTCACTGTGCGGCCTTCAACAATGAGCATAGTCTATACCGCATAGTCAGCTATAAAAGGCCACAAAATGACAAATGTAAAACAATTCAAACGTGAAAATTAACGGCCTAATTTATGTACAAAAAATTAACAAAAAACAAATATGTAATACAGCAACAAACGACAACCACTGAATTACAGGCTCCTGACTTTGGACAGGCACATACATACAGAATGTGGCAGGGTTAAACATGTTAGCGGAATCCCAACCCTCCCCCTAACCTGGGACAGTGGTGTAACAGTACAACATAAGAACGAACTATAAAAATCAGTTGAAAAAAGCTTAACTCATCAGATGGATACAAATAGAAATACATCTAACAAAAACACAAAAGTGAATGTGGCCGGGTAACAACAAAAAGACACTAAGTACAGATCTGAGAGTAATCACAGTTACTGACAGCTAGTTCAAAGCCAATAACATCTAATAAAAAAAATCATGCATCTAAGACTTAATTATCAATCATTACACATCCAACATCAAATGAATTTATTGTAAAGACTTCATAAACAGTCAGAGATAAACATGACCTTGTGCAATGCCAAGATACAGGTATCGACAGATTGTAGATCCATGAATGTGCATATGTATATTACAATAGTATTAGTTTTCTATTAATACCAATAAAAACAATATTCAAAGATCTAATTATAGTGTTGAATTGGTAACCTTTTAGAATAAGTTTATTTAAAGGATAGATAATTGTACCAGGATTGTTGCTAAATTTCCGGGCACGGTAAACAACATCTCCGTAAAAATGAGGATGTGCATTCCCGTTTGAAATAAGTTTTCTACAGGTACAACCAAACTTCAAAACCAAATCTTTATATCTATGGAAGAATTAAGTAAAGGTTATTAGTAATTTATTGTTACGAAATCCCTGACTTAATAATTTACCAGTATTACATAGATAACGTTCATTAATATCCAAAATGTCACAACAGACTCAGGCATGGCCAATGAGTTGCGATGTATAAACACCATAAAACGGTGCCAAAGGAACATCACCATCCAAAAAAGGAAAATCAACAATATAGGGTTTGACAACTATTTCAAATTAAGGCCCTGTATTGCCAAAGAAAATGAAATGTTTGACAACTATTTCAAATTGGCAAATAATGTTTGAAAATGCATAGAGTTAAGAAAAATAAATTAAAAACCTAAGATTTGTTATCTGGTGATGTCATAATTACTTCTTAATTATAGCGTTTTCATGAAAACGATGAAAAATACAGAATTTATGCAGTTTTCAATCATTATTTCCATTGTGGAAACATCATGCACAGCCAAGAAACAACAAAATAATTTAATAGAAGCTTTATATATAACTATTGGCATAAACTCACCAAATATAAAGTTGTTTCTTGGGTGCACACATACTTTGCCAATCTAATATATACTCGTAAACATTTGATCACAAAAAAAAGGAAAATAAAGAAATTTTACAAAATTGACAAGTTTGGTCATGATTTGTTGCCATGGTAACTCGTTAAATGTGTGTTTTTATTTTCTGAATACCTTGTACCTTAGTCTAGTTGGGGCAAATTTAAGAATATGTATGATAACATTTAAATTTGTAGTAATATTTGGGCCAAATAAGGGCCTTTTAGTGAATGCCCCTACTCTTTGAATGCAATATAATGTTTTCTGCAGTAAGACAGGGTATAATGACAGCTGTCAGATGATATGGAACTATAGTGATATATCTAGTGTTTGTTTAGCTATCAATATTTTCCCCTTCCTTTCAGATTGTATTAAACTAAACTTTACCGACCTTGGTGAGGACAGCTGTGAGATGAAATATGACTGTACTGGTGTAGCTTGTTGTTTAGCTATAGATTATCTCCCTGGAGTTAGAAACACAGAAATCCGACTGGAAATTGATACATGTGGTGTTAATGACACTGTAGAAATGACATGGACTGTGGAACGGAAAACTGGAACAGAAACTATTCATGGCCTTGCTATAGGTACTTGCAGGCTAAACTTAGACATGGGAGTTATTCCCCCTCTTAACACACACATAAATATATGGGTGACATATTGTTTTTGACCTGCTTATCAATTTTCCTGTCCATCAGTTGCAAAATTTTGTCATGATAAATTTCTTTCAATTAATCTAAGAATTTAAAGAATATGACAGATTTACTCCAAACCATGTGTAGTTGTGCCCATCCATATTTATTCTTAATAAGACTCATTTTGGGTACTTTTGGTATCAGAACTTTATTTTTACATGAAGAACATATGGGATAAGAATAAAGGAGATGAGGGGTATACCTCAGTGAGACATCAACCCAACCACACAAGTTAACATAAGACATCTTATGTCTGTATATTTGATACCTTTAACATACCTGCCAACTTTTCAAAATCTCCATTGCGGATTTGAAGCAAAGAGTACCGTATGCTCCACTTATATTGTCATAAGTGTTTTTAATCTACTTTTAAAGTTAAATTGTTCGAATGATTATCTATGTGTTTAAATACCCTTTTAACACATTTGAATGCCTGTTTTGAGGTATTTTGTTTATAAAATAAAGAATTATAAAATTCAGGTCTACACCTCTCATGGGGGAAATACCCCATAAAGCGTGAAAGTTGGCAGGTTTGCTGTAAGCCACTGATACTTCAACTGAATGTTTACATCACGAAAGTTTCTTTAACAATAATTTTATCTGACATTAATGCCTCATTGTACACCTGTATTGTCTTGTTTAGGATCAACTAAACAGATAGATATAGCCTCTGCCTTCCAATTAAATGTGACCTTTGATGGGGAACATTATAAATGGTTCTACGTCTCTGTAGCATTGAGAGCATGTGAAGTATCTCCATTCCCAGGGATCTGTGAAACATTCCAAGTCCTTCAATCGTCAGCTATAGCTAAAAATTGTCATGGATTGCATTTATCAGCTAGAAGAAGGAAAAGGGATACAAAAGATGTATCATTTAGAAGTAGGACTCTGATGTCTTTGGATGAAAGTGATATCAACAAAGATGGTACTATAGAAAAGTTAATATTTGAAGAGGTTGTAAGAAGACAGATAAGAATAGCAAAGAGATCCACAACAGAGTGAGGATTATTATACTTTACTTTTACACATTTTCTTTATTACTGTAAATTCACAGAAATTATTGTGTGCATATTTTAATGCCATTGTTAGACAATCGACACAAATGGAAGTTTATTTATTATGAATTTAGGAAATGCTGTGTACATATGGATATAATGCTATCAAAATTTAAAATGCAAGTTTTTATTTTTGCAACACCTATCTCGGCGCAATTTTTGCAAAAATAAAAAGATCAATTTTGGGGGGAAATTTACCTAAATCATATTAGCCTGTTGGAGCACATTTGTGTTCACAAATGTCATATTAAGTAATTTTAAGTAATTAAATGTTAATCTAGTACATTTTTTTTTCTCAGAAATCTGAATTTGATGTTATACTTGTTATGGTGAATTTAATGAAAATAAATCACAAGAGATCCCACTTGGTTTATGACATTTTTAACCAATCAGAACACTGACATGAGTTCAAGAAGACTTTGGGTGTGAATTAAATAACCCAGAAACAATAATTCAAAAGACAAAATATATTTTTTTATGTATATAAATCTTTTTGTTGTTATTTTCTCTATATTAATGTTTACTTTCAGACCTGATGTAACTAATTTTAAAGAAGGCATCAAAATATTATTGGACAGAAATGCTTCCAATGAAGAAATAGTTACATATGTTACCCAAGTCAGGAATTATGAGGTAAAGTTGTTTATTTCAGTTACTATGTAAATTCAGAAATTATCGCTTGCTTTTATTATTGCAATTTTTAAAGGATGGACAAAAATGCCAGATTAATTATTGTGATTTCCTGAAAATCTGCTTATAGATATATATGTATAAGATATCAGACTGCAAGTTCTTAGTATTGCGATATTCACCTAGTCACATTATTCGCATTAATAAAAATCTTGCAATAATTTCTGAATTTACAGTAATCTATCAATAAAAAAATTATAGAATACAATAATCATACCACCCACTGCTTAAACTGTAGGCTAAGGATTATTATCTCAACTCATCAAGTTGTGGAGGCTAGAATTGGGCATGATGTTTCCGATACTGCAGCTTCAACTATTAATAAAGATTGTGATTATGTCATTTAAAGGGGAACCACTTATGGTAAGTCATTGATATTTGGTATGCAGTTGTGTTATCATTGGCACATTGCATTTCCATTGAGAGTAGTTGGCTCTTCCTCTCCGACATGGTCCATTGACTTTAAAACTTTTGCATAGTTAACATGCTACACAGATGAGACACATCTCTGTGTCAACAGTTTACTTTATATAGTAATCAATCTCTCTTCGTCTGTCATTTTTTCAAAGTTGAATTTAAAATGACTGTTATTACTTTACAGCTTCAAAAGAGACTGACTAATTTACAGTCAGTTGACCTTGGAAATGGCGACAGAACTACAGGTCAAAGAGCAGCTCTGAAAGCTTTAGGGTCAAGCAATCCATTTTCTCTGTATACCAGTAGAGAAACTTTTGATGGAATGTTTAATACCCCTGGAGGTAAGGGCATTCAACTGATTGAATATAATTTTGGAATTATTATATTTATAAGGGATGTTTACTAGTACAAAATGAATATTGGTTGATTTTATCGGGCAATACCCAAGTACTCGCTTGGAAAATATCTACAAAATGGAACACAAATATTCACAGATTAAGTTTTTGGGTAGTTGTCTAATTAGAAATAAAACCCTCTTCATTGTTATCTGAGACATATATTAATTAAGTAAACAATAATCTAATCAATAAGTTAATAAACATTTATATACTGATTACAAGAAACTAATTTAATATAAAGAAGGATGTTCTAACAGGAAACCGATCACTCGAGATATTCAATACTCTGTAATTGAGTACATCCATTATATTTATGCATTATCCTGTTCTTAGAACAATTCTCTATTTGTCCTTATTTGATTTTTTTTTTTTCATTGGGTCCATTTCTCTTAGAATTCTATGATAATATATCAGTGATAATTTTTTAAAAGTCTTTATTTGTCCCCCACGCAATGTCTTGTCCCGTCTTGTTAGCGCTCTCATGTGAAAGTTTTTATCAGATTTTCATAAAACTTATATCATAGGTTTATATCAGCAATGTCACGGATAAGTTCGAAAATGAATGCCCATTGATTATTTTTATAAGAGTTATGCCCCATGGAAATATTAATTATATGGAAAATTGCATTGTTAGCGCTCTCATGTGTTCAATTCTTGCCAGATTTTTATGAAACTTATATCATAGGTTTTTATCAGCAATGTCTAGGACATGTTGGAAAATCAGTGTCGATAATATTTTTAAAGAGTTATGCCCTTGGAAATATTAATCATATCAGATATTGCATTGCATTTACTCTCATTTGCCTTCATATCTATGATATTTATTTTAAAAAATATTTGGTTATTGTCCTTGGACAGATTAAATATGTGCAACTTGGAGGACATTGGAACTCTGCTGTTTTATTTGATATAAAGAAAAGGGAGGAGATACATGTTTTTTTTAACCGATGATCAGAGTTTTTAAGAATGATGAGGCTCTATTGTGTCAAAAACAGTATGTTTACCTATTATTTTTAGCTGTATGTTATCTAAAAACTTCCTTCTCAATAAATTTATTCATAGATGAAGCCATATTTCTAATGATAAATGGCAGTGGATTACCACAGAACCAACAATCTTATGTGATTGGACAAGGTTTGTCAGTGAATGGTACCAAGCTCCTAGCTGTCAAATTGGCTAACCTGACAATTACAGACCTCAGAAACCTCTTGGACATGAAACGTTTAGAACTGATGTCAGTGAAAGAACTACTAATAGACATCAGAGATTTAACTAAAGCACTGGTATGTTACTAACATAGGAAAGATTACACATATAAAAAGTGGCCTAGGTGGCCATGTGTTCTAAGTTGTTCATCACTAGCCTGTCAACACTGAGGTTGTGAGTTGGAACCCTGCACTTGGCATATGTGTTTGACTCCTGTCATAAATGACTAGGATTGCCTGTTTTCCAGCCACAAGTCATGGTTTCCTCTGCAATTAAAAATTGGCCTCGCAATATAGCCATGAATGCTGAAAGTGGCATTAAATACCAACAATCATATAATTATAATTAGAATTGTATACAAATAGATTACAGTAAATCAAATTATTTTTACAGATATTTTTTTCACATTTTGGGCTGTCACATGGACATCGTTTAACATATTCCTGACAGTTTATATTCACATTATTTTTGTACCTGCAAAAGTTTTGGAAATTGTTTGGTTTACATTATAAATATATTAATATATTGTCAGTTCAGAAATTATTGCGAGGTTTTTATAAATGCGAATAATGAGACTGGGTGAGTATCGCAATAATAAGGCCATAAAAAAGAATATGTTTGTTTGCCCTAACCCTACCTACCCAGAAAATGGCTGCCTACTCAAAATCTTTTATTGTCTTGATGTGAAAAAGTTGTTTTTTTTATAATCGGATAGGCATGAAGACTAAAAAACAACTGACACTTTAATTTCTCTTTACGAAAGAAAAAAAAAGAAGAAAATACCTACCTACCTACCCACTGTCTCTACCTTTGGGTAGAGTTTGGGCAAACCAAAATATTTTTACGTGTGGCCTAAGAACCCGCATTCTGATATCTGACATTGTCTGATACATATATTACTGAAATCACAATAATTGAACTCATATTTTTGTCCATTCTTCAAAAATCTCAATAATAAATGCACGCAATAATTCCTGAATTTACAGCATCAGGATTTGAGGAAATCTTAATCCTATGTAAACTAGTGAGTAATCATTGTTTGTTCTAGTTTAACATTTCCATTAAAATCATATTTATGTAGAATGCAGAGGTATGGGTCAGTGATCCAAATTTACCTCACTCTTTCATGTAACCCGACATTTGGCTTTTGACTTCTGTTTCAGTATTTTGATTTCTATGATGAACTCTCTAGTGAAGGAGACAATGTATTCACCTCCTTAGATCTGACATTGACTGGTACCCTGGACTTCCCAAGACAAGATGTACAGGCCATGGAGTATACCATAGACTTCCTGCTTGGAGGACTGGTTCCCATGAAATTTGGTAAGTCACATTCCTAAGATTGACAGTCAAGAACAATATAAAGCTGAATGACGTACATAGAATGCCAATGTCATACCACTTCATTTGGTTTTCAAGTAGATCTTCAATTAAGAAACTTGCCGTCTACCTTTTATTCTTACCTTTTATTGGGATTGCACTATAATTCAGACAGTAATGGTTTTTTTTTTAATGTTTGAGGTTGGACTAAGTGAAACACATCATCTCTAATGAACATGATTGATAGTTTAAACAACAGCCTTCAACAATGAGCAAAGAGCAAAACCCATACCGCATAGCAAGCTATAAAAGGTCCCGAAATGACAAATGTAAAACAATTCAAACGAGAAAACTAACACCTGATTTATGTACAAAACAATAAAGGAAAAACAAATATGATATAAAGTCTGCTTGCAGGAGATTCATAGATAATTTGAAATAAAATGACTGTCCAGTGTGAGATTTGGCCTGTTGTAAAAAGTTGACTAATTAGGGCCCCGCCCAATGGCGGACGCCCTATAGTGATCAGTCTGTCCGTCCCTCTGTAACAAATCGTGTCCACTCTATATCTAGAGAACCGTTATGATTTCAAAGTTTATACTTGACATGTATATTAACCAACACCAGAGGGTGTGTCATAATGTATGTACAACTTCCTAGGTCAAAGGTCAAGGTTAAAAACTTAGGTTTTAGTTGACAACCCCATGTCCTATGGTAAAGATCGTGTCCGCTCTATATCTTGAAAACCGTTATGATTTCAAAGTTTATACTTAATATGTATATTAACCAACACCAGTGGGTGTGTCATAATGTATGTACAACTTCCTAGGTCAAAGGTCAAGGTTAAAAACTTTGGTTTTAGTTGACAACCCCATGTCCTATGGTAAAGATCGTGTCCGCTCTATATCTTGAGAACCCTAATGTATGTACAACTTCCTAGGTCAAAGGTCAAGGTCAAAAACTTTGTTTTTAGTTGACAACTCCATGTCCTATGGTAAAGATCGTGTCCGCTCTATATCTTGAGAACCATTATGATTTCAAAGTTTATACATGATATGTATATAAACCAACACCAGAGGGTGTGTCATAATTTATGTACAACTTCCTAGGTCAAAGGTCAAGGTCAAAAACTTTGGTTTCATTTGACAACCCCATGTCAAATGATAAAGATACAAATTTTTTACCACACATTATTCACAGCGGGGCCCACAGAGATGGCTCCCATCTCAATGATATCTAGTTATTCCACTCATAACTTTATTTCTGCTATTAGACAATACTCAGTTTTGATGCACTGGGAATGCCTTTCTTTCATATATATAATTTTGATTTGGTATGTTTTTTCAGATTTTACCATGAGGAGGTACTATGGTATGAAGTTTACTGTATTTTTCAGATTTTAACGTTGGAGGGTACTGTGGTACATGTATGAAGTTTACTGTATATTTTTCAGATTTTAACGTTGGAGGGTACTATGGTATGAAGTTTACTGTAGACGCCTCACTGTCAGGAATGACTGCCATTTCTGGTATACAGCCATTTGGTGGGGCTGTGGTGTCTGGGGAACTACAAGTAGGCTATGCTATGTCTGCTGTCCTGAAACTAGAGGGACAGATCCTGGAACTGAAATTTCCAACCGTTGCAGAGATAGCTTATAATAAATTCCCATTGGATGTTGGGTAAATATTGACACTTTTACTAAACTATTAAGTTTATTTTGCCATTTGATAAAGGACTTTCTGTTTTGAATTTTCCTTGGAGTTCAGAATTTTTGTTATTCTACTTTTTACCCATTCAGAATATTTGATTTATGATTCCAAAAGGCATGTTCTTTTTTATCATTTAACAACAAAAAGTCGAATTTTACTTTAGAACTTAAAAAAATATTAAAATATTTATCATTAGGATGAAAGCTTAAACAAAATATTGGTATTTGCATTAACTAGATGAAATAAAGAAAACTTGCTGGGTTGATAAAAAAAAAAAATAATATTTTTATTTTATATTTTTTGTAAATTTTCAGAGTTGAAATGACATTGAAATTGACCCCTACAAGACTGAGTCTCAATGGTGCTGTTACCCTAAATGTTAACTTATTGGTAGAGAGCTTTAATAAAGAGTTGTACAGGAACCAGTTGTGGTATTACTCGACTCCTACCATTGAGAAGAAAGTTGTGAATGAAAGGAGAAGAGAACCAGATAATACCCCTCCTGTCATTTCATCATATTTTGGTCAAATGGTAAATGTTTGTTTTATTCCTTTAAAACATTTATTTTACTTTAACTTGACTCTTAGTGTCACTTTTTCTGTTGCAGTCCACTGTAATATTTTACCCATTTGCAGTTTGCGTCATTAAATCAAAATGAAGGTGTAAAACCATGTTTCAGATAAAGACTATTTCAATATTTTAGGTTTGGGTTCACTGAGATTAGTGTTTTGTAGATGTAGAAAACATTTTGTGAATCAATAAATAATCTGAATTCTTAAATGCCCCACCTACATCAGTAGGGAGAATTATGTGCATTTGTCTGTCCATCAGTTCATTTGTCCATTTTTCTGTCCTTATCGGATAATGTTTTAGTTTGAGGTAGTATGACCCAAAGTTGTGGTCACATCAGCTTGAAATTATGCCGAATCAGCTAAATTCTACTCAAACATGAAAATGCAATAATTTTTAGAGGAAACACAGTTTTCAAATATAACCATAGGTCCCCATGTTAAATGTTTGTTAATTCAAAAGTTTAGAAATATTTGTACTGCTGATAATCTTTGAAATATGAAATTTTCAAAACAAATGAAATTTCTTTAATCAAGGAACTTTGTATGGCTTTTTTAACGATAATCTTTTTGAAAGTCTTTTGTAGGTAGATATAATTCTTTCAATTAATATCACATTTCAGACAACAAATCAATGTCATGTTAGACAAATAGCCAATAGAGACTACACCGAGCCTCTCTTTGAGATATCTGTACATGCTGAGGATGACAAAAGCTTGGTACAGTTAACATTAGATGTTGGTACTGCTCCTGGTGGTAATGATGTTCTGTCAGCATTCAAACTAGGAGGACCAAGTACCATATTGAATGAGGTTTAGTATTTTGAATTAATTTGTTTCAACAAAAATTTGTGTTTAATACATATTAATGCTTAAATTTATATAGATATTTTTAGGGACCTTGATGGCCGAGTGGTCTAAGTCGAACTACCGTCTGTCAACATTTAGGGTTAGGAGTTTGAATCTGGCAGGTGGCAGGTGTGTTCGACTACAATCTAAATTGACTAAAATTGCCAATTTTTCTACCTTAAGTTGATGGTTCTTTCTGGGCACTCCAGCTTCCTCCACCAATAAAAACTGATCTTCACGAAGTAGCACAATTGTGCTGAAAGTGGCATTAAACACCAATCAATATAGAAATGTTTAGTTAATCTTTTTTTAGAAAAAGTTATTATCAATCTAGATTAACAAGAAGGAGCAAAAAATTAAATGTTAATTCACTTAACTCTAAGAGTGAGAGATCTACATATCAGAATGAGTTCAAATTTGGTCATCAGCTTGACAGTAATGAGTTGTATAATATGTGATGGCTTTTTAGATCTGACAGATATATGATGTTTTGTCCCAAAATCAATTATTAGTGCTTGATTGTGGTTACTTTTAAATGATAACACAGCTTTAATATTGTGATATATCTGTAATTTTACCTACCTTTCAAGAAAATAGTTAATCTTTGAATTGGTTGACAAGAAAATAGTTGATCTTTGAAGTGGTTGACAAGAAAATAGTTGATCTTTGGATTGGTTGACAAGAACATAGTTGATCTTTGAATTGGTTGACAAGAAAATACTTGATCTTTGGATTGTTTGACAAGAAAATAGTTGATCTTTATATTGGTTGACAAGAAAATAGTTGATCTTTATATTGGTTGACAAAAAAATAGTTGATTTTTGTATTGGTTGACAAGAAAATAGTTGATCTTTGAAGTGGTTGACAAGAAAATAGTTGATTTTGGATTGGTTGACAAGAACAAAGTTGATCTTTGAATTGGTTGACAAGAAAATAGTTGATCTTTGGATTGGTTGACAAGAAAATAGTTGAAATTTATATTAGTTGATAAGAATATTCTTGTTGATTGTCTTTTTGGTTGTTTTTGGCGTAGTGTTGTCAGTTTGTTTTCTTGACTTATGAGTTTGAATATCCCTTTGGGTGTTTTCCACCTCTCTTTTATTACAGTGTACTTACTTCATACTTACAACCTTTAAATATTAATGAATATTGCACCACTTATATTTACAAATGCTAAATCCCAATTTTGGGGGGAGAAATTAAAAAAATGTTCACATTCAATGAAAATATTTTACTATCTCCTTTTTTCAGCCACTGACAGTAACTGGTGTACCTCTTTACTTTACTGTATGGGCAGAGAATAGCTCAGGTCAAAAGTCAAAGGTCACATGTTCACTACCAACATATGACATATCAGAACCTACTGGCAGGCTGACTGCTGACTTCATATTAACAAGTAACCCTGCTGTACTGAGAGCATTTGTTGTCATCACAGAAGATTCTGCTTTGACCTTGACTCAGATTGGTGTAGGTTATGGAAAAGGTCTTTATGGTGACCAAGTTGTGCCATGGACTGATGTTACAATGGAATCTACAGAGCTTTCTGTGTCTCCAGGTACATATACATATATAATATATTTGATAAAGGTTATAATCATTTGAGGTACTTCCATTACATGGGATCCATATCAAATCAGAAGATGTGGTAGGTATGGTTACCAATGATACAACTATCAGCCAAAAACCAAATGATGCAGATTTATGCAACTACAGGTCATGGTACAGCCTCAATGATTAGCAAAATATTAAACTATTCAAATGAGAAAACCAACTGCCTGATTTATGTATAAATATGATAGACAACAACCAATGAAAATTATAGAATTATAGGCTCCTTCCTAACTTGGGACAGGCACACACAGGATGTGGAAGGGTTAAAAAATTTTGCAGTGGTATGACAGAACAACATAAGAATAAACTGTAAAATCAATTGAAAAAGACTTGATGCATCAGATCTACACAAAGCACAAAAAAAAAGAAACAACTAAGGACTAAAGACAAACAGTACTGATCTAAATAATACTAGCAGTTTATACTGAAAGCTAGTTTAATACCAGTTACTATTAAAGAATTAATATGGCTATGTTTCTATGACCAAGAAAAAACATGACCATTGTCATTATCTTTATGAACTTTTCCACTGTTCTTTTCCTTTGCAACCACTCACTGATTACAACCATATTTGTCAGGAAATAATTAATCCTTATTGTATTCAGTATATGGACTATGTGTTTAATTCCTGCCATCAACTGACATGGCTGCTGTGAGAAAAATGGAACACAATGGTAAAATGCAAAAAATTGTCTAATATTTCAAATATCATAATAGATCTTCATAAGGAGGTAACATTGACCCCAAAAGGGTAATAGCCCTTTATTTGGGAATTATTTACACTACTATATATTTTTCAGCTGTTGATCCAGACAATGTCAAAGTCCTTGATATATTTACTGGACCAAGAATAGGCAGACTTGTTGCACCAATGTCCCAGCCTGGAATGTATAGAAGTACCTCAGGAGATTGTGCCAGAGCTTGTGCAGACATGTCCTCCTCAGATTGTCCCAGCTTCAATTTTGACCTCCTGCTAGGGAACTGTGAGTTACTGACAAGTGTGGAAGGAGGGCAATATTTCCTTGCAGCATCATCACTGTATAGACACTACCAACGTCTGGGTGTTGGAAATATAGCAAACTTTGTCTACACAGATTTGGACTTGCAGGACAATGTTCTCTATTATTTTAACTTCCACATGGTAAACAGTTTGGGATATGAGAGCTACATTTCATCTGAAGCAGTCATGGTTGATTTGACATCACCTGAACCAGGTAAGGTCAAAGTTCAAAGCAGGGTTATGGTGTTTTTTTTATTTTGGCAGAGTTGTTAAATTGTTGCTTCAAGCTTATTAAATGAAGGAATTTGAAATAGTTAAGCTTTGATCTCAGTATAAATAATGATAAGTACAAAAATAAACAAGTTAAGCTGGCAATGTTTTTTTTTCATAACATTGTAAGAAGTTGTGAAGTGAAATGTAAAGATTTTCTATAAATGTCCATGCTTAAAAATATTTAAATATAACATTTGCTAATTAATTATGTGTTTATATATATAATTTCAAAACTGTTTAATTAATTGTCATCTGTGATTTAAGGAGAAGTTTACAACATCAGCAGTGATAGTACAGAAACAGTTCCGTGTTTGGATTTGATACCAAGTGACAGACCTGACTGGAAAGTTTGGTGTCTAGGTGTTAACAGTGGTGTCAAAAATCACAGGTATAGTTATATAGTGTTAACAGTGGTGTCATAAATCACAGGTATAGTTATACAGTGTTAACAGTGGTGTCATAAATCACAGGTATAGTTATTCAGTGTTAACAGTGGTGTCATAAATCACAGGTATAGATATACAGTGTTAACAGTGGTGTCATAAATCACAGGTATAGTTATTCAGTGTTAACAGTGGTGTCATAAATCACAGGTATAGTTATACAGTGTTAACAGTGGTGTCATAAATCACAGGTATAGTTATTCAGTGTTAACAGTGGTTTCATAAATCACAGGTATAGTTACAGTGATAGCAGTGGTGTCATAAATCACAGGTATAGTTATAAGGTGTTAACAGTGGTGTCATAAATCACAGGTATAGTTATACAGTGTTAACAACGGTGTCATAAATCACAGGTATAGATATACAGTGTTAACAGTGGTGTCATAAATCACAGGTATAGTAAACATAATAATTGTATCAAAGATGTGGTGCCAACATCAAAATTAGGAAATGTGATACAATGCCAATTAAACAACTATCCATAAAGTTTTAGAGGACAAAGATTTGAACAATTGCAGTTCACCATAAAGCCTTCAACATTAACAAAATCCATACCATATTAAAGCTATAAAAGGCCCCATATGACAAAATGGTGAACAATTTAAAATACAAAAACCAATTGCCTGATTTATGCTACATCTACAACAGAAAAATTAAAAGCAAATGACAGACAGCAACCAATAAATATTGTTTGACATTAAAATCTCAGTATTTATTTCTTTACTTTTAACACAATGCACTTGGTCAGAATTTGTTGGCTCTTATCTCTATCATTCAAGTCTACCTAGAGTTCAGACTCAATGCGAAATAATGTTACTTAATATAACTCTTTCTAGATTAAAGGAATTGGTAACTCTTAATTTTAAAGGTATGATACTAGTAAGCATCTTCCAAAAAAAAAGTAGCGTTTTTGCCAAATAATTGAATTTCAAGATGCAACCATTTAATCTTGATATATGTTTATTCTATTTGTAGAATTGTGGTTGATGGACCAGGATCGTTGACTGTATTTAATGGTTTGGTTTTTATGAATGATTTGACCTACACAAGGGCTAATCAGTATATAGCAGGTATGTTAATTACCTCCATATAACACTTCTCTTATATAATAATTCATAGATTTTAAGTTGTAAAATAAATATTTATACAGGTTTACTTGATTAAACAACTAATTTTTAACATTAGATGCAATATTTGAGGGAGTTTCAATGTTGTATATAGACACTATTTATCTTGTAGAAGTGCAACTGTGAAACATTGAATGCCCTCACCCCACTTATAAATAAAAGTCCAACTAGTAGTCAATATTTCAGTATTGCCATGATTTAAATGATAATATCTGAATGTGAATTTCACTTTGTTTTTATGTGCTTATACTAAAAATAAGCTTGAAACTCTTATAGTGACTGAATAATTTATCTTTGTAATATTTGTTAACAATATTCTGTTGATGTACTAAATAAATCATTGCAGTGAATTGGGTTGGATTTTCTGACAAGGAAAGTGGAATCCTGGGATATACTGTTGCTGTGGGAACTGCCGTCTGCCAGGATGATGTTTATGGACATCATGATCCACAGAGCCACTTATTTGATGCATCACAATGGATAAATAATGCCCTGATCAGTCCAGTGCTGTTAAGTGGTAAAACTAGTTTTAGTGTAATACAATGGTATTCACAAAGCCCTTTCCCAGAATGTCATTTGAAAAAGCCATAATCTACTCTTTGTAAAATAGAAAAGAGTTATTTCCCTTGTTTGGAAATTATACTGATTAAATGCAGTGCAGAACAATGGTAAGAAGCAAAAAAGATTTCTAATATTTCTTAAAAATTACACGAATATTTCAAGCTTTTATGATTGAGTTTGATAACAATATAAGAAGATGTGGTGTGACTGCCAATAAGACAACTCTCCACCAGAGACCAAATAATGTACAAGTAAGCAATTATAGGCCACAGTACAGCCTTCAACAATGAGCAAAAACCATACCGCATAGTATTAGCTAAGAACTGCCCTGAAATAAAGAATGTAAAAAATTTTAAAGTGAAAATTAGCAGCCTGATTTATGTACTTAACAATAAGTGAAAAAAATAAATATGTTATACAACAACATACGACATCCACTGAAAAACAAGCTCCTATTTGTTTGAAGCAACAAAAAGTTTTGAAATTAATGTAAATGAAATACAAAATGCAAATGAACAAACTGGGGGTGATTTAGAGGACATATTTCGAGAATATCTGTCCATTGTTGAAGACTGCATATTGACCTCTTGTCATTGTAACTCAATGACTTTGCATCTAATAGAATCATTAATGTTGATTTGATATTTGAATTTCAGACAGCAACTTGTTTAAACAATGTGACAAATGGATAGTCATTACTGATAAATGATTATTTAGTGGCAAGTGTTTATTTTCAATAGTAGTTGTATAATTTTTACTTCAGATAACAACTATTACATAACAGTCAGGGCTTTGAATAATGTGACATATGGAGGACCGTTAGCGACAAGTGTATGTCACAGCACCCCTTACACCATTGACAATTCACCACCAGTTATTCACGAAATCTTCAACATCCAGTATGACGAAGAAAACTATACTATTTCACTAGAGCATATCTCAAGGTAAGTATTTAATCATGAAAAAATTTTGAAGAGAGAATATTACAGTGTTTACAGTTCACTATAGATTGTTTGTCAAAAACTCAAATTTTTACACAATACTAAAAAATGATTTTTTTGTTTAAAAGAAGTCATATGAATAAAGAGATGGGGTAGTTCCCAATAAGGAGGCAACCAAATGTTCATAACTAAATGACATCAAGAGATCAACATAACAATAGACAAGTGTCACAACTAATAGGCAAGCTCCAATTTGCCTCGAGCTTAAAAAAGTTGTGAATTTTATGAACAGAAACTATCAAAGAAAAGCATCAACATTAATTCCTCACAAAAAAAAAAGATATGACATATAAAGACAACCACTGATGAGATTCCTGACTTGGGATAGGCATTTAAACACATAGATGTATTTACACTTGTATGCAAATTGTCCGCCATTATTTAAAACCACACTAAGTTCCCTCAAAATATTGCATCATAATTAAAAACATTTGACATCATGATTTAAAAGTGATTGTTGCATGACGTCAGAGGGTTATTCGGAGACAGATCTGAGGTCATTTGGAGACATAATTCAGCTAAATACCAAAAGTGTTAAAACATCTGTCTGGATCGGTAGACTAACAAAACGTACATAAAGGTTATATACAATAAAAGTACGGGAAAAGCACTTAAACCCTGATAAATACTAATATAATAGGAAGCAAGCAAAATTATCCGGTATAAAAGAATGCTAGCAGCTTATTTCTTAGATTTATATGTTCCAGAAAAATCTGAACTATTAATGGTCAGTTAAATAATTGTATCTTTACAGTGATCCTCAGTCAGGACTTGCCTATGTAGAACTTTGTCTTGGTAGGAGTAAACAGGATTGTTTAGAAATGGATTGGGTTAGATTTGGCTACAGTACAAAAATAAACCACACAATACAAATATCTGATGGTATTCCTATATATGTAAAAATTAAAGTTGTAAGCACAGGTGAGTTGCTTCAAATTTCTGATAGTATTCCTGTATAAGTCAAAATCAAAGTCGTTAGTACAGATGAGTAACTATAAATAACTGATGGTATTCCTATACATGTCAAAATCAAAGTTGTTAGTACAGTTTACACACATAGGAGAGGAGAAGTAATCACTGTATTGCGGATTTTTACAAAATACCAACTAGATTACAAGCAATAACTATTTTTGACATTACAATGACGGAAAAAAGGACCAATCTCCATTAGAACTAATATTAGGGCCAGGCATTGAGGATCTTCATTATTATGAATGGTTATCACAAAACTTGTCAGCAAAACGTAGAATATAATGAAAATAAGAAGAATTTGACCTTACCTGACTTCACATTTTTTTTCCACCGCTAGAATCTCTTGGTATATAATGGGCTCTACAAAATCTTTTATCCCAATTGATTTTAAACATTGACTTTAATCTTGAATAACAAGAGCTGTGAAAGGTCTATTTAGTAATTTTTAGTACATGCTATATAATCTTAAGAATTGAAATATTTTAAAATGAAAATAGGATATAAATTTGAATAAACTAAATTTTAGATCATTTTTTTATTTCATAAGTTGACCTGAGAGCAATAAAGAGTGCTGATGACTACATCATAGTGGACAGAACTGCTCCAATAGCTGGACAAGTTTATGATGGATCAGTTCTTACTATAGACCAAAGTTTTACTAATGTTAATGACGAGGTAAGTGATAAATGAAAAAAATTGAGGATGAGAAAGCAGCCAAACAATATAGTTGTACATCCTGTTCCAAAGGTTTTACCCCTGTTTGTCTGTCTGTCACAATAAATTTCTGTAGCTATTTTCTCAGTAGCTACAAATGATAGCTACCTGAAATTTGGTATCAAGCTTCATGTGAGCATGCTTAACTGTGTGATGCATTTTCATATTCATTGCTCATCAACTTACTGTCTACCAAATACTTATATAGTCTAACATAATCTGTGTATGAAATTTTCGTTTCATTTTTCTAGCAAAACATCATTATACAGTAAAAACTCATAAGTTGGTACGAAAAAAAATTTAAAGTTCAATTTTCTTATCTGATACTGTTTGGTGATTTTCATGGAGTATAATTACTTGTTGACAGAGCATATAAAAAATCTGGGGAGTTGATGCATACTTGTGAGTGATCAACCTGCCTCCTTACCTATTACAGTGGTGTTACAACATTTATTGTATGGATTGTTGTCTATTTAACTTTCCAAAGGCAATTATTTCATGCATATTCATGACCATTTATTAGTCCCCTACCGATGAAGTCGAAGGGGACTTTAGGTTTGCACTCCGTCTTTCTGTCTGTCCATCCGTCAGTCCGGCAAATCAGTTTTCCACACTTTTTAGCTCACCTGGCCCGAAGGGCCAAGTGAGCTTTTCTCATCACTTGGCGTCCGTCGTCCGTCGTCGGCGTTAACTTTTTACATTTTGAACTTCTTCTAGAGAACCTCTGAATGGAATGAAACCAAACATGGCATGAATGTTCCTTATGAGGTGCTGACCAAGTGTTGTTACTTTGTAGCCGATCCATCATCCAAGATGGCCGCCAGTGGGGGACTTAGTTTAACATAGGACCCTATGGGAAATGCATACAAATGACTTCTTTTAGAGAACCACTGAATGGAATGAAACCAAACATGGCATGAATGTTCCTTATGAGGTGCTCACCAAGTGTTGTTACTTTGTAGCCGATCCATCATCCAAGATGGCCGCCAGCGGGGGACTTAGTTTAACATAGGACCCTATGGGAAATGCATACAAATGACTTCTTTTAGAGAATCACTGAATGGAATGAAACCAAACATGGCATGAATGTTCCTTATGAGGTGCTGACCAAGTGTTGTTACTTTGTAGCCGATCCATCATCCAAGATGGCTGCCAGCGGGGGACTTAGTTTAACATAGGACCCTATGGGAAATACATAAAAATGTCTTCTTTTAGAGAACCACTGAATGGAATGGAACCAAACATGGCATGAATGTTCCTTATGAGATGCTGACCAAGTGTTGCTTCTTTGTAGCCGATCCATCATCCAAGATGGCCGCCAGCGGGGGACTTAGTTTAACATAGGACCCTATGGGAAATACATACAAATGTCTTCTTTTAGAGAACCACTGAATGGAATGAAACCAAACATGGCATGAATGTTCCTTATGAGGTGCTGACCAAGTGTTGTTACTTTGCAGTCGGTCCATCATCCAAGATGGCCGACAGCAGGGGACTTAGTTTAACAAAGGACCTATGGGAAATACATACAAATGTCTTCTTTTAGAGAACCACTGAATGGAATGAAACCAAACATGGCATGAATCTTCCTTATGAGATGCTGACCAAGTGTTGCTTCTTTGTAGCCGATCCATCATCCAAGATGGCTGCCAGCGGGGGACTTAGTTTTACATAGGACCCTTTGGGAAATACATAAAAATGTCTTCTTTTAGAGAACCAATAAATGGAATGGAACCAAACATGGCATGAATGTTCCTTATGAGATGTTGACCAAGTGTTGTTACTTTGCAGCCGATCCATCATCCAAGATGGCCGACAGCGGGGGACTTAGTTTAATATAGGACCCTATGGGAAATACATACAATTGTCTTCTTTTAGAGAACCACTGAATGGAATTGAACCAAACATGGCATGAATGTTCCTTATGAGTTGCTGACCAAGTGTTGTTACTTTGCAGTCGATCCATCATCCAAGATGGCCGCTAGGGGGGGGGCTTAGTTTAACATAGGACCCTATGGGAAATACATACAAATGTCTTCTTTTAGAGTACCACTGAATGGAATGAAACCAAACATGGCATGAATGTTCCTTATGAAGTGCTGACCAAGTGTTGCTACTTTGTTGCCGATTTACTGTTCAAGATGGCCACCAGGATATTTTATTAAATAACGGGACCAATATTAATCAAAATTTGGCCTCAATCATTATTTGGGTATCTGTTATGATTTTTATCTATCTTTACATGATTTCTAAAACCAAAGTAGAGTCAGGTGAGCGACACAGGCTCTTGAGAGCCTCTAGTTTTCTTGGTGCTTGAAGATATTGATTTGATATTTGGTATATAGTTTTATCATGACAAGTTACAGATCAAATTCGAATATTGTTCCGGTCTGATGATTTTGTGCAGAGTTATGGTCCTTGGACTTAGAAAATTCACTCAAATAATCAGTTTTCCTCACTTTTTTTCGTGGTGCTTGAAGATATTGATTTGATAATTGGTATATAGTTTTATCATGTCAAGTTACAGATCAAATTAGAATTTTGTTCTGATCTGATTATTTTGTGCAGAGTTATGGTCCTTTGACTTAGAAAATTCACTTAAATAATCAGTTTTCCACACTTTTTTTTGTCATGCTTGAAGATATTGACTTGATATTTGTTATATAGTTTACACCATGACAAGTTATAGATCAAGTTAGTATTTTGTTCCAGTACAATGAATTTTTAACCGGTAGGGGACTATGTATTGCCATGCAATACTTTCAGAATGCTTGTTTTAATTAGGAATACTGTTATTTATATTGATTGGAAGAGAAATATTCTACATTGCTGTTTTAATCAATAGTTGTTTCCAAACATTTATTTGATTTTTAGATTTGTGTAAATTGGAACAATTTTGTGGACCTAGAATCTGGTATCAGTCACTACATGATAAGTGTGGGTACGGAGGCAGATAAGTCCATCACTGATGTGGTTAATCTGACACGATATGAATCTACTATTAACCAAGCCTGCATTGACCTGGAACCAGACTCCTATCTACAACATGGACAGATATACTATTCTACAGTCTGGGCATTAAACAGTGCCAGCAAGCAGCAAAATGTATCAAAGACGTCCAATGGCAGTAAGTATATAATGAGCTGCGTCAGATAAAAATAGACCTTATGCAAGTTTACGTATACATGTGCATGTATAAGACTTTGATTCATTTTTGAACATTCAAATATGATATAAAAGATGAATTTTGGTCTATTTTGTAGGGTTCTTATAGCAACTCAATTTTCAAACCATTACAGACTTTTCCATAGAGGTTTTTTCAACCCGAAATAGGTTAACAGATGTATTGATGTTCATTTGCATAAGGTCAATTTCTATCCGAGGCAACTCTAATGTTAATTAAGGCAACAGTGGTTTACCCATGTTTAAGTCTTGTATAAATCTGTAAGGAAGAGACAAATCAAGATAACAAACTAAACCTGAGGGAATAGCATTAGTTTCAACAGGAGCAAGGCCAGGTGTGTCGACAGGGTAACAGTGTGTTTCACAATACAATACATTAAAGGGACCATCAGAGAAGGTATTTTCAAGTCGTTAAAACATCCTGGTTGAACTCGGTTATGACTCTGTATGTTTCATATTTTTCAGTTTTGTATGATGCAACCCCACCTTTGACAGGGGATGTAATAGATGGTACACAGAGTGGATTTGTAGATTTAGAATACTCATCTAGCTCAGCAAGAGTGGAGGGACAGTGGAAAGATTTTTCTGATCCAGAGTCAAATATCACACAGTATGCTGTTCAAGTTTTAAGTGCTGGGTAAGTCAAGATTTTACACAAGTTTTATTACACAAGTGAAGTCTTGGTTTGTTGTATCCACAATATTTTTGAGTGCCAAATTAGGTCATTCTCAAATTTTGGTCATATATATTCTTCTTTCACTGATGCTGCTAGAATGATGCATTATGAAAATGGAAAGTTCACAATGGGAAATATTATTTTTTTTACAAAGTTTAGTTTTCAACCATCATTAGCTGTCAATTTCTTTGATGAAAGTTAATATAAAAAGCAAACCTAACTATCTGTGGTAATCTTTATTTGAAGATCAATAAAGTAGATGTGCAACATATGAATCATATTATGCCAACTGTATGTTAGAAAACATGTCTTACTAGACCTAACAGATCTTAGGGAATTTTTTAGTATCCAAATCACAAAATATCTACCAGACCTAACAGATCTTTGGAATTTTTAAGTATCTGATTCACTCCACCCATAAAGTGTAACGTTTAGCTGTTACTCTAGAGCTCTGTTATGATTGCGGATAAACTATGTTTGTAATTTTGAAAAATTTCATGAAGCATTTGGCAAACCCAATGTTGTAACATTAATAATTATAAATTTGTGTTTTGCTCTCCTTGTCTCATCAAATACATATCAAACCACTTGTTGATCTAGTATTTTCAAAATGGGGAACCACATTAGATATTAGTATATTTAGTAAAACTTGAATTTCCTATATGTCGAAGTTGACTTTGAAATATAAGTCTATGTGAATAAAAAGATATGCCATTGTGACAGCATTTTAGAACATAAAAAAGACAGAAAAGACATTATAAATTTATTTTTAGGGATCTAACACATGATTATGAGGTCATCAAAGACTGGGTACAGTACCCTAGTGATACTGCAAGTGTGTCATGGCTCAACCTTGACCTTGAACACAAGGATAGAGTGAAGGTCAGTGTCAAGGCAACCAATGGAGCACAGAGTACTGTCACAGCACAGAGTGATGGGTTTGTGGTAGATCTTACTCCTCCAGAACTTCTGTACATTGGTGATGGAACTGTAGCACAGAAAGATGTCAAGTATCAGGTAAGAATTACTTGAATTATTGATAGGCTCTTATTGTTGAGCGCTCACAAACATGTTTAACCCCCCAACATTCTTTATGTCCCTGTTCCAAGTCAGGAGCCTGTAGTGCACTTATTGTTGTTGGTTCATGTCTGTCATATTTGTTTTCATCAATTGCTTTGTTATAAGTTAGGCCTTTTTCTCAATTGAACTGTTTCATATTTTTCATGTCAGGACCTTTTATAGCTGACTATACAGTATGGGTTTTTTCTCATTGTTGAAGGCTGTACAGTTGCTTATAATTGCTTACATCCACTTCTTTTGAACTTTGGTGGATGGTTGTCTCATTGGCAATCATACCACATCTCCTTATTTTTATATCTATAACACTTTAGTATGTTTAAAGCAAATTCTTTTAATTTGAAATTAAAATACTCTGCTTTGTATAAAACAATTGATTGATTGATTGTAGTTTAACGCCACTTAATGCCCGTACTGTATAATCAGTTGTAAAAGGCCTCAACGTAACAAAATGTGAAACAATTCAAAAGATAAAACCTAATCCTGATTCATGGTTAAACAAATAAAAGAGAAAAATATCTCCGACAACAAACAACAACCACTGAAATACAGGTTCTGACTTTTGGGACAGGCACATTAGAATGCATCGGTGTTACACATATTTATGAATGTTCAACCCTCCCTTGTGGTGTAACATCTCAACATATTACCAACCTCTGAAAATCAGTTAGAAATGGCTTGATTGGCACACACAGACAACTAACAAAAGTACTGATCTAAGAGTACAAAAAGATGCTGAAAACTAGTTTAATTCCAATTATAACTAATAGATAAATTATATTCTCTCAGTACATGTCTGTCAGCACTGTTAGAACTTTCCTGTAAATTCACGAACTATTGTGTGCATTTATTTTTGCGATTATTTAAGAATGGACAAAAATGTTAGATTAATTATTGCGATTGCAGGAAAATCTGCAAACAGATATATGTATCAGATATCAGAATGCTAGTTATTATTATTGCGATACTCCCCTAGTTGCATTAATAAAAACCTTGCAATGATTTCTGAGTTTACAGTAATTGATAACAAAAATGGATGCTTTGTAAAACTGTAAGACAATTGCTTGCATAGAGTGGAAGATTTTCAAGGGATTTATATATGGTATTGATTTACTGGGAACAATGTTGTAATCAGTCTGTTAATAATTGACATGGATGTATATATATATATTCTACAGCAGAGGTAGTGTTTAATACGTTCTCTATTTCCATTCTTTTTTTCAGGGAAGTACAACAGAAGTGTCAGCTAATTTTATGTTTTCTGACCCAGAGTCAGAACTTGATCGTTTCCAGATACAAATCTATGAGAAATATCAGAAAACAAGGAGACAGATTGTACCAGGTGTGTGATTATCTGATATGTTGTTTCAATGAATAGGGATAAATCACAAAACCTATCAATGACCTATCTAACTTGACAGGAGTCAACCAAACTTTACCATTAAACAAGAGTGAGGAAATAAAACCTGTTTAAACTCCCAATAATTATTCTAAAACATGTCGAAACTGAATTATCTTGTAAACTCAAACCCAAAGCATTAACCTAAATCAGTCTTCTTTAACCAGGGCATGCATAAATTGTCACCAAACTGAACATGGTTAAATCAATTTTTTTCTAAATTGAAGATGAGTAAATCTAAGCAGTCAGAAATAAATTTCTATAAACCCAATTGTTTTACTTTAAAACAGGTAAACATGAAACTTGTTGATATTGAACACATTTGATTAAAACAAAATCTTGTCAAATATGAACATGATTAAAAAAAAAAACCTGTGAAAATCAAACAGATTGTTGTTAGTTTTTGCTGTCATATTTGTTAATCGTAAATGGTTTTGATATAGATTAGGTTTTTTTGTTTGAACTGCTTCATATTTTTCATGTCAGGGCCTTTTATAGCTGACTACTGTATGATTTTTTTCTCATTGTGGAAGGCTGTAATGTGGCCTATAATCGGTTATATCCACTTCATTTTATCTCTGGTGGATAGTTGTCATTGGCAATCATACCACATTTCTGGTGGATAGTTGTCTCATTGGCAATCATACCATTTCTCTGGTGGATTGTTGTCTCATTGGCAATCATACCACATCTCTGGTGGATAGTTGTCATTGGCAATCATACCACATTTCTGGTGGATAGTTGTCTCATTGGCAATCGTACCACTTCTCTGGTGGATAGTTGTCTCATTGGCAATCATACCACATCTCTGGTGGATAGTTGTCTCATTGGCAATCATACCACATCTCTGGTGGATAGTTGTCTCATTGGCAATCATACCATTTCTCTGGTGGATAGTTGTCTCATTGGCAATCATACCATTTCTCTGGTGGATAGTTGTCTCATTGGCAATCATACCACTTCTCTGGTGGATAATTGTCTCATTGGAAATCATACCACTTCTCTGGTGGATAGTTGTCTCATTGGAAATCATACCACTTCTCTGGTGGATAGTTGTCTCATTGGCAATCATACCATTTCTCTGGTGGATAGTTGTCTCATTGGAAATCATACCACATCTCTGGTGGATAGTTGTCTCATTGGCAATCATACCACTTCTCTGGTGGATAATTGTCTCATTGGAAATCATACCAATTCTCTGGTGGATAGTTCTCTCATTGGAAATCATACCACTTCTCTGGTGGATAGTTGTCTCATTGGCAATCATACCATTTCTCTGGTGGATAGTTGTCTCATTGGAAATCATACCACATCTCTGGTGGATAGTTGTCTCATTGGCAATCATACCACTTCTCTGGTGGATAATTGTCTCATTGGAAATCATACCACTTCTCTGGTGGATAGTTGTCTCATTGGAAATCATACCACTTCTCTGGTGGATAGTTGTCTCATTGGAAATCATACCACTTCTCTGGTGGATAGTTGTCTCATTGGAAATCATACCACTTCTTCTTATTGATATAGAGGTAAAACCTGCCTAATCTGATCATCAATAAATCAAACATTTTTTCCCCTTTTCTAAATCAAGTAGCTGTCTAATTGGACTAAATATTTCTGTCCACAAAATTCTTTTTGGCTATTTGCTTTAATAAACATGCAGGCTAATAAAAATGGTTTATTTGCAGGAACTGTTGGGGAATGGCTTGATATTATGGACAGCTCGAAAACTGATTACACCCATAATGCTTTGACCCTTAACCCTGGAGGAAGGTACAGTATGAAGATTGGAGCAGTGAACAAAGCAGGGGCAATAACTGCGTTTGAGACAGATGGTGTTATTATTGATAATTCAGCACCTACAGTAAGTTAACATTACATTTAGTTGAATATTAATTACTGTCTGTTATTACCAATATTAAAACAAAATCATCTTTAATACTAAGAAGATATACTGCATATAAAATGATATAGAATTTGTGTGCCTTAAAAATCAAGATATACCTGGGTGTAATGTAAAGCCTGAATTTCCAAATGAAGAACTTCACCCCAATTTATGTCTGTTTTCCCATTTTGACATGACACCCTAAATTGATATATCATTAATAAACCGGATTCTGTCCAGAAAAATATTGGAAAATTTATTATTCCTGCAATGATATATCAATTAGAAATTTTACATATGCAAAAAAAACAACAAAATGTTGCTTAAATCACAAAATCTAAAATTAATTTCTTTATAAATCTAGTAATCTTTTTTTTTATTTTTTAAAATCATTTGATTAATGGTCAGTGATCATATAAGCCTCAATTTGCCCAATATGTCAAAAAGAACTGCATCAAAACATTGACCTTGGAGTTGGGGGCTTTTGAATGGTTTACCTGCAGGGAAATGATTTTTTTCCTTTGATAGGTAACTGGTAAATTTTGGTTGTAATCGGGTCTTATAGTTAAAAGTTGGTCCATTGGATTTTTTAATTATTTACATGCAGGGCATTGTTTTAAGATTTTATTCTCTGAGAGGTTACTTATAGGTTTGATTGTTTTTAGATCCAGTCGTTAAAAGTTGGTCCGTTAACAGCTGGACACGAGGTTGTTATGAGTGGATTTGTTAAACAAGCAGACACACAGGGTATCCAGGCTGCATGGAGAGGAGTGGATTCTCAGTCTGGTATCTTAAGGTACCAGGTAGCAGTTGGAATAACTTCAGGTAAGTGTATGCAGACTTGCAGGTCTTTGGTTTAAAACAAAAACAAAAAATAACATCAGATATAACAAAGCTTAGCAATAAAATCTACAATATGTCTAAGATCTAAATTGCCTAAAATGATATGAATTGTGAATAAATTTTGGACAGCATTGAGAAGAGTGAATATAAGTTACTAGTTAATAATATTAGGAAAGGTAGTAAACAACTGGTTGATATCTAAGGTTACAAGATAAACATGGCAAATATTTCATTTGGTAAGAGACATTTTTTGCAACAGTTGGAAAATATTGATTTTGAACACAGTAGAAGATTTTTGCTTGTTTTGAACATGTTTTAATAGGAACATGTCAAAATAGGAAATACATTTTTATCATTCTTTTTCAAATTGATTCATTTTAGCCATATTTAATGGCTGAATAGTTTTGATTTTAAGAATTAGGAATAGTGAAAGTGTATGCCAGCCACAAAGCAATTTATCATTGACAAAATCAAAGGAAGGCTAAAAGACATCATTCCAACTGCAGTTGGAAACTGTTTATTTTCACATTTTTAATAAGGTCCTTTTCACCTTTTTCCATTTCAAGATCCCAGTTTTATATCTGTCATTTTGCATTATAAGATTCTTTTAAATAGGTGGCACAGAGACACTGGAATGGACAGATTACGGTATGGACACTAGAGCATACATTGATGGTTTGACCTTGACTGATGTATATTATGTCAGTGTCAAGGTTCAGAATGGAGCAGAAATGTGGAGTAATGTTGTCACATCTACACCAATCCAAATTATTGGAGGAAATAAAAAAGGTACTTAAAAAGACCCCAATAAGACCAACCTGTGAGGACATTGATAAAAATGATCTGTCATATGGAACTTTGTCAAAAAAAGTTTTTGGAGTTTTGTTAATTTTAAAAGCTATTAAAGTTTTATATTGTAAAAGAAGAATGTGTCTGAGGACATGAATGCCCACGATCAAGGGTTGCAACAAAAATGGGAGGGACAGATGGAAAGACGGAAAGATGGACAGTCATGGGCAACACTTAATGCGCCCATCGCCTATGACAGGGGCATAAAAAATGGTGATTTCCTATAGTAAGAGGGTTTATAGTTTATCTTTTAAAATATATGACATCATCTAGTGGTAATCAAAATTGTTGTAACAAGCAAATAGCATTTGTATTTATATATTTCATTTGGCATAGGTGTGATTATTGATGGAGCAGACGGCACTGAGAAAGGAATCATGGGAAATGACATTGATGTCACATTGGATGTTACCACAGTTACAGTACAGTTTGAAGGATTCACTAGTGATGACCAAGGCATTGTGGGATATGAGTGGGCTGTGGGAACAACTCAAGGAGGAGAGGAATTACAGGGATTTACAAAACAAGGAATTGTAATGAAAGAGGAAACATCTATTGCTGGAAATGGTAATAATTTTTTTATCTATGACCACCATTAAGAGTACTTATCATATTGTGTCAGTCTTTCTGTCAATTTGGGAAAAAAAACAAAAATTTTACACACTGCTGTACTTGCAGTGACTAGCTTTTAAGCAGATCTTTTTATTTTATGATGGCAGAAGCAAAAGTTTTTCTTTTTTAGCTTTTTTGATTAAAAAGTCTTTTAGACTTAAAAAAGTAGTGGGAGCATTAAACTCCTTTTGTAGCCCTAAAAATAAGAAAGGATTTTATCTTTTGTCTGAAAACGTCATATACCAAATTATAAGCCGGGTATTTTGTAATGATTTTTTAGCATAAAATGTTAATTTTTTAGAAGATGTAAGAAAACAGATTCTGTTTTACTAAATAAAACACAAATCATCACACAATACATTCAAAGGATAACATAAATAAATATTATTGGACAATACAATCATCTACTATAACATGTGTTGCCTTAACTTTATTTTAAGTGCCACTCTTTTTAAGAATCTGGCACTTTATAAGAATTTCAAAACATGACCAAAGAAAACCAGCCAACCTAACCATCCTATTTTTAAGTTATCCTCGTCCTGAGTTAGTAATGGTAGATCTTTTGTTTCCGTGTGTCTGGTAATTTGAGAAACGTCTAAATAAATTTTGGTTAGAATGAAAGCAAATAATGGAGTAAGCTCCCCTTATATAGTAATTTTTGTCTGGCCTTGACAGAGTCAAAAAGCGAGACATAGGTATGCTGTTTCCGGCGGCGGCGTCAACATTGTATTAGTTTGTGCTTAGGTCTAGTTTATGGTGAACCACAAGTGGTAGGTCAATGATATTTTGTTTGCAGTTGTATTAGCATTGGCACTTCTCATTTCCATGGAGATTATTTTGCTCCGCACCCTTAGTCATGGTCTATTGACTTTGAAAATTTTGCTTAGTTTACATATATTAGTTTGTGATTAGGTCAGTTCAAGGGGAACCATTAGTGGTAGGCCAATGTTAATTAGTATTCAGTTGTATAAGCATTAGCCCATCTCATTTCCATGGAAAATATTTGGCCCTGCCCCTCAGTCATGGTCTATTGACTTTGAAACTTTTGCTTAGTTTACATGTATTAGCTTGTGATTAGATCAGTTTAAGATGAACTGCTTATGTTAAGTCAATGATATTTAGTATGCAAATTTATTGGCATTTGCAAGTATCGTTTCCATGGAGATTATAGCCCCACATCATCATGGTTCATTGTCTTTGAAACTTTTACATAGTTTACAAGTTAATGTTTGTGTTTATGTTTGTGTAAAGGGAACGACTTATAATAAGTCAATGGTATTTGGTATGCAGTTGTATTAGCATTGGCACATCTCATTTCATGGAGATTGTTTAGCAATGTACCTTCAGTCATGGTTCATCGACTTTGAATATTTGCATAACTTACTTGTTAAAGTATTTCTATTTTAATTTCAACATTTGCATTATCAAAATTACAAAAAGGCGAGACATATCTCTGTGATAACAGTTTATTAATGCATTTCAACCAAATTATATCATGAAATACCAGAACAGAAAAAAGGAAACGAATGTTATATTCGTGCACCATTATACATTTTGAACTTAAACTGATGTAAACTTGGATGGGTTTTTGTTAGTCATGTTTTCACCACTGCCTGATTCTTAGGCAGATTGACACTTAATATCATAATTATCTTATTTCATATTTATACCTTTTCAGTCTTTTACATGATCCTTATTTTAAAGGTATTGGAAGTTCAGGCACTGCTCAGAATATTTTGTCATTGCAACCTGGAATGACATACTACACCACTGTCAGAGCTATCACTAATGATGGCAGTGTCATCCAGGCAGAGTCCGATGGGGTTTTGGTAGATAGAACACCACCAACCATTTCATTTGAGAGGTAAGAACCAGTATCATTCATACAGTTTCAGCCTTGCTGAGGGAGTCGAAATAGACAAATTTTGTGGAATTTTTTCAGTGGAAATCTATTTAGATCATTCCATTTGCTTAATATGCCCTTGGGAAAAACTAGGCGGATGTGTAGAAAAATGACACCGGAAACTAATTTTCAAATTGAAAAAACAACTATCCTGGAACTCCCCTATAGATTTAACATGCTTCCAATATAATGTTTCTCAATAACCAAAATTAATTGTTTGAATAATGTATATTATAGATAGAAACTAAGAATTGTAAAATTACACTTTCAAACAGTTTGAGTGGACATGCTGCTTCAGATGCCACCATTACAGAAGGAGGAACACAGTACCAGACGACATCCACCATATATGGGCAATGGTCCTTCAATGACACAGAAACTGTCATAGAGAGAGCATGGCTATCTGTTGGTACTTTCCCTGGAGCAGACGACATCAGTCCAAGGTCAGAGGTCAATGTATCAGCCCTTGATGAGGGTAATCTGGCCCTTGGTGCTATCACACCTCAAACCAATGGTAAGTTATCGTATTATGAAAAAAATGTACTTATTTGAAAGCAAAATATATCCTATCATTAAGGAAGTTTTCATATTTTATACTTATTGACTGGGTATGAGTGGAATAGTAAGTTTATTGTCCCCTCGAGGTGCAACTATTGCCCTGAGGCGTAGCCGAGGGCAATAGTTGTATCAGAGGGGACAATAAACTTACTATTTCACGAATATCCAGTCAGTAAGTGTTTTATTATACCGAAAGAGACAACAGACAATAAATGTCGGGGCTAAATCAACTATAGTAATATAAAAAGCAGAAACACAACCATACTGTTTAACGTTTACTTCATATATATTTTGAGTGCTTAGGCTACGTCCTGTACAGACGTCAACCGTAGATACATTAGGTAAAATGCGACATCGAAACTCCCGCAGTATTCTCAACATCCTCCAATCCCGTGGTTGCTTTTGAAATTCCGCGAAATATAATGACGCTTGCGGTCAAATAGTTTCATCGAGGTCCAATAGTTGGAAACTATTGGCCGGTCAAATAGTTCAACGCTTGAAATTTGAAAAATAGTCAAAATATTGTGTACTTATTTTATAAAAAAAAATGATAACTGAGGTATAATAATTTAATATATATGTATATGGGAAGATATATATTGTTTCCCTTTGTTTAATGGGGTTTTTTTTGTAACATTCTTTAGTAACAGAAAATAATTCTTATTCTATTGTTATTGATTTAGAAATAGAAATTAAAAGGGGGGAGGAGATTTCAATCTGTCCAAAGTGTTCATCACTTTTACATGTATCTGTGCAAATACAAGTCATACCTTGTTGATATATGCAGGGGTATAGCTACAATACATCCATGAAAGTTTTCAGGAAATTGCAAGATTTCTGGTTTTATCATTTTTTGTCACAACTTCTTTTATTAGATATTAAATTTTTATTTATTACCTGATTTTTACATTTTCACTTTCATCCATACTAATATAAAGCAACAGCTCATAGTTTATCTTGATTTGCAGATGTTATATATATCTATTTATTCATTTATACAGGAACACCGAACATCCTAAATTTATGGGTACAAAATTCAGTTGGACTAGTGTCTTCTGCGTCGTCTGCTGCTGTTGTCATAGATACCACACCACCAGATGTAGGAACTGTCACTTGTCCAACTTTTGTTTCTGTAAGTATGGGAAGCATCATCAAAGCAAAGTTATAAGATAAATAAGTAATGCTTTTGCAGCATTAAATGTAAAAGTCTTTAAAACCTTAAACCTTATTTAACTTTCAACTATTGCCATTTGGTAATCTAGCTATGGTTTTTTTCAGTAGATCATTCACATATGTTTTTGTCACAAACATGTTTAATTTGTATATATGACAATAGAGATTATTATTATTAAAAAAAAGATGAAACTTTAATTTATTTATAACAACCTATGCATCAATGAATACTGGAAGGATAAAATTGAGAATGGAAATGGGGAATGTGTCAAAGAGACAACAACCCGACCAAAGAGCAGAAAATAGCCGAAGGGGAAAGAGTTCCATATGGCACCCCCACGGAATAAACTAATACATTATTGTGTTCTTTTAGTATGGTGGGGGTGCCATATGGAACTCTTACCGAATCCAATACATCATACAGATAGGGATTAAAACATATTACAGTTCTATCCAAGTTATTTTTGCAAAGAATTACGCTCTCAAGTCGGTGCTAGGGGCCATCTTAAACTTACAGTGAGGTGAGAGTTTTTTGCTCTGTGTTGGAGGCCTCATTTTGACTTTGAGATGAAGAACAGCAATAAAAGTGCTGTTTCTTTGCTTATTGTGTGTTTTTCGTTGTCCATGTACTGATTTTGTGTCGTGGATGGATACCCCATATCCTTTGTTTTTTCTATTATATCACTTTAACAAAATGGTGCCAAAAGATTTGATTTCCAAATGAATTATCAAAAATAATTTTTTTTCTGTAGTGTGTATAAATTATGAAGAGTCTTAAGTTTTCTTTTCTACTATCATTCTTATACATTGTTTGCATGTCCAACCATCTGGAGATGTTGTTTAAGTCAAAATACTATTTTTTAGACAGGATTAATGTTGGGAATCAATTGCATGGATAAAGCAAATATATAATCAAAAAATGGTCAACGATAAGACACAAAATGATAAAAGCAATTTTTGTTTTTGTGCCGTAAAGTTTTGATATTTTAATTATTGGAAGAAAAAAAAAAACAGAAAAAGGCAGAAACACATTTTGAGTTTCAATTAGATCTATGAATACTTGGTCCAATTTTAAAATCATTTGTTCATTATTTTTGTTATTAAAGTTACAGAATCATGCATTTATCTCTTTCTATTTTGTACTTTATAGGCTTATGGTCAGGTCAAGTGTACTTGGACAGGTTTTGTGGATAAACAGAGTGGAATTGTTAAGTTTGTTGTTACCATGGGAACATCAGAAGGATCACATGACATGTTCAGTGGACAGGAATTAGATGGAGTGGCAGAGACCTTCAACTTCAACAGTATGTAAAATGGAATAAAAAAAAAAAACTTGATAATTTTAGAAAAGGTGTAGAAGTTCAATCAAGCCTTTGTCAAACCTGATTTTATTGAAAAAAAAGTCTTGGATTTTACATTATTTGAATTTTATATTCAATCTTGAATTGAAAGTTGTGTAGATTACCAGGTATTCCTTTTGCATATTTCCTCTTTAGAAATGCTCCAATTAGTGCTCTGTTTTTATTCGAGCTGAGTTCTGATATGTTAGGAGTATAATTCAACATGAGTGTTATGATAAATTGTATGCATGTTACTTCACAAGATTTTCAAAATCTTATATTTACTGTTTATACAAAGATTTGCAATGGCTTTGAAGAATATTTAAGAAACTGTGAGTAGAAAAGACAGTGTATTGTTCATTATATTAAGACCTAAAAATGTTTTATATACTAGAAGCATGTATTTGCATTTAAGAATTTGATTTAGTCAGTTACATGTGTAAAACATCAAAATGAAAATGACTGGTTTCATCATAATATTTTTCATGTCTGTATTTTGCCAGAAATATGCATTTCACTGTATCATTTCAGATGTCAGTCAATTTATGGTTCAAGATCAGCCATACTTCGTTACAGTGACAGCTGTCAATTATGTTGCAATGGAAACCTACAGTTTCTCTGATCCAATCAGAATAGACACCACACCTCCATCCTATGGCAAGGTCATTGACCTTTACACAACCTACAGAGTGGATGCAGCAAATGCCACAAAGACTGTACAGATGAATACCAAAATATGTAACTCTGATAATGGTAAGAATCACCTCCAGGAATGAAACCACTAATTCATAGCCCCATTGCTTTCTATGTTAAATTCTGCAATTTCAAGCATTAATGACTACTTTGTCTTAAGTTCAAATAAAGGGGAAGTCATTTCATGTCAAAACTATACCTTATCCTGACTTGTGCTGAAAAATTCAAAATACTTTTAATTGCGTATTAGAGCGCACTTACGTTCCCAGAAGTTTGGTATTACAAAAACAGGTACTTCTGATCTGAAAAACAGGGCAAATGTGCCCTCCTATTATGATTTCATATATTTATTTTATCGTTCGAAAGAAACTTTCAACGAGTGTTATCTACAGTGATCCCAAGTCCTTTAAGCTTTCATTTGATACCCAACTCACCCAAATATTTTACTTATTAACAAAGCTATGTGTAGGAAATATTTTGTTTAAAATATGTACTAACTTTCTGACCGGGAATGAATAAGTGGTTCTATACCTATAAATGTATAAACATGTAGGAAAGATCTAGACAATCCAGATTTTCTAATCGGATGGCTTATGATCTGAAATTGTCTATGCTTATAGTTGTCTTTGACCTCATTTTTATGCTACTGCAACTGAAAGTTGGGGGCATATTGTTTTACCCCTGTTCGTCTGTCCGTCCTTCAGTCTGTCGTTTCATCCGTCCATCCCATTATGGGTATATAGTTATTCAAGATAACTCCTCCTACAGTTTGAATTCTAGGACGTTTTCACTTTGCTGGCTGTTTGTACATATATTGAAGGTGTGCATGTGGTCAGGGTTTTGATTTTTATCAATATTTGCTCTTTTGGGAGATAGTTGAACTTTGTCATTTTTAGCTCACCTGGCCCGAAGTGCCAAGTGAGCTTTTCTCATCACTTGGCGTCCGGCGTCGTTCGTCGTCGGCGTTAACTTTTTACATTTTGAACTTCTTCTAGAGAACCACTGAATGGAATGAAACCAAACATGGCATGAATGTTCCTTATGAGGTGCTGACCGAGTGTTGTTACTTTGTAGCCGATCCATCATCCAAGATGGCCGCCAGCGGGGGACTTAGTTTAACATAGGACCCTATGGGAAATACATACAAATGTCTTCTTTTAGAGAACCACTGAATGGAATGAGACCAAATATGGTATTATTGTTCCTTTTGAGGTGCTGACCGAGTTTTGTTACTTTCAAGCCGATCCATAATCCAAGATGGCCGCCAGCGGGGGACTTAGTTTAACATAGGACCCTATGGGAAATACATACAAATGTCTTCTTTTAGAGAACCACTAAATGGAATTAAACCAAACATGGCATGAATGTTCCTTATGAGGTGCTGACCAAGTGTTGTTACTATGAAGCTGATCCATAATCCAAGATGGCCGCCAGCAGGGGACTTAGTTTAACATTGGACCCTATGGGAAATACATACAAATGTCTTCTTTTAGAGAACCACTGAATGGAATGAAACCAAACATGGCATGAATGTTTCTTATGAGGGGCTGACCGAGTGTTGTTACTTTGAAGCCAATCCATAATCCAAGATGGCAGCCAGCGGGGGACTTAGTTTAACATAGGACCCTATGGGAAATACATACAAATGTCTTCTTTTAGAGAACCACTGAATGGAATAAAACCGAACATGGCATGAATGTTCCTTATGAGGTGCTGACCGAGTGTTGTTACTTTGAAGCTGATCCATCATCCAAGATGGCCGCCAGCGGGGGACTTAGTTTAACATGGGACCCTATGGGAAATACATACAAACGTCTTCTTTTAGAGAACCACTGAATAGAATGAAACCAAACATGGCAAGAATGTTCCTTATGAGGTGCTGACCAAGTTTTGTTACTTTGAAGCTGATCCATCATCCAGGATGGCAGCCAGCGGGGGACTTAGTTTAACATAGGACCCTATGGGAAATACATACAAATGTCTTCTTTTAGAGAACCACTGAATGCAATGAAACCAAACATGGCATGAATGTTCCTTATGAGGTGCTGACCAAGTGTTGTTACTATGAAGCCGATCCATAATCTAAGATGGCTGCCAGCGGAGGACTTAGTTTAACATAGGACCCTATGAGAAATACGTACAAATGTTTTCTTTTAGAGAACCATTGAATGGAATGAAACCAAACATGGCATGCATGTTCCTTTTGAGGTGCTGACCAAGTGTTGTTACTTTGAAGCTGATCCTTCATCCATGATGGCTGCCAGATGGGGACAATGTTTAACAAAGGACCCTATGGACAATACATACAAATGTCTTCTTTTAGAGAACCACATACTGAATGGATTGAAACTAAACATGGCATGAATGTTCCTTATGAGGTAATGACTAAGTTTTGTTACTTTGAAGCTGATCCTTCATCCATGATGGTCGCCAATGGGGGGACTTCCTTTAACATAATACCCTATGGGAAATACATACAAATGTCTTCTTCTAGAAGTGCACTGAATGGAATGAAACCAAAACATGGCATAAATGTTTCTTATGAGGTGCTGATTAAGTGTTGCTACTTTGTTGCCATTTACTGTTCAAGATGGCCACCAGGATTTTTTATAAAATTACAGGACCAATATTAAACCAAATTTGGCCTCACTCATTATTAGGGTATCTGTTATGATTTTAATCTATTTTTACATGATTTCCAAAACCAAAGTAGAATCAGGTGAGCGACACAGGCTCTTGAGAGCCTCTAGTTGGAGTATATACTTGCATAAGAGGTGCATTGCATTTCCGGATAACTCCTCCTACAGTGAACCATAATCCTATGTGCTCCCATGCTTAACTTTGTGTATCTTAAAATAACACTTTGCATCTGCAGGGCATCATTTGTGTCTCCCAGACATGATAATATCTCAAAGAAAGTCCTACATTGACTTAATTATAATACAGTAACTTCAGTGTTGAGTGCGGGGGAATCACATTGTCTAGTTTTACTTTTTGTTTATTTTCTTGTTAAAGTTATTGTTCTGTTTTTCTGATAAAGTTTCTCTTTTAAGATAAGTAACAGGTCAGTAACTATATATTTGGTCTATAGATTCATTGTAAGAGAGGCATATCTATCTGTCATCTGTCCTTCACTGCATGTTCATGGTTCATTGATTAAAGCTCAGTTTTTATGATTAGCTCATCATTTTAGTAACTATAGTATTGTCCACTCTTGCTTTACAATACAACATACTCTTAACCGTTTGCCTTTCTGAAAGAATGAAGAACTTTTTAAGTTGCATAGAGCAGATCACATTGAGGTTTGACACATTGATTAAAGGCTCATATTATGCAATGGGGCAGTGAAACCACAAAAAATGAGGCAATAAAAGTACCTCTGGGGGACTTAGATAAAAAGAAGGATCAATTCTTTCCTCCTGGTTATTTAATTCTATAGAGTTAGCATGGAACTTAGCATGTTCCATGAACTTATATATTTTTTTAAAATATTTTCACTTTGCATTTTGTAGATTGTGATGCTTTAGATGCAATATGTACAGAGACATTCTCTACAGTGTCAGTCACATGGCAGCCATTTACAGATCAGGAGTCTGGCATAGCTGGGTATGTAATATGTTCTGTAAACCATTTATCGACCTAATCTCTATAACAACTGTCTAAAGTGAATACCTAATCTCTATTGGACAATTTTTATCAAGTGCAATATTTTTTTTCCTGCTTTAATTTTATGCCCCACCTAGGGGCATTATGTTTTTCGGTCTGTGCATCCGTTCGTTCGTCCGTCTGTCTTGCTTTAGGTTAAAGTTTTTGGTCAAGGTAGTTTTTGATGAAGTTGAAGTCCAATCAACTTGAAACTTAGTACACATGTTCCCTATGATATGATCTTTCTAATTTTAATGCCAAATTAGAGTTTTTGAAAACATAAGCATAGACAACTTGAAACTCAGTACACACGTTCCCTATGATATGGTCTTTCTAATTTTAATGCCAAATTAGAGTTTTGACCCCAATTTCACGGTCCACTGAACATAGAAAATGATAGTGCGAGTGGGGCATCCGTGTACTATGGACACCTTCTTGTTTCCACATATGTTGTGATGCTTTAATTGTTTGGAACTTTTTATTCTACACCTGCTCCATGGGAGGGGTATACTGGTTAACTTCTTTCTGTCTATATGAACATCAGTCTGTCTGTTTGTCCCATTAAATTGTTAATGCATTTTTCGCAGGAAAACAAATTAGAGCTTTTTTAAATTTGGAATCTTGCTTCAAGTGAGAATGCTTTTAAAGTATGAAGCTTTTTCACCTTCATAGTTCATTAAATTCTTGTTTATGAAATACTTTCTTACACAGAAATTTTCATGGTATTTTTCTGAGGCACTACAGATCTGAGCTTCCTAAAATTTGGTATAGAGTTTCATGTGAACAATCTATACTGTATGAGGGGTTTAAACATTCATTGCTTATCAAATTCCTGTTTACAAAATACCTTTTTATAGTTTCAGAGTAACTGAAATCATTCTCAAAATTTTAACGTGATTATATGCTTGGTCTATATCCATCTTTACTTTGATAAGATTTTGCAGAAGCTGATTTTCTGGTATGTATTTTAATAATAAATGTCTTATTGAAAAAACAGTTCTAAATTTGATATATAGTCAATACCAAATCTTTGTAATATTTGAATTGTAAATATGTTCTGCTAAATTTCCACATTTCCAATGATTTTGACCTGTAGAATGTATCATCTGTATTTAGGTACGAGATGGCTGTAGGAATAACACCAGGTGGCGCACAGATTCAAGCTTTTACTGCTGTACCTACTGGAGCTTTGTATCATACCATTGGGGGACTAAGTATGTCTGGTAACACAATTGTAAGTACTTCTTTGAGTCCTAACTCATTATATGCGCTATTTATTCTGTATGATTCATTATTTCATTTGTTATCCATTTTTGCACCAGATGTTGACAGCTATTTTGACCCAATATATGTGTAAAGTTATAGTATTTTTGTTAAGGGGGAAAATATGAATTATTCTTAAAAATCGATAAAAACTATTTATATTTACACAGAGGAAATGTTCTGATGGAAACACACTATACAAATATATATATATATATATGTTATGATTCAGCTTTCGTTTTCAATAAACCTCTGTTTTTGTGAATATTTTAAGTGTGTATACTTGACAGCAACACAACACAACACAAAAACTAATAAAAAAATCAACATATGGTCTTCAACTTTTGTCCATGCCATATGTCAAACTGTAAATTGCCCTGTGTCTAGACCAATTGTGAATAGATTTAGCTGAGACTACGAATAATCTGCTATTTATTTTTTAAAGGACAGAAAACACTGAAAAATTCAGTTCCTGTCTTTGGACAATCACATTATGATGTGGCAGGATTAAACTACCTTTATTATAACTCAAAACCCACCTTTTAATATCAATCACTTCATGATATTGGTCGTACATGACAATAAAAAACATGTGTACAAGTAGAACAGTACTAAATAGTTCTGTATTGAAGAAATCTCCAAGTAACTAATGCAAGATCTAAGTATTTAACCTGCTATTATGCTCCCATCTACTGATTGCAAGATCTAACTACTTAACCTGCTATTATGCTCTCATTTACTGAATACAAGCTCTAAGTACTTAACCTGCTATTATGCTCTCATTTACTTAATACAAGGTCCTGCTATATCATTAAAGTGACACTTTTTCATTGATTTCAGATCTATGTTTCCATAAAAGGTATCAATGGAGCTGGACTGTCAAGTATAGCATCATCCAATGGTGTTTACTTGTCATATGTAAGCCAAGGATTGTCTCCCCTTGAATCTATTGGTGTCATGGATACACTCGAGGAAGGTTCAGCAGTTGATGTGTAAGTAAAAATGGTTTATTAAAGACATATATAACAATTTTTTATGCCCCCGTTGCAGCAGAGGGGGCATTAAGTGTTACCCTTGTCCGTCTGTATGTCCTTACGTACATCCCGAAATTAGTTTCTGTTTTTTAACTTTAGTTTGCCTCAACCTAATGTTATGAAACTTATACAAAATGCTTATTACCACAAAACACAGATCAAGTTTGAATTTGGATGGCATCATTTTTACTGTTCTAGAGTTATGCCCTTTACAAATGGAAAAATTACTGAATATTTCGTTTTCGTACTGTAACTAAAGTTTGCCTCAACCAAATGTTATGAAACTTATACACAATGCTTATTACCACAAAACTCAGATAAAGTTCGACTTTGGGTGGTGTCACTTTTACAGTTCTCTAATAATGTCCCTTTATAACGTTAAATGCAAGTGGGGGAATCATCTGTGTCCCATGAACACATTCTCCATTTATTTTTATTAAGACATTACCTGACACTATATTAAGTTTTTTCTGAAATCATGGTTTCACTGTTTTCCTTGATTCAAGAGTTTTTTTCTGCATAATTTAACCCAAACTTATACCTGAGACACCAATGACGAAAGCAGGTCCAGTAACCACTCTACTCCACCTGTCGGTCCGTCCAAAAGTCTTTGATAGAAAACTTTCATCAAACTTTTCTTCGCTTCTATGGAAGGGAATGATTTTATGTTTGGTCTTGAGCTTGATTTAATATGTTCTACCTCGCTATGCTCGTCTGAACATAAATTATTTCTGATTCTATGTAAAGAAACAAAAAAGACTTATATGACAGGAGATACACACCAAACAGTTTTAATTTGTAGAAACAAAACATTGTTTTCAAAATAAATCAAACGAAAAAGTCCATGCATCATACATCATATTGTATATCTCACTGTTCATACTAATATCTACAAAAAGAAAATACACAGAATTAGTAATTATACAATGCATAATATTACAATCTTAATGTAATAAAGTTGTCTAACAAGTTTGGTGCGTGAAATCTTGATGAAATGAAAAGGGCGCGTAAAGTAGTATATAAAGCCTGAAAATCGATTTACTCAGTATTGCACAACAGAAAAAGTAAGAAATCTTAAAACGAAAAGAAATACAATAATGTTGAGTTGTAGCTGTGAGCAATTTTTACATCAGCTGTGCAGCCACCTCCTGTTTGTCAAACTTTTGCCTTTATGGAAGGGAATGATCGAGTTATGCTTCAGTATACGTGTTACCTCAATCAATTGCAGACATAATGAACTAAACAATTATTATGTTAAGCAATTATAATTTGAAATAATAAAAATAGACTGTTATTAGAATTATATTTTGTATTTTGCAGTCAACTACAAGACAGTACAAACACCTACAGAGCCAAGTGGGATGTGTCAGGAGATCCTTGTCCAGCTGTCAATTATAAGTGGAAAGTTCAGCGATTGGATGGCTTGGTAGTAGCTGATTGGAAAGATATGGATTGTAATTGTTATTTGGAAAAAATGGTGTTGATGAGAGATCTTTTCATAGTTTTTGTTGATTTTTTCTCAACAATCATTAGAATTAGAGCTTGACATACTGTATAGATGTCTGTCTATTAATGAAGACTGTATTTTACCCTCTAGATGTGTTTTGGTTATATATTTTGTTGGTTTGATATATTCACCTGATCTCCTTTCATTCATATATAAGACAGTTTAATCTTAGTTCAAGGACACTAGGGGCTCCATTCTTTATAAATTGTAAATAAGATTCAGTAATGAGTTTTAAACAGACTGCAACCAACAACTTAATTTACCTCACTTTGCTCTTATTGATAAATGATGGATGGTATGTTATTTCAGCAATAAAAGACAAAATGTAAAACAATTCAAATGAAAAAATATATAAAAACAATACAGTGTTCTCCCCAGGATTTTTGGATAGCACCAGGGTAACGCATGTGGACAGCTTAGTGAAATGATTCATATAATCAGTTGTGTCGCGTCGCGTTGCGTCACTTAGCTATATTTCTAGTTACTGCAGTATGTCTCTTGTTTTGTGTTAACACTGTGGTACTGTGTTATGTAGACATTGAGTCAGAAAATTATTGGTAAAGAAGTAAATCAATAAACAGTTTGTATACTTTAATATTTTTTTTAAATAAATAAAACATGATTGATTACAAAATATTCATCTAAATTTAAAGTAATCAAATCTTTTATAAAATCCATGATCAATAAAAATAAAATATCATTCAAAGGAGACTAAAAATGTTCAATTTAAAAAAAACTTTATAGTTTCTAGAAAGAAAGTTGTTGTATGTGAAAGGATTCTTGTCATAAGGAGATATAAAATAACAAGAACAAATATTGATTTATTGTTTGAACCAGTTTCTATCTTAATTTAAAAAAAAAAGAAATTTTTTATAAATTTAAAAACATTTTGCCATAGATTTCATGTAAATATTAACCTTTCTTGTCTTTGGTGATAATCAAACATTGATACAGACTTAATACTGCACTGAAATCTAAATCTTTATTTGTCATGATCCATTTAGAAAGAATTCCTGAATCTATAAATTTATCTTAGGTCTATAATATTCAATGTCAACAACAAAGTCTCCCTATTTTTCCCGCCTAAATGACAGGAAGTAGATATAAATAGATTTAACATGTGCTTATGGATAAAATTTGCAAGATTACTTCTGTTATTCATTTATTGTGGATATAGATATCCAGTTTGAAGGTACAGTCATACATTTTATTTATTAAATAGAATAGATTGCAATTAATTGTAAATAAACTTTAATATTTTACGTGAACTAACTGGGTCATGTGATATGTACATATGTCCGTCCCCTTCACAGATACTATAGTTTGAAACCTGATATCATGCACTAATTAAAGAAAATTTTGGCCATGGTTTAATCAGACATATTATACTATACTAATGAGCCAACTTTATCATCTACAAAAAATGTACAGGCGTGTGTGCAACTATCGGGTCACACTGTTTGTGTACAAAGTATTTGCAGACTTGTCACAGGTCAGCGCTTGGGTTGTGAGTGAAGCCATAAAATAGTTATAAGTGATCATAAAGTTATGAACTCCTAATTAAAACACAAAAGAATAATGTAACAAGTGTTAATTACATCGATTAAATCCAATCAACAAGGTTAACCTCATAAGGTAAATCATTCACGTGGTGTCAACAATCTGGGCAAACTGGTTTGAACTGGTCAAATTTCACCTGGAATTTTATACCGCACAGAAAAGATTTAACAAATCGCTTAAAACTTTACCGATTTACGATTTTTTTTACTGAAAATTTTAGCACCACGGTAAAATATTATACATCGTGGTAAGACCGATACCACCACGGTAAAAAATTATACATCGCGGTCCTTTAAGGGCCTGGGGAGAACACTGCAATAAAGGTAAAACAATGATGGGTGGTATGTAGATAAGTAGTCTAAGGTTGGGCACCAGCTTACATATTTAACCCCGCCACATTCTGTATGTGCCTGTCCCAAGTCAGGAGCCTGTAATTCAGTGGTTTGTTGTTATTTGTTTTGGGTTCATTATTTTGTACATAAATCAGGCCGTTAGTTTTATTGTTTGAATAGTTTTACATTTGTCATTTCGGGGCCTTTTATAGCTGACTATGAGGTATGGGCTTTGCTCATTGTTGAAGGCCGTACGGTTAGTTATAGTTGTTAATTTATGTGTAAATTGGTCTCTTGTGGAGAGTTGTCTCATTGGCAATCACTCTACATCTTCTTATTTTTATATTATAAGGTGGTAATTACCCGCCCTCCCACTTAATTAGGAGAGTACGCTTCATCACAAGACTTGCTTAAGGTGGTTCAAAAGGGACAGTGCATTGAAAATTGTTGAAAATTATGCAGTGCCTATCTGAATAAAAATTTCATTTTTGCATTCAACTTTTTAAGTCACATCATATGTCTCATATACCATCTTAACAGTTTGTTTATTGTTCAGTAAATATTTATGCAAAGGATTGTAAATTTAGCTTTATATTTTCAGTATTAACAGAAGGAATGGTTGATGGTCTATCCTTACTCAATGGAGAGTTATATTACTCGCTGGTCAAGGTCACAACAGCTATTGGATACTCTTACATCCTGAGGTCAGATGGAGTGACCATACAACAGAATGCTTTACTTCCTGGTCGAGTGTTTGATGGAGATATGACCGGATATGATTTGAACGTCCTGTCGTCCCAGTCTATTGTGTTTGCTAACTGGGACGGGTTTGGTTTACCTAGTGACACTATAGCACAAGTAGACATCTTAACTGGTAAGTATTGGGAAATCTTGTTAAAATAACGGTTTAAATTTTTTTCAAATTTAATCTTGAAATTGATGTCTTTTTTATATGCCTGTTTATGGGACGTATTATGGTATACTATTGTCCGTCTGTCGTCAACATGTTGCACAATAACTCAAAAATGCTTTAACACATTTAATGAAACTTTGGTGAATTGTTTATATCTGTTGACATAAGCTCTATTTGGATTTTTATAAATTTTAGATTTTACGTTTCCGAGAAATTGGATTTTATTCATAAAAAAGGGGGGATTTTCCTGTTTTCAGACAATGAATCAAAAATGGTTTGAGCAGTTTTCATTGAACTTTGGTGACTGGTTTATATCTATTAAAATAAGCTCCCTTAAGTTTTTCAAAAATTTCTGATTTGACATTAAGGAGTTATGGAGCTTTATTTGTTGAAAAAGCGACGGGTGTATCATGCCCTCATGGCGCAGCTCTTTATAAAAGTTTTAAATTCAGTTGTTCATAGTTTACATTGCAGTGAAACATGAGGAAAAGGAACAAACACTGTTCATGTTTAAAAGGTTTGAACTCGGACATAAAGAAGAAATCATAGATACTATAATTAACTGTATTTTTATCAGAATATTCTTATTCACATGAATTTAGGAGTTCAGATTATATCAATTCGTATTTGCATTATTTGCAGGAAAAGCAGGCATTCAAATAAATCAAGCAGATCTTGAAGCACAGCCGTTAGACCAGAAAATTGTGAAATATGAGGTTGCCTTAGGAACAGACAGAAGGTTTGCCAAGACAAGAGATGACACAGTTCCATTTACTGATGTAGGACTCAATAAGTCTGTTATATTTTTTGACCTTAACTTGACCCCTGGAGCCGGAAGATATTATTTTTCAGTGAGAGCCTACAGTTCCTCTTACTCCATGGTAGAAGTGTCGTCAAATGGATTCTATGTTGGATTTGATGGAGGTGTAACAGGTAATGAAACCTAATGATCCTCCTCATGGGGTTTTTGATTATGTGATTACTTGGCTGTTTTTATAGTGATTATTTGATTACCAGACCAAATATTTCATGATTATTTGATAATTTTGGACTGTATTTTTGATTGTTTGATTATCTTGTTTAAAAAAATAATTAATGATTATGTGATTATTTTGGGGAAAAATTTGTGATTATGTGATTACTTGGACACCCCAATGAGGGGCCTCCCTAATTATTCTTTTGTCTCTTCACAATACAAACTCTGACTAGTTTCTCTTTTCTAATGCTTTGTGATTGTATCATTGCATTTGATTGGCAGATATTCTACATACACATTATTCACAATCTAATATGCCTGATATATAATGGTGTTCCAAGAAACAGTCATCATATTAAATTAATGATGATGAAGATGGATGCCTGTTTAACGTACAGCAGCAAATTAAATGCATATTCAGGATGAGAACATGTAATGTTATATGAATATTAACCCTGCTTTGTACAAGATTGACACACTAAGCTGAATTTTTAATATGGTACCGCAAGAAGACACGTCACTAACTGACCTTGTTGTGACTCTGAGCTGACCAGTCTTTTCTCTTACTCCTTAATGCAGTGTGGAGAAGCAGCAAATACCAAATTTAAAGTCTTTGGTTTGAACTGGCCATTATTCGAACTCACAACCTCCAACAACCTCCAACACTTGAGGCAAACATGCTATCACAAGCATCCATTAAGTAAAATGAGTTATACTCAAAATAATTAAATACTGTGATATCATCAGATAAATCCATTTTGTCATTTGATGGTTCTGTTTTTATCCTTCGTTTTCTTTCCTTTTATTAGCTGGAACAATAAACATGGAATTGATCCTGAGCGTTGGGACTTATGTAGATGTACAATTCAGTGGATTTGAATCTAAAATAGAAATTTTGATGTATTATGTGGCAATGTCGAACAATACAGACGCCAAAGGAACTAGCTGCACTCATTATGTAAGTCAAGTTCTATCTTACTTTGTCTATTACTGTTGATTCATTTTTTTTCGTGAGTACCAATTTTCGTGGATTAAGAAAAGCTTACATGTTCTTGGATATAGAAATTCATGGATTTGCCAAAGTCTGCATACAAGCATATAGTAAATGTGTCATTCATTGAACATTTAATTTCGTGGTTCACCAGTACCCACAAAATCCACTAAAATTGGTATCCAACGAATATTAATGAATCCACAGTATGTGGCTATGTCCAACTATACAGACACCATGGGAACTAGCTGCACTTATGTAAGTCAAAAACTATCTTACTCTGTCTATGGCTCTATCTACAGACACCATGGGAACTAGCTGCACTTATTATGTAAGTCAAAAACTGTCTTACTCTGTCTATGGCTCTATCTACAGATGCCACGGGAACTAGCTGCACTTATTATGTAAGTCAAAAACTATCTTACTCTGTCTATGGCTCTATCTACAGACACCATGGGAACTAGCTGCACTTATTATGTAAGTCAAAAACTGTCTTACTCTGTCTATGGCTCTATCTACAGATGCCACGGGAACTAGCTGCACTTCTTATGTAAGTCAAAAACTATCTTACTCTGTCTATGGCTCTATCTACAGATGCCATGGGAACTAGCTGCACTTATTATGTAAGTCAAAAACTATCTTACTCTGTCTATGGCTGTATCTACAGATGCCACGGGAACTAGTTGCACTTATTATGTAAGTCAAAAACTATCTTACTCTGTCTATGGCTCTATCTACAGATGCCACAACTAGCTGCACACATTATAGATATAAGAAGATGTGGTATGAGTGCCAATGAGACAACTCTCCATCCAAGTCAAAATTTATAAAAGTAAACCATTATAGGTCAAAGTACGGTCTTCAACATGGAGCGTTGGCTTATGTAAGTCAAAATCTATCTTACTCTGTCTGGCCACAGACCACAATTAATTCCCCCTATTAGTTCTTTATAACGTTTTGTCGCATTAAAAAAAATTTACCAGTTTTTTTTGTCAAATCTTTTGTGTGTGTACTGTACGCTACAAGTCCAAAAATATATCCAAGTTTTAGAAAAATTGAACCCTTAAATCTTTCAAATTTAGCCAATACACATCCATACCCCTATGGACAAATCAAGAGATGTTCCGAAAACTGTAAAGTCAAGAGATGTTCCGAAAACTGTAAATTACCTTTTTGCACCTGGCCTAATCACTCTTTCCATATCAAAATCAGTTAGAATAAAACATCCAAAAATTTCATTTCCACCTTATAAAAACTAAGAAATGTATGAGAAAAGGAAAGAAAAAAATAAAGAAAAAATACACTTTAAGTAAAGGGAACTATATTCGTGGACAACGAAAAGCGGGATCATTAATTGTGGTCTGGAGCCTATTAGGGGTCAAAAACTTGACCAATTCCAATAAAACTTGGCATGATTTAAGCTTTGTGTATTATGAGACAGTTTACTCAGTTTCAAAGCCATATGATATCAATTATAGAAAATGTGGCCTTTTTTATATCTGAACTTTGGTTGCTGAATTGTGACGTTGAAATAGAACAATTTCAACTATCAAAGTTTGGCTTCAAAAACAAACAAAAAACAAAAATGTGCACTTTTTAATGTCTCTATGTATAAGATATTATCTATTTATAGTAATAGATAGCATACTGAATGTATCAGACTTATAAAAATTGGCAAACAGTTAATTTTATATGAGCCTGTGCTAAAAAGTAGAGGTTCTCAAATGAAGCGAGGCCTTATATGAAATGTAATATTTTCCACTTACAACAATTTTCTGAAGTTGTTAAGTTAAAAAAAAACCTTTTACATATCATAAATGTACTTTTCAAGGAAATATAAGTTTCAAATAGCATAACACATGAGGATGACATGGTCTTAAGCAATGTCAAGCTTAAAAAACCAAGTTGTCGATTTAGCCCGTTTCCCATATTTCCATATTAAAAAGCATATAAATGATATGGGAGATAGAAATATGCTACTTTTTGATCAAATCCTTGCTTAGATAAGATGAAACATGAAGCCTGGGTGTAACAAGACTGTTGCTTTCAACTATATATGTAGATAGTATGGTCTGATGCAAAGTTTATTCACTTTACTGTTTAAAACCTGCATGAAACTTCAGCCTCAAAAGGCCAATATTTTAACCACTAGCTATCTAACAGAAGAAATTAAAGGTAGTATGTGAAACAGACAAGGTAAAACAACCAGTAATAAGTGCTTTTGATACAGGTTCAGTGAAATCTGTTTAAAGGAATTCAACTTTTATGTGCATAGAACCTAACATTGCACTTGCTTCGTACAGACTGTTAGACTTTGACCATTAAAACAGCACATTTTGCACACTTTTTATGGTTTTATCTACTTTTCTTTCTGTTCAGAGTTCCTAATTGAGTAAAACATCTAAATTAAATACCACAAAGACAAATAGAAAATCATAAAAATCTGTCAGAGAGAAAGTAAGCATGCTACTTTTGTAAAAATATTGAAACAAGTGAAAAAGCTACATTTTGGGCATACTAGCTGAAAAGTGATTTTTTTACAAAATTTCTATCAAATAAAGGTGGAAATCATTTATTCTCATGTAGTTTGACAAATTTAATTCATATAGATCATTCAGAGAAGTTGTCAAAGTACAAATTCAAAATTTGCTGAAATGCACCTCTTAGGCCACAGACCACAATTAATTCCCCCTATTAGTTCTTTATAAATTTTTGTCGCATTAAAAAAAATTTACCTGTTTTTTTTGTCAAATCTTTTGTGTGTGTACTGTACAGTATAAGTCCAAAAATATATCCAAGTTTCAGAAAAATTGAACCCTTACATCTTTCAAATTTAGCCAATACACATCCATACCCCTATGGACAAGTCAAGAGATGTTCCGAAAACTGTAAATATTACCTTTTTGCACCTGGCCTAATCACTCTTTCCATATAAAAATCAGTTAAAATAAAACATCCAAAAATTTATTTCAGCTCTCTTCTTTCATTTCCACCTAATAAAAACTAAGAAATGTATGAGAAAAGGAAAGAAAAAAAATAAAGAAAAAATACACTTTAATTAAAGGGAACTATATTCGTGGACAACAAAAAGCGGGATCATTAATTGTGGTCTGGAGCCGTCTATGGCTCTATCTACAGTTGCCATAGAAACTAAGGGTTCTCATATGCAATTATAATGTTATTTCCCAATATCTATTATCTATATTTGTACTTATATCATTTGTGTCCACAAAAAAATACTAAATATTCATATTGAGGATAAAAATCTGTTAAAAAAACCTCATTGTGATTTCTCTTATAAAATTAAACTGCAGTTTTATTTAATAGAATTTTCAGTTTTGAATGATCGATGTAGCCATGTTTCTGTGTATTTACTCTATGATTTTCCTTAGGTTGATGGAGGAGATACAACTAATGAAGAAAAGATGAAGATGTTTACAGAATATAATCTGACCAACATCAAAACTGACACCTACATTAAAATGGAAAACTTAAACCTTACTGCAGGAAAGACATATTATGTCTTTGTTATGGGTAAGCATACAGAAGTAATGCAATTGCTTATACTATAGTTTTCACTTCTGTAAATATAGACAATGCAATTTTTCAATGGAACTCCTTTTATGGCTTAAACTGAGCCTCTTTTACTATGAAGTTTTGTAAAAAAAAATATATCCTAGAATGGAAAGTTCATATGCACTACTATTTTTTTCAAAGGTAAAAAAATTAGTGCTGTGTGGCATATTTTCAACATTTATATGCCCTGAACTACTAAGAGTTTAAAGTTATACTAAAATTCTGTACTACCCCTCCTTTCACTTTGGGTATTCCGCAGAATTAGGGCTGTGTGGCATATTTTCAACATTTATATGCCCTTAACTACTAAGAGTTTAAGCTTATACTAAAATTCTGTACTAGACCCCCCCCCTCACTTTGGGTCTTCCACAGAATTCAATTTGGCTGCTATCCATGTGTAATTATACTGGTAAAATTCCCAAGTTGTGTCTCTATGAGATGAAACATAGATTTCATATCTGGGAATCAGTAGGTTTACAAATCAAAATATCTATAAATATTAAATGTCTCCCAAAAGAGGCTAGGTTTGTGAAACAGCTGTATTTACAAGGTGCAACCTATAAGGAGAAAAAAAAGAGTATTTTTTGTAAAATCAAGGTTTTTGTCGAGCCTTCGACTTTAGTCGAAAAAGCGAGACATAGCGATCCTACATTCCGTCGGCGTCGCAGGCGTCCACGAATATTCACTCTGTGGTTAAAGTTTTTGAAATTTTAATAACTTTCTTAAACTATCCTGGATTTCTACCAAACTTGGACAGAAGCTTGTTTATGATCATAAGATAGTATCCAGAAGTAAATTTTGTAAAAATAAAATTCCATTTTTTCCGTATTTTACTTTTAAATGGACTTAGATTTTCTGCCAGGAAACAACATATTCACTCTGTGGTTAAAGTTTTTAAAATTTTAATAACTTTCTTATACTATTTTGGATTTGAACCAAACTTGGACAGAAGCTTGTTTATGATCAAATGCTAGTATCTAGAAGAAAGTTTTGTTTTCTTCCAGTTAACATTACATTCAGTCTGCAGTTAAAGTTTTTAAACATTTATTAGATTCATAAACTCTCCTGGATTTTTACCAAACTTTGACAGAAGCTTCTTACAATCAGAAGATAGTATCAAGAGGAATATTTTTATTGATTTACTACCTCATTTTTGTTGAGCCTGCGATTAACAGAAAAGTAGGCGAGACACTGGGTTCCGCGGAACCCTTACGAATTTTTACATTACCATTGGTGTCGCATATTTATTACTATAAGGAGAAAAAAGAGCATTTTTTGTAAAATCAATATTTTTTTACCCTTACTTTGTTGATGAAAAGTTAAAAAAATATTTCCTGAATTATATTTGGTAGTAATGTTGATAAAAAGTTTAAAAAAATATTTCCTCAATTATATTTGGTAGTAAGCTTAAGCGACAGACCCTAAATTGAAAATAAACAAAAATTAAGCCAGATCACAATATTTATTTTTGTTCTAAAATTTACAGGTGTAGACCGGTCTGGAGAATGTAACATGACCTACCATGAATTCACAATAGACAACAGTCCTCCATTGATTGGTAGAATGAAGACTGGTCCTTATTTTGATATGGTAAGTATTTACCTGAGCCTTACTTTGATATAGTAAGTATTTACTTGGGCCTTACTTTGATATAGTAAGTATTTACCTGGGCCTTACTTTGATATAGTAAGTATTTACCTGGGCCTTACTTTGATATAGTAAGTATTTACCTGGTCCTTGCTTTGATATGGTAAGTATTTACCTTAGCCTTACTTTGATATAGTAAGTATTTACCTGGGCCTTACTTTGATATGGTAAGTATTTACCTGGTCCTTACTTTGATATGGTAAGTATTTACCTGGGCCTTACTTTGATATGGTAAGTATTGACCTGGTCCTTGCTTTGATATGGTAAGTATTTACCTGGGCCTTACTTTGATATGGTAAGTATTGACCTGGTCCTTGCTTTGATATGGTAAGTATTTACCTGGGCCTTACTTTGATATGGTAAGTATTGACCTGGTCCTTGCTTTGATATGGTAAGTATTTACCTTCCTTTTGATGATGAATATAAATGAGGGAGATTTGGGTATTAAAAATGAATGTGATAGCAACTTATTGACAATGAATAACATTTGGTCCAGTAACTGTTCTATCACTTGTCATAAATTCATGAAATAAGAAAGTCCTTTATCATATTTTCAAACATAAAGGAGGCTTCAAGATACATTTTAGATTTGCATGCAAAGATTGTGTTCAACCAATAACCACAATGTTTATTAAAGAATTGTGAATCTTTTAACTGAAGCTATCAAATACAATTCGCATTTTTTTCCAGCCTATTAGCTACACCTCTGACAGTTCATCATTATATGTATACTGGGAGAACTACACAGACACAGAGTCTCACATTAAATCGTACCAAGTGTCATTGTGGAGGAATAGTTCATGTAACATTGGATCCACACAGGAAGTGGAAGTGGATTGGATCAGTTTAGACAGTAATTTTACAGACTATACATTTGTTGACCTGGCATTACAGGTAAATATATACTGAACGACAAGAGAAACACAGCAACATTATTAATTTCTATTTAAAAGATCAATTGAGAAATAATTAAAAGTAAGGATAGAGCAGATGTTTGACAAAATGTATTATGTCCAGGGATGCTCTGTAAATTTGAAAATTTGCAAAAAAAAAATCAAATGAGGTATATACCCAAAATAGATTTTTATGCCCCCGCCGTAGCGGAGGGGGCATTAAGTTTTACCCTTGTCTGTCTGTACGTAGGTACGTCCCAAAATTGGTTTCTGTTCTCTAACTTTAGTTTGCCTTAACCAAATGTTATGAAACTAATACACAATGCTTATTACCAAAAAACACAGATCAAGTTTGAATTTTGGTGGCGCACTTTTACCTTTCTAGAGTTATACCCCTTTACAAATGGAAAAATTGCTAAATTATTTGTTTCCCTTCTCTAACTTTAGTTTGCCTCAACCAAATGTTATGAAACTTATACACAATGCTTATTACCACAAAACTCAGATCAAGTTTGAATTTTGGTGGTGTCACTTTTACCGTTCTAGTTTTTTTTTATTTTCAGATAATGGGAGCTTTTGGAATGTTTGAAAAGAAAAATTAAAAAAAAATGTCTAGCATCATTAATTTTGTAAACAACACACACTGAAAAATGTTAAGCCTCAAATTTTGATTTTTTTACATTTTGTGTGTTGATCTGTGCTATGTTTGAATAGAATTAAAACACTCAAGTAAAAGGAAATGTGCATTAAATGAAGACACTCATCTGTATTATCTCTTTGCTTTAGAATGACATGCCATACAGAGTAAAGCTACGAGTAACAAACAAAGCAGGACATTTCGTTGAAGACCAGTCTAATCCTGTCTTTTATGATGGTAGTGAACCAACCGCTGGCAGAGTCGTAGCTGGACTGGATTATAAAAATGATCAAGTCTGGTTTAGCTCATCATTACATGTGTCTGGTAAGTTGTAGCTGGACTGGATTATAGAAATGATCAAGTCTGGTTTAGCTCATCATTGTATGTGTCTGGTAAGTCATAGCTGTTTAGCTCATCATTGCATGTGTCTGGTAAGTTGCGACATTTTATTGCAAGATGCAGTTATAAGAATTAGAAATAGTAAATACTAGTTTTAGAGCTATAAACAGTTGAAAGAGTTTAAATTTTAGACGGAAATGAAGTCTTTGGATTTCTCATATGAAATTAATTGGTGAAATGGCATGAATAGGATGTATAATATAGAAAAGAAAAGAAAAGACAAAGGGGTTCTAGCATGGGCAAATAATTATGATACATTGTCAATGAAAAAACAAAGGTAAAATATTACAGAATATAGTTTACAAGAAAAGCTTGATTTAGTAAACAGTTAACATCAAACTTGTGGTTTGATTTTAACCATAGATTTGAATTACCTCACTTTTAATTATAAGTTTTTTTTTTAAACTAGAGCAAACAAAAGAAAAAATAGAGAATTTTATAATTACATCTCATACACATATTGAAATAACATGGTTGTCTTGTACAATAAGTTTTTAATGATAGTCCTAATTTTTTTAGGTATTTTCTTGCACATGGCCTCTCCTACAGTTGTCACATGTCCTAGTAATCCAGTCTCATTGGTCAGTGGTACAAACTGGAGAACAGTGGTGCAGACTGGCATGGATGATCCTAGTGGGGAGAAGTGGAACTTGGAATACAGGGCTCAAAATGTGGGAAACCATACAAAAGAGGATGAGATCTGGATAAAACTTGCTAGGGATGTCAAAAAGGAGCAGTTATTTACTGGAGGATATTATAGACCAGCTGATTTCAATGAAGGTGGCGAATATCAGGTAAGATTTTTTATTAAATTTTGCTTTGATCTATTTGTGTGATCATGTTTTATCTCGCGCTACTTGAACGATATGGGTTTTTCTTGGTCAGTAAAGAGAGAAAATGTTTTATGTCATAAATCTATGTCACTAATGTTAACTTGGAAAATAGGAATTCCAGGAAGTCACCTTTCGATGAGATTGTTGCAGAGATACTCCCTCTCTTGTAAAGAACCATTGATATTCTGTAAATAGTACTGAGAAAAAGTTTATTAAACATAATTAAAGGCCTGCTTATTTCAGTGGAGGTTGTGAATATAACTTTCGTTCTTTGTCGGTTTTTCCTTGTCGATCTCACAGCAGGTATATGATAACATCAGAAAAAGGGGCAGTGTTGGGATCTACACAACATCGTATGCGTGAAAATTTTAACTGATGTGTAATGTCACATTACTGTTTTCATCAGGGTGAGGCAGGTTGAAATAGGACAAAGTGTGGACAAAGATTTTAAGTGGAAATCTAATGAATCATTCCATATTCTTCATTCTCATGTATGAAATACCAGGCAAATGCAGAGAACATTTCTAAGTTAGGGGACATCTATTGGATATTCTGGGGGGAGGGGGGGCAGGAGGATTTTTTGCAGATTGACGATTCATTTTCATCTGTTGCTACACATGCTTATTTTTTGCTGTGTGAAACTTTATTTCCTTATGTTTTCTAGGTATCCATCCAAGCAGCCAGTGGTGATGGCCAGGCTGTTACAGAAGTTATGTTATGGGAGGGACCAGTAGATGGTATAGCTACCTACAATCATTACAGGGAATCAGACTGGACACAGGAAGTCTGCAGCTGTTGTTTTATCACTCCTATATCAGAGGTATGACATAATGTCTTATGACAACTGTATTTTACATTTCTCAGTGGATTAGCAAAAAACCATGTTAATTGGAAAAAAAAGTGATGAAAAATTAGATTTTAATAATCCTTTTTTTTTCTAATAAAACAATATCTTAGACTTATGAGTGGTATAATAATGTAACAAAAAGATACAACTCTGTAAAAAAAAAGGTCTGATATTCAATGCTTTATTATGGTTCTTGATGTCTATAATTAAGTTTATTACTATGTGGGAAGGATGGAATGATATACATAAGAATAATGGCATGATTATACAATTTAGAGCAGCCACAATGGTGTTGTCAGTTAAAGATACAGGGATCTAATTAACACATAGAATGCATAGATAATGACATGATTTTTGTTTTTGTTGTAGAACTGCACTGCATGTAATTGTACCAAATATTTATCTGATAAGTTTGGTAATGACAATGTGACAGCGCCACCTACTGTGTCTACCACTTCCATGATAATGACAACAACACAACCATATGAAATAGTTCAGACTGTACATACCAACATAGAAGTCAACGTATACAATATCACAAACACAGTCAACACAACTGTTACTGTACAGGAACCAGTAGATACCAGTACATCACCTGCTCGTCCATCATGTGGTATACAGATTGTTGCAGGTCAGTACCAGCCTATACTGTTACATTGTGTTGAGAAATTGTCTGATAAATTCAGGGATAAAAATTGTATGAGGATGTCTATTTAATTTTAAAACACTACACAGTTAATATGTTAGAGTGATCCTTATTTTTGGTTTTACTATTTGTTTCAGGTACAAGTCCATATTTAGTGTCCTGGTGTAGATTGTATAATGATTCTTTGACTCCTCTTTCCACTGATGATGACCTAGATTTTGACCCGTCAGCTGGTTTCCATGACTACAAAATGGTAGTTGATTATGAGAAATATGACCAGATTGAGGTAAGACAATTTTTTCTAGTCATTGATAAAAATGTTTGCCATATTATGGCATTAATACGATATTTTCCTATTTCCTTCATGTAGAACTGAGTTTTAAATCATGTTTCAACTGATTTTTATGCCCCACCTACGATAGTAGATGGGCATTATGTTTTTCGGTCTGTGCGTCTGTTTGTTCGTCCATCAGTCCTGCTTCAGGTTAAAAATTTTGGTCAAGTTAGTTTTTGATATAGTTGAAGTCCAATCAACTTGAAACTTAGTACACATGTTCCCTATGATATGCTCTTTCTAATTTTAATGTCAAATTAGAGTTTTTACCCCAATTTTACGGTCCACTGAACATAGAAAATGATAGTGCGAGTGGGGCATCCGTGTACTATGGACACATTCTTGTTTCAGAAATTTTTACATGGATGTTTATCCTAAAATCAATATATGAGCTGTGTCAGATAGAAATTGACCTTATGCAAATTTAAATCAATACATCTGTTAACCTATTTTTGGTTGATGAAATCTCTATCCACAGTCTGTAACTGTTTGAAAATTGAATTGATATAAAACCCTACGAAATAGATCAAAATTCATCTTATTTCGTATTTGAATATTTCAAAATCAATCAAATTCTTATAAATGTACATGTATACGTGCACTTGCATAAGGTTGATAACTATCAGAGGTATCTCATATATTATTATTATTGATTCTGTATGTCAAAGAATTTTTCAAGTCAGTGTGAAATAGAATAATAATTTTATTTAAAATAGGGAAAATGATCATAGGCTTTGGAACCAAAGTTTGTTGTTATTTGATGCCTAGATAATCTATTTGAATTGTCGGTGTTTCATCCTTTGCTTTTGCCACATGAAAAAGCAAACCCCAACATAGACTATTGAATCATTCCTCACTTAGATTATTGTAAGCCTTGTCATATTTATATCAGACATAATAAATTTTCATATGCCTATTGAAGAAAAACATATTTTTTTTATTTAGGGGCCAGCTGAGGCCCACCTCCGGGTGCGGGATTTTCTCGCTGCGTTGAAGACCCATTGGTGGCCTTCGGCTGTTATCTGCTCTTTGGTCGGGTTGTTATCTCTTTGACATATTCCCCATTTCCATTCTCAATTTAATGGTATACCTCTGTCTGTTAATTTGTTTGTCTGTCTGATATAAAAACAAGGAGATACGATTGTCAATAAGACAACTATCCACCAGAGACTAAACAAGTGTGCAGAAGGATCTTACGTTATCCTTTTGACCACATGATTAGTTAAAACAGTACTTTAATGCAAAATTCATAGTACAATTTTACATAATACATTGAACTTTCTTAACAACCCTAAGAATTGCCATATGATAAGTCTATAAAGGTAAATATTTAGGATATTTGGTGAGAATTAGCTTTTGCTTTACCTCATATGGAAAATTCTGATTGAAAAATAGGCACACTTAAAATGTATATATATATATAGTTAAAATTTACTCTATGTGACAAAATAAAGATTGATATAAATTGGACAAATATAATTTTTTTTCTTCAGAAAACTTGGTGTTTAAAGGTATATGTAGATGGATCTATGTTCAGTAAGATATGTGGTATCCCTGAATTCAGTACTGACACCAAACTATTATTTCATGTCTTCAATAAGAACAATTATGTGCCACCAATCACAGATTTGTTTGATGTGTTCTCCATTAAAGCCAGCTTCAGAAATGTGATAATGCCTCCATCTTCTAATTCTATGTGTAGATATGGGGGACCATTTTATGGAGGTGTAATACCCATTGACAGATATGAAGCTGGTATTGGGTGAGTTTATCTCTTCAAGTATATGTCATACTAAAAATACTGATTTAGAAATTACATTTTATGTTAAAAATAGAGAATAGTAACAGATGTATTTTGACTGTTTTGTCCCTTTGTTGTTATGATACTCTAAAGCACTTCCTGTTTAGGGATTCCCAAATTTTGGCCTCAACTCTTAACTTATGATGGTTATTCTACAGGGGTGTGTTTTGAACACTGAAATTGTATGGCATGTTTATATTGTAAACATTCAACTGCAAACCAAGTTGTATGCCAGTGATTGTCTTAGAATGATTTTGATGTTAAAAGTGTTCCAAAAGGTCATTTTGAAAAAAGTTGATTGATTGACTGTTGCTTCCTAAACATCCAGTAGCAAATATTCCATGCCAATGCAGGAGAAGAACAAATTAACATTCAATATATTAGTTATATTTGGTTTTAAAAAGTTATGCTATACATCAGTTGAGATAGACAGGATATATTTACATAAAGACAACAACTTAAAAACACCAAAAATTCAAAAAGATATATAGAGTTAAACAAATGTTCTTTTAATGAAAAACTATGCATACCATAAGTCAATCTCAAAATTGTCTCTAGTCCTGAAACATTGTGACGAAAATTTACAGTTTAAAAATAAGGAGATGTGGTATGATTGCCAATGAGACAACAAATTAATATCCACCAAAGTTCAAATGGAGTGGCCTTCAACATTGAGAAAAACCCATATCGTATAGTCCACTATTAAAAGCCCCAACATGAAAAATATGAAACAATTCAACTGAGAAAACTAACGACATAATTTATAACAAAACAATTTACAAAAACAAATATGACAGACATGATCTATTCAAAGACAACCATTGAACTTAAGTCTCCTGACTTGGAACTGGCACATAAAGAATGTGGCTGGTTTAAACATGTTTGAAGGCACCACTCCTTCCCCATACCTAGGAAAGTGGTATAACAGTCCATAAAAACAAACTATAAAAAACAGTTGATTTTCTTTCCAAAATTGTGGTATATTACTTTGGATTGAATCTTTAACTTCTAGCACAAGAAGCCATCATTCAACCATGAGATTTTAAGGAGTATTTAATGAAATAGGTATCAAAATTAACCATATGTCTATTTCAGAACTGATGAGTTAATGACTGATGTAGTACCTTATCAGGAAGTACTGGACCCCTGTATACCATGCTATAGCCCCTGTGCTCCATACACTTGTCAAACCACATGTAATCCAACAGAACAGAAACTGTTAAACTTCACATTGACAGATCTCAGCCTGCCTGCTAAGAGAGAAGAGAATACCACAGGACAGCCGGTTAACACGTCTATTTCTTACTTTTTAACAGGTATTTTTATATATCTAGACTTTTTAACACATACTGGCATTTTCCTGGAGGTATGCATTTTTTTTTTATTTTCAAGCTCTAAACTTACAGTTAACTACATTTTGTTGTTTTATTACGTACATTTGTATGTAGTAAATAAGCTTAATTTGTAACAGGAAAATGGACAATATATATCTTGAAAATTTATTTACACTATTCTCTTGCCATCTGCAATAATTTTAAAAGACTCAAGCATAGAAAAGGAATAAAAAGATTTTTTTTATTATTAGAAGATATCAGTATTATATTAGAAGATTTGATTGTCGCAAACTGAGCTTTAGCTAAGCCAGTAAAAAGATATGTGTAACGATCAAATCAAAACTGATGTACACAAATCTTAAAATACAATACTGTTATCTCCATTCTATGCAACTGAAAGAAAAGGCTGCTAAATCAGGCATTTTAAAATCCACTCAACAACATCTGCACTAGTGCCAACAGTTTGAAACCACCAATGGTTGAATTAATGCCCTAGAATTTTTGGCATAATCTGATTAAAATGAACCTTACAAACAATGTTACATAAAAATGATACTATGGGACTACAAACACTGCATTCTATATTTCTAAGAGCCTATTTTCTTGTGTTTCTAGTAAAAGCGGTCTTAAGTTCAGGAAGTTCAGCTGAAGCATCCTCATCTGTGTTTTACATTGATTATACCTTACCATGGTTTGATCTTGAACAGATGACCCCAATGTATATCGACATCAATCAAGGGGAACTAACTCCTGTCAGCTTCCAGTCATCAAACAGTACAATCAAAGCATTTTGGAGATGTGTTGATGAAGAAAGTCAAATTGTGGTGAGTGCAGATTGCTTAGCCCTTTTACAGGCTGTAACAATTTTTTTCTTTACTTACTTTTGAAGTTGAAGCTATTTCATTCTTCTGTTTAAAATTTTATGATTAGGTAAGAAACATTTTCAAACTATGTTAACTCCCTTTGTCTGGACTAATTTTGCACAGATCATCTATTTTAATTACTTTTCTTACAAATCCCACAAGACATATCTTCATAGTTTTTTCTTAGCAATTAACATGTTAAAACATTTTTAGGTGAAAAATGTGAGTGTTTTATTTCTTATTTTTCTTATTGAAGAAATAGCATGTCAATACATTCCAGAATTCAAAATGTCGGCTTCCCTTAGGTACAGACAGGTAGATAGAGGATTTAAAGCTTGTTGTCATCCAATCAGATGTTAGTCTGTGTACTTTATTTTAACCTGTTTTTTGATTCTTTAAAGGAAAATTGGTGGGCTATAGGTACATCAGTAGGTGGTGAAGATTTACAGCCCTGGACATCAGTCGGAGAGAATCAGATTGCCAGTAATAACAGCTTTGAAGGAGTTCTACAGAACAACAAAACCTATTATGTGTCAGTACGGTGTAAGAATGGTGCAGGACTTGAAGCTTCACACACTGATGTGACAGGTAATAGTTTATCTAATTACCTCTTGAAGGATGAAGTCATGGCCTGCGTGATAACATTTTTGAAGTCGAAGTCTTATATGTGTTTTGTAGATATAGGTGAACCTCAAATTTATATGTTCATTGAATTACAAATTTCTATAGGGTTTTATGCAAACATGATCAAAACCATGAAATAAAATATCCATGAAAATTCAAGTTTTTATCAATTGACAAAAACTGGTATCCACAAAAATAAATGAATCCACAAGTATGGCATGAAAATTGATAAAGCTAAAGTTGATTTTGTTTAAAGTCAGTTTTTTATGTGTTTTGTCATCAAGAATTATTCTCTGTTTTTGTTTAAGGAGTGAGAGTTTTATTAGACCCACCATCAGTGGATGGAGTCCATGTAACCATTCCTGATTCTGATGGTTTGAATATTTATCCAACTGGTGCCAGGAATACTACTCTTGATTCTTCAATAGGAATGACCTTCACAGTGGGAACAGATCAGTCTATTTATAGATATGGTAAGTCATTTCAGAAAATTTTATGATTCTTTGTTGAACTTTTATAGGTCATTTAGTTACCTATTTATATTTATTTAGCTTTCCAAACACAGGCGAGAGGTTTCCATGTGATATGGTTCTGCTTCCTTCACTGAAATAACTCCATAGTAATTTGTATTATTTGCTCAAACCAATGTTTTACTCTCATGATTGTTGAACAATTTAGTTTTATTTTTATATAGACTGGTGCTTGGGATCAGATGAACTCAAAGATGATATTTTTCCATGCACATGGATTGGCCATAATGCATCTGGGACCATCAAAATACAAAATGGCTGGTTGACATTAAATACGGAAGATGTCAGAAGACTGTCAGAGTTTAATCCTGTACAAGATAGTTCTCTGTCAGAAACAGAAAGACTAAGTGATGATAACAATGTTTTTAAAATGGAGCCAGGAAGAACAATCTTTATGTTGCTGCAAGTGTGTAATGAGGCAGTGCTATGTACACCACTGCAAATAGCAACAGTCCTTATAGTGAATGACAAATCTGAATTATATGTATTTGATCCTCTGGATTCACATACTATTAAAGTTACTATCGAAACTGATACTGATCGTAGAAGGAGAAAGAGACATGCAATACATACTGAAATTGAAATTGAAACTCCTAATGGTAAGTTTTAGTATAGGTCCTTGAATTTACTTCCACCATCTTGTATTTAAGAAAATTTCCTCACTTAATCTAAGACCTTAAATATACAGTAGCATATACCTTGGCTTAAATATGTTTTAATTTTTAGCTCACCTGGCCCGAAGGGCCAAGTGAGCTTTTCTTATCACTTGGTGTCCGTCGTCGTTAGCTTTTTACAAAAATCTTCTCATCTGAAACCACTGGGCCAAATTTAACCAAACTTGGCCACAATCATCATTAGGGTATTTAGTTTTTAAAATGTGTCCGATGACCCCGCCAACCAACCAAGATGGCCGCCATGGCTAAAAATAGAATGTAGGGGTAAAATGTAGATTTTGGCTTATATTTCTGAAACCAAAGCATTTAGAGTAAATCTGACAAGGTAAAACTGATTATCAGGTCAAGATCTATCTGCCCTGAAATTTTCAGACAAATCTGACAACCTGTTGTTGGGTTGCTGCCCCTGAACTGGTAATTTTAAGGAAATTTTGCATTTTTTGGTTATTATCTTGAATATTATTATAGATAGAGATAAACTGTAAACAGCAATAATGTTCAGCAAAGTAAGATCTACAAATAAGTTGTCAATGACCAAAATTGTCAGTCGACCCCTTTAGGAGTTATTGCCCTTAATAGTCAATTTTTAACAATTTTTTGTAAATTTTTGTAATCTTTTACAAAAATCTTCTTCTCTGAAACTACTGAGACAAATTTAACCATACTTGGCTATAATCATTATTAGGGTATCTAGTTTCAAAAATTTGTCCAATGACCCCGCCTTCCAACCATCATGGCCGACTTGGTTAAAAATAGAACATAGGGGTAAAATGCAGTTTTTGGTTTATATCTCTGAAACTAAAGCATTTAGAGCAAATCTGACAGGTGGCAAAAACAATTCATCAGATTTAGATTTAGACGAATCCGACAACTCGTTGTTGGGTTGCTGCCCCTGAGTTAGTAATTTTACAAAAATTTTGCAGTTTTTTGTTATTATCTTAGATATCATTATAATATCTAATATCCAATACTATTAATTATGATTTTAACCTTATTTTACATGATTTCCAAAGCATCAGTAAATACAGGTGAGCGACACAGGCTCTTGAGAGCCTCTAGTTGTTTTAATGAGAGATGCTATAATTTATTCTTTTTTGTGGAGAAATATTTGTGAATTTTTGTTCTAAATCATTCTTTTGGTGTAACTATTGTATTCTCTAATTTTATAAGAGTAAAATGATATGATATAGTAATACTGATTAGCACTTTCTGTCATACAATTACACAAGTTTGCTTTTTTGTTTTCATGCCCCGGTTGCTAGGCGAAGGGGGCATTAAGTGTTACCCTTGACTGTCCTTCTGTCAGTCTCATTTTCGTTTCTGCACTCTAACTTAAGTTTTCCTAATCCAAATTGTATGAAACTCATACACAATGCTAGGAACAAAAACTTGCAGACAGAGTTTGAATTTGGGCGGGAGTTATCATGTTCTCAGACACATTCCTCCTATATTTTTATTTGTCTCGCTAGAAGTATTTTAAAAAGCAAGACTTAGGTATGCTGTTTCATGCAGTGACAGCGTCAACAATGTATTAGTAGTGATTAGGTCAGTTTATGGGGAACTGCTAATGGTAAGTCAATGATATTTGGGATGCAGTTGAATTTGCATTGGCATATCTCATCTCCATGTTGAGAGATTATTTGGCCCCTCCCTTTCAATCATCGTCTATTGCTTTTGCTTAGTTTACATTTAGGTCAGTTTATGGTGAATCACTAGTGGTAGGTCAATGATATTTGGTAAGCAGATGTATTAGCATTGGCACATCTCATTTCCATGGTCTGTTGACTTTGAAATTTTGCTTAGTCTACGTGTTAAAGTTTGTGATTAGGTCAGTTTAGGGGAAACCACTAGTGGTAGGTTAATGATATATGGTATGCAGAAGTATTGGCATTGGCACAGGTTATAAGGCCCAACCTCCTCATCAGGGTTCTTTGAATTTGAAATTTTTGCAAAGTTTGCATGTTAAAGTTTGTGTTTAGGTTAGTTTATGATAAGTCAATAGTATTTGGTATTCAGTTTTATAGGCATTGGCATTTATCCTTTCTGTGGAGATTACTTGGCTCTGCGCCTACAGTCATGATTCATTGACTTTGAATATTTTGTATAGTTTACATATAAAAATAACAAGATGTGTTGTAACTCTCCACAAGAGACCAAATGACACAGAAATTAACAACTATAGGTCACTGTATGTTTAGATATTGCCATTCTAATTTCAACATTTTGCATTATACTATCGAAATTACATAAAGGCAAGACATATCTCTGTGTCAACAGTTTATTTTTATCTATAATGTTGATACCAGTGCATGTAGAGCGATGACCCTTTTAGTTTTATGTCTCGCCTTGAAGGAGTCAAAAAGCGAGACTGAGGTATGTTGTTTCGGGTAGCGGTAATGTATTAGTTTGTGATTAAGTCAGTTTAAAGGGAAACCACTAGTGGAAGCTCAATGAAATTTTGTACCAGTATGTAGATGCATATGATTAGCATTGGCACAACTCATTTTCCATGGAGATTGTTTGGCTCCATCCCCTCAGTCATGGTCTATTGACCCTGAATGTTTTGCATAGTTTACATGTTAAAGTTTGTGATTAGATCAGTTTAAGAGGAACCACTAATGTTAAGTCAATGATATGCAGTTGTATCAGCATTTTCAAGTCTCTTTTCCATGGAGATTATATGGCCCCATCCCCTCATCATTGTTCATTAACTGAAACTTTTCAATTGTGTTGAAGTTAAATTTGTGTTTAGTTTAATGTAAAGTGAACCACTTATGATAAGTTAATGGTATTTGGTATGCAGTTTTGTAAGCATTGGAATTTTTCATTTCTATGGTTATTTGGTCATGGTTCATTGACTTTGAATTTTTTGCATAGTTTACATGTTGAAATATTCCCATTTGGATTCAATGTTTGCATAATACTATCAAAATTACAAAAAAGTGAGACATATCTCTGTGTCAACAGTTTGATTTTTTAGCTCACCTTGCTCTGTGATTACCATCATTTGGTGTCAGAGTTCTCTTTTTCAAAAATTTTCTCCTCTAAAAAAACTCGACCAATTTTACCAAACTTGGGCTGAAATGTTCCTTAGTGCAACAAGATTACATCACTGAAATTGTAAATCAACTCCTTAGAGAGGTTGTTGCCCTGAAGTGATGATTCTTGTACCATGTTTGCTGGTTATCATCTTCAAAATACAACCTATGTCTGACCAATGTGTATACTTTGAATGTCAGTTTTGGTCTCTCCTGTGACAAAAGTCACAGAATGCGAAACATAGGGACTACTATGCAGAGGCAGCATAAACTTTGTATAAAGCTTTATATTTCAGAAGTTAGAAGACCCTGATGGTTGATACCTTATATGAAGATGTGTTATGTTACGAGTTACCAGCCTGTTGTATGTCCATTGTCCTCATTTCATGGTTCAGCGACTGCTTGAAATATTTTTAGGTTATTTTTGTCATGTACTTGCTTATTTTGAGTAATATTTGGTATTGGGATCTTTGCAAGGTCTTAATCTCCGTGGAATACAAGGTTGACCTGACCTCTACCTCATTTTGTGGATCAAAGTTAAGTTTTTTCGAGGTCAAGTTTGTATTTCAGATACTATAACAAATAGGTCAACTATATTTGGTGATGGAATGATTGTAAGGTGTACATGTCTTACTGGCAAGTTTTTATCTAACCTTGACCTCATGTTCATGGTTCATTGGTCAATGTTAAGTTTTTGTGGTTTTATCTGTTCCTCAGATACTAAAAGTTATAGATCAGCTGTATTTGGTGTATATAATGATTGTATGATGTACATGCCTGTCTTGCAGGCTCATGCATGTATTTCTACAGAGCCATTTTATTTGCTTTTGATTGAATACCTTTAAAATATCCCATTTCATTTTTGCAACAATTTCAATAAACACAATAAGAACACATCATGCGCTCTTGCTGCAGCTGTTCATTATATCTTTTGTCATTGTAAGTTTTACCATATTTTTCTAGTCACTACCCTAATTTATCTGCCATTGACTAATGATAAACAACAGTCCCTGGATGCTGTTGAAATAAGAAATACAAAATGCAATGCACTGGGTATACATGCTAAAGATTTTGAAAGCTGGTGATGTCTGGAAGACTAGAAATGTTAATGTATATAAGTATTTATTTTCTGCAGTACTTTTTACTGGACAAAGTTTGTTATTACAACCAATGGACAACACAACACTAACAGCTAACTATTTGTCATCTGCCTCGGACAGTTTTCTACCATACATCGTCAACCCATACAACACTACAGATAAACTGGAAAGGCTTCTACATGGAAGGTCAGTGTATACAGTTATTAAGGATTTTGTTTCAATTATTCTGGGTAATATTTTCAAATAATTTAATTTTGGATGTAACACGTCTTCTGATTGGCTGAAAGTGTTTTGTCTATCAGCTCATAGACATAATTTGGTCATGTGACCCTGACGTCACCAACGTTTTTTTTCAAAATTTACTCCTTAAAGGGGCACTAGCTGTCAAATTCATGTTCACCGATTTGACTCATATTTGATTTATAACAATGTTTAACATTTATCCAAACTATTAAAAGTCTAAAATAAACAGTTAACAGGACATAGGCATGATAACACATAGCTTCGTTTCATGTGATTTTTCTAGGTCTGTTTAATTTCATATTATAGATTAAAAATATATGTTTATCATCGTTTTTACCTGTATAAGAATGATTTTTTGTGGATCGAATCAGTCAATCAAATGATTTACCTTTGTTTCACTTTCAATGTTGACATTCTTTTCCTATCAATAACTTTACACATACAAATCACGTGTTATCCATCTCTAGCTAAGGGGTTAAATTGAAGTTCACATGAATACGGATTCAATGAGGTTGAATTATTCACTTGCAAGTGAATAATTCATCATCAATGTTTCTTAGCTTATTTTGACAAAATTGAACCATACTGGTGGCTAAAAGCGAATAATTATTTCACTATTTCACTTTCATTAATGATTGAACAAAAAATATTCATATATTAGATTTTTTATATATCTCGTAGCTAGTGGCCCTTTAAAAATGGAATTTAGAATTAAATTATAAGGAATGACTGTAATATTTTTTCTGTCTATTTGAAATAACCTAAAAAATGTGGTGCACACTTTTAAATAACCCGCTACACTGGTTATGCAGTGTGCACCACATTTTTTATGTTATTTCTTCATAGACAGATAAAATATTAGTCATTTCTTAAATGTGTTTCAATAAAATGCTTCAACTAGCTGTTTTCAAATAGTTAAGAAAATGAGGGGGAACTTTGCTAAAATTTAAAAACTAAGTGTTTGTTAAAAAAAATTACAAATTATGAGAACCATATTTTTGTACTAGGATTTCAACGAAATTTTATACATAAATATAACAAATTGATTAAAGGTGCCAAAAATTAAAAAAAAATATTGGTATGCACTTACTTTTTGTTAAAAAATCTGAAATTTTGAGAAACATCTTTTTATGCTGGGATTTCAATCAAATTTGATAGATGGGTATTATATTCTGTTTCCAATTAATTCTCGAAAAATAAAGATTATTATTTTTTATAAAAGAATCTCACATTTTTATGCCCCACCTACGATAGTAGAGGTGCATTATGTTTTTCCGTCTGTGAGTCAGTCCGTCCGTCTGTCCAGCTTCAGGTTAAAGTTTTTGGTCAAGGTATTTTTTGATGAAGTTGAAGTCCAATCAACTTGACACTTAGTTAACATGTTCCCTATGACAGATCTTTCTAATTTTAATGCCAAATTAGAGTTTTGACCCCAATTTCACGGTCCACTGAACATAGAAAATGATAGTGCGAGTGGGGCGTCCGTGTACTATGGACACATTCTTGTTAAAAATATATTTTTGTTATGTTTTAATGAAAATTGTTATTTAGGTATAATATGCTAGATAATATACTATCCATGTGAGAAATATCTGCTTCTGCTCAGATTTCAATGAGAATAAATATGGGTATAGTTTCCTATTCCAACTTGATGCTGAATTGTATAACCATGATAACAGTAATATTACAATTTTAGTGTATTAAATGGAAAGGGATGTTTTAATTTAACTGCTCAGGTTTTTAATGTTTTATATTATAACAGTCAAAGATGTTAATTTTTTTCCATTCTCAATTTTATTAAAGGAAACAACTAATTGATATCTCAGTATTTTATTTATGAAAACTTAGGTTCAGGAAAAGCAATAAATTTTAACATTTTAGGGTCTCCAAACTATAGATGGTGTGTCAAATGCCAGATATATTTATATATTCTACAAATTTAACAATATGCTAAAATCTCTTTTAATGTTGATGGACAAAACCTTTAACACCAGTAGAAGGGATTTCTTTCCAAGTCTACACTAAACACAATATATCTTCTTACACTCTGATATTGACTACTGTACTTCAAAATTGTAAGTTAAAAAGTCTCTTTTATTGCCTTTTACAGATGGAATAAAAGTGAATTCGTTTTTGGTCTCTCATCAGTTGGACATATTCCTTACTCAGGACCCATTACTATGAAGTATGATGACACAGAAGATGGTAAAAACAGCGGAATGAAAATAATCATCACACATTGGAATCCAAGTATGCAGAATACATTTAAATTAAAATTAAGGTTCCTTTTATGGGGTAATTTGTTGTGGCCAAATTTATACTCTATAATTAATAATTACTGAATATTTTTGTCCCCCGCATGACATGGAAATACAGGGTGTCCGTCCGTCTGTCCGGTCTTGTTAGTGCTCTCACAGGTACAATTCTTGCCAGATTTTTATGAAACTTATACTATAGGTTAATATCAGCAATATCTCGGACAAGTTTTATAATGGTGGCAGATCGACTTTTTTTGAAAGAGTTATGCCCCTTGGAAATAATAAATATTAAATTTATGGAAAATTGCCTGGTTAGGTCTCTCTCAGTTACAATTCTTGCCAGATATTTATAAAACTTATACTATAGGTTAATATCAGCAATATCTCGGACAAGTTCTATAATGGTGGACAATCGACTTTTTTTGAAAGAGTTATGCCCTTGGAAATAATAAATATTAAATTTATGGAAAATGGCCTGGTTAGTGCTCTCTTGGTTACAATTCTTGCCAGATTTTTATAAAACTTATACTATAGGTTAATATCAGCAATATCTCAGACAAGTTCTATAATGGTGGCAGATTGACTTTTTTTGAAAGAGTTATGCCCCTTGGAAATAATAAATATTAAATTTATGGAAAATTGCCTGGTTAGCTCTCTCTCAGTTACAATTCTTGCCAGATTTTTATAAAACTTATACTATAGGTTAATATCAGCAATATCTCGGACAAGTTCTATAATGGTGGACAATCGACGTTTTTTAAAAGAGTTATGCCCTTGGAAATATTAAATATGTGCAACACTGGGGACATTGGAACTCAGTTCTTTTATTTGATGGAAGAGCATGTTATTCAAATTATGAAAAATCCCTTTAAAGTTAGTATTTGAAGCTACTTTTCAAAGACGGAGTAAGATCAAAGCCTGATCAACTCTCATCAGGAAAATGGGTTCAGTAAGAATTTTTGTTTCCTCTTAGATCTCTGTGTTTGTCAATATGAATAATGACCTATGTGTTGATTCATTTCATAGCAGTTTATTGTCTCGCCTGTGACGAAAGTTGCAGAAGGCGAGACATAGGTATTGCTTTTCCTGCAACGAAGATGTAATTGTCATTGGTGTCAACAATTGTAAAGTTTTCTGCTTAAGTTAGTTTGATAGTTTTGAGGCCCTGCCCCCTAGGTCATGGTCCAGTGACGTTGAATTATTTATCAATTTTCAATGTTAAGTTTTCTGCTTAAGTCAGTTTAATAGGAACTACTTGTGATGGATCAATGATACTTTCTATAAAGTTGCATTACTATCAGTACTTATCAGTTTGACAACTTTTTCAAGGCTCTTTCCCCTAAGTCATGGTCAAGTGATTTGAATGTTTTAGCATTTTAAATCAGTTTGATAGGAACTACTTGTGATAGATCAATGATGTATTCTATTAAGTTGCATTACTATCAGTACATATCAGTTTGATGACTATTTGGAGTCTCCTCCTGTTGAAGAGAAAAAAAATCCTGTGTACAAAAAATTTCATGAATGAAAATTTTTACTACACTGTTTACAACTATTTATTATTTATTGATTGGAAGATTTTGATGCTGAAAAAACATTTAATAAACTTTCAACTCAACAAAGAAATGCTCACTTTTTCACACTCCAATGTGGACATTAAAGGACCTTCAGCATGCTCAAGAATATTTGTCAATGTTATATAGACAGTGCTTTAGCTTATATATTTTAAAGTGTTAAAACAATGACAGTCTGAAGTTTTTTAGCAAAACAACTTTATTAATGCTTAAAAACCATGCATAACTACAGTCGACTCTCATTATCTCGATGTCAGCTGGACCAGAGAAATATTTTCGAGATACCTGTAGTCGACTCAAACGAAAACCGGAAGTTTGACAGACCAAGGGACACAACTCTTGCTTAGCTTGTAAGGCTAAAATACATCTGGATGAAGATGAGTAGGGGATCAATATTCTTGTCTCAGATTGATGTATTTGTATGTTATGGATTTTGTCTCTTATTTATTTCTTTGTACAGTTTGATCTTAGTGTTATTTAAAGTTGACAAAATTGATCATTCTCGTATGCAAGAAATTTCAAGTCAACCAAGTTCAAGACAACAGGAGTTAACTGTATTAATTTGTTATTGCTTGCTAATCTTTGATCTATTCATCATGTTATAAATGTACACCATATTTCTTTCTTATATATCTAAGCCAATGACATTGAGTAAAAAATAAAAAAGATAGAGTCATGACTAAAACACTATGCTTTGATTTTCTCTTTGTGCTCAAAGTAAAGGTTAAATCATAGTACTTTGGCTACGAGCTGTCAATAATCAACAATCAAAAACAAAACCTGAAACAGAATCTTTTCAATAGTTCTTTCAACTGATATCATTCAAATGGACAGGCTACAAGACTACTATAAACACATTGATGTATTACATTCAGATGAAAGATTGAAGAAAAAAACAAACTAAAAAGACAATTTTTACATCAAACAGTTACATTTACGGTATACTACTGTTGCCTTTATTGACGACAAAAAATAATGTTGATAAAAACATCCTGATCTGAGGTCTAAACTCCTGACCAAATTTCTTAATCTCCTGATCTGAGTTTCACTGTACATCACATGTATCCAAAAGATAACTATATTTTCTAAAAAGTTACATTACTGTCTGTACATATCAGTTTGTCATCCAGCGACTTTGAATTAATTAGCACTTTTGTTGTCCATCAGATTATCTTTTTTATCTCACCTGGTCCAAAAGGGCCAAGTGAGCTTTTTCTCATCACTTGTCGTCCGTTGTCCATCGTTGTCCATCATCTCCATCGTAGTCGTATGTTAACTTTTACAAAAATCTTCTCCTCTGAAACTACTGGGCCAAATAAAACAAAACTTGGCCTAAATCATCCTTAGGGTATCTAGTTTAATAGATGTGTCCAATGACCCCACTCATCAACCAAGATGGCCGCCATGGCTAAAAATAGAACATGGGGGTAAAATGCAGTTTTTGGCTTATATCTCTAAAACTAAAGCATTTAGAGCAAATCTGACTTGGGTGGAAATGTTCATTAGGTCAAGATCTATCTGCAATTAAATTTTCAGACGCATCAGACAACCCGTTGTTGGGTTGCTGCCCCTGAATTGGTAATTTTAAGGAAATTTTGCAGTTTTTGATTATTATCTTGAATATTATAATAGATAGAGATAAACTGTAAACAGCAAAAATGTTCAGCAAAGTAAGCTCTACAAATAAGTCAACATGATTAAAATGTCAATTGACCCCTTCAGGACTTATTGTCCTTTAAAGTAAATTTTTCACAATTATCGTAAATTTTTGTTATCTTTTACAAAAATCTTCTCCACTTTATCTACTGGGCCAAATAGAATTAAACTAAGCCACAATTTTGAATAGGGTATCTTGATCGAAAAATGTATCTGATGACCCTGTCATCCAACCAACATGCCCGCCATGGCTAAAAATAGAACATAGGGGTTTTCTATAGAAGTCTATGGGAAAATTGTAAAAAAACAATTTCATTTTCAAATGGTCACAACTTGAAAACTAATTTAAATAATGATAAGGGGCCTATAGTAACTATTGTAAGACTACAATGGGATGACCTGCTTTAAATTTAACTTCCGGGCCGAATTAAACCATACTTGGCCTCAATCATTATTAGGGTATCTAATACTATTTATCATGTTATTATGATTTTAATCTTATTTTACATGATTTCCAAAACCACAGTAGATACAGGTGAGTGACACAGGCTCTTGAGAGCCTCTAGTTTGAATTTTATGCTGGTCGACAGGCGAGACATATCTCTGTGTCAACAGCTTATTTACAAAAAAAAAAGACTGATTGTTGTCATTTTAAATATGCATGACCTATTTGCCACTGGACATGACACATCAATTCATCAATAAAATGTTTTCAACATTTAAAGTGTACCATGTACATTTATACATATTTTGAACAGGAAATCAACAATGGGAGATAACTAGCAGATCTTGTTTAGGAGTAGATGGTGTAACAGATCTAGAAGTACAGAACCCTACTCATTCCAGTACATATACAATTAAGGTATTTTGATTAGTGTAGATATGAAGAATTGGAGATGTACATGTACAACAATCCAACAACACAATTTTAATAAAATAAACATCTAGAGGTCACATTAAGGCATTAAGATAATCTTTTAATTATCCTGAGTTTTATATATTTTCAAAAATACACTTATTATACAGTATTCTTGCAACGTTCTTACATTCATAAATTGTTGCCCCTTCAACTAAGGAAGATATAAGGCTTTAGAAGTTTTTCTTCTTTTTGTTTTGAAATAACCTTGCCAGAGGCGGATTTAGGGGGGGCAGGGGGCCCGGGCCCCCCTTTTGTGGGAAAAATTTGGTTGATTATATAGGGAATCACTGACGCATGACTGGAGCGGGCCCCCTCTTATTAAAATTTCTGGATCCGCCACTGCTTGCAAGGCCAAAACTTGTATATACCTTGATGAAGTGAAGTTTTTTAAAATATATTCCAAATGACAAAAATTTTGCAGGATATTGAACATGAAAAGATTAAGTTTTAGATTATGCTAATCTACCATGAAATTGTTGTCACATCAATTTAAAATCTTGCTAAAAACCAAAATTCTCTCAGACATAGTTTGAATTTGGGCAGTGAGTCACTTACCCTTTTAGAGTTATCCTCCTTTTTGTCCCCCATGCAAAGCACTGAGGGGAACATAGAAATACTGGGCGTCTGTCAGTCCGTCCATGCCTCTGTCTGTCCAGTCTTGAAAGCACTCTCGCGTGTACAATTGTTGCAAGATTTTTATAAAACTTATATCATAGGTTTATTGTCTCAGACAAGTTCGAAAATGAGTGTCGATCAACATTTGTTAAAATAGTTATACCCCTTGGAAATATTTATTATATGGGAAATTGCAATGTTAGTGCTCTCATGTGTACAATTCTTGCAAGATTTTTATGAAACTTATATCATAGGTTTATATCAGCAATGTCTTCGACAAGTTCGAAAAATTGCAAAGTTTGAGCGGGCCATTTTTGTCCTCAGACACATTCTTCTCTTATTTTTGTTAATGTTTATATCTCCATCCCATGAATATATATATTCTGAATTGCCATTCTGATAAGACCTTTTAAGTGCTTCATAGATTTTATTTTTCATTTAATTTTAATTTTTAATTTGATCATAACGGTATGTCACAAACACACACATAAACATTGAAATAAATTCCAAGTATCATGCAAAGGGACATCACAGGAAACGTTTTAAACCTTACACACATTTGAGCACATTGGCTTCTTTGCACGATTCTGAACTCCTCGAGGTGTGGTCATTGCAGTTCTGAGTCTGATTGATATTCCATTATGTCAAAGAAATAATGGTAAAGGCAAGCACAGTACATGTAAAAAAAATGACCAGGGGGTTTTAGAGGGGGCAAAAAGAATTATGTTTATATTCAATCTAATTAAAATTACATCTCCGGACATATAAACAACGAGGAGCAAGTGCGGAGATTTAATTTTATAAGATTGGTTTATATTAATGAAGTATTTAGTTTAATATAGTATTAATAAAAAAAGAAGCACAGCTGCAATCCCAACACCACATTAGCATGTAACGATAATTATTGACCTGTATCTCATAGCGCTGCATACATCTGATAGTTTGTTTCTATTTTTAAATATTGATAATATATCTAAACTAAATACCCCAATAACATCCATACAAATAAAATTGATGTCAAAAGTTAAACTATGAAATTACAGTAGTGTCTTAATATTGTTATTTAATTTGTTGTCATTTTAGGTGTGTAATACATTGGTGTTTTGAAAATAATTTTTGTGTAATTCAGGTGTGTAATACTTGGTCCTCGTCAGAAGGACAGATCAGTGATTACTTTATGTATGAGACGCTATTCTCCAGGACATTGGTTTTAATTGACTTGGTCAATACACCACCAGAACTTGATGGACCTACAAATATTACATTTTCTGAAGATGAAGGTAAAAGTTTGAATTTATTTAGTCAGACTAAATATTAACCTACAAATATAAGGGTATTAACTGTTTGCACCAGAAATGTGTCCCTTTGAGCAAGCTTATTCTACCCTTTTGTCCCTACTTTTTAATCTATTCTAATCCAAATTTTGTTTAGAAATATCTATGTTTGTTTGAGCAAAGATTTTTCTGAACTGATGCAATCCAATCATTCAGAGAACACTACATTATTAAATTTCGCCTATAAGTTACGGTACTGTTCACTCCATTTTTAATTCAATTGAATATAGGATTTATTTCTGTTCAATGGGATAATTGCTCACCTTTTATTAACTTTTTTCAACCAAAAAACCCCAATTTATTTGCTCAATTTTTATTAACTTTTTCAACCAAAAAAGTCCAATTTATTCCATGAATTATTGTTTTTAAGGAACCATAATTTATTATGGACTGATTAAGGACTTTGAATTGATACCTCTGAAAAATAATACTTGGTGCAATTGGACTCAGCTAAATATGACTTTTTTGTGTATCTTCTCCAGTCTTAGTTATCATACTGTACATTGCTACTCTCCATATTTTACACAGATATTTTATATTTCAAACAGGTACCTTGCAGTATCCTCTGAAGGTTACAGATCAGGAAGGAGACCAAGTTCTGTTTTATCTGGATCCATCTGCAACGTATGATATGGGGACTCCAACCTTATCTGTGGAAGGAATGTATGTATTTTTGTTAAATGAAATAAAAATATGTATTACAGAAATTATTAATATTTATCATATACTTAAAGAAAATAATGGTATAATTGTACCCCTTGATAAAACTGTAAATTATTATAAAATCTGAAGAACTGTCTTAGCTGTGTCAAGGTGTGATATGACTTTCATTATCAACTGCTTCTGGTTTATATCAACTGTTTTCTGTTTATATTGCATGCTTAATCGGTATTTGCCGTATCAGTATTTCCGTAATCGATTTGCTACTTACACTGCATAAACAAAAAACATGGCAGACAACAGCAGGGACAAAACCACCAATTACATTAATTCCCTAAAATTGTCAACACAAATAGAAAAACACTCAGTGATAATAATATTTTGACCAAATGGATGAGGGGTAATGATGATATAAGAAGTTTGGAGGATATTCCTGTTATGGAATTGGACAAAACTATAGCAAGTTTTTTTTTTAATGAAAATCAGGAAAGATGACGGCAGTCCTTACGAGCCTAGTACAGTCAAATTTGTTGTTATAAATTTGTTTCATGTTAAACTTGTTTGAAATAAATGTTCAACCACGACTGTATCCATATATTGATACAATGACATAATAATCACATTTCGTCCTTTTTCATATCAAACACATTATCAGAATTTTAACTGGGACATTCAAAACAACAATATTGAAGTACAAATGTATATGATAAAAAGATATTAACATATCATTTTTCATATCAGACCCCTTATCAGCCCATGGTCAATGTCAGCTCTCGGGCTGATAAGGGGTCTGATATGAAAAATGCCATGTTATAATCCCACAAGGGCAGCTTGGCACAATGTATAAATAATATTTCAAAATGCTGCTGTACAAGTTCAGACAATTTGATTCCAATATCCTTCTATTTTAAAAAGGACATGTTGCTAATGTTGTTTTTTTTTCCTTTCAACTGTTATATTCATTAATCATTATGTTTTTTGACAAAGGTTATCATTTTAGTTCATAAGATGATACCTGATTGTTTATTTCTATGACATGAATTGTGTAAAAAGTGTACAAAACAACACCAATATTAAAAAAAGGAAGTATCTATAAATATTTCGGAAAACAGATATCCTTCATCAGTATGATTATATCATTTATATATGAGTTTTATATATCTTGTTGAAGAGGCTTTCTAAGTAAATAAGTCTATGTCTGAAGATGGAATATATACTTGGCATTCTTTTGCCAAGCACATTTTTAAAGAATTTAATGTTAATGAAGAAGAATATGTTGCTTTTGATAAACCTTTTAAACTAATAATAAATTTACTTAAAAAACTATTAAACATATTGTTAAAGTAAAGTATGATAAAATCACTCTTGAAAAACTTCCAAATATAGATAACAGTTCAAAACTTTACCTTTACAGTAAACTTAAAAATAAAATTAAACTGGAAGACTACTTGCACAATCTAAAATTTTTTAATAATTATCAACTTTTATCAAAATTCCATATAAGTGACCATAACTTGGAAATTGAAATAGATTGATATAAGAAAATTCAAAGAGAACATAGAGTGTGTAAAGTTTGTAAAATTATAGATGATGAGAAACACGTTTTCCTTCATTGCCAAATTAGCAGCAATATTAGAAATCCCCTTACAAATGCAATTAAAACCCATTAATCTTATTTTAAACAGCTTGACTCAAACTCTAAACTTAAAACTATTTTAGATCCCAATAAAGATATTTTGTCTAGTGTTGTGGGCTAAATAAAGCAATCCATGAAGTTGCGAAAATTAGGTCCACATAGGTCAATTATCTCTATATATATATATTATTAATATTAACTGGATTTGTTCAGAACTTTTTTCATGTATTGTATGTTTCTTGTGTACATGTATATTATTTTTGCATTTTAACCCGTCAGGGTTTTACTTTTTGCAATAAAGTTTATTTATATATATCTTGTTCAAATATTTAAAGGCTGCACAATAAATTTTAATTCAGTTTCCAATAGAATGAAAAAACAAATTTAGTTTGAAATCGCAAGTATATCACTTGTATTAATGTTAAGTAACACCGTCAAGGCAGAGATTTTTCCTATGATTTGTCATAGTGGAAAGTTAGTAATGGTACTATCATTAAGTGAAAATAATTTAATTAATAAAATAATAAAATATTTTAATATTCAGAATATCAGGGATCACCACAACCTATTTTGGCGTGGCAGTGCGCCATGCTTAAATTTCTAGTGCCACGTTAAAATTCCTAGCGCCAAGCTTATTTTATTGTCCGCCACACTTGAAAATTCAATAGATTGAAGTTAAATTTCAGATATCCTTATATATATATATTCAATTATCATGTCAGTGTCAATTAAGAAATCTAATTAGCCTCAAGGAATGTAAACTGACAGCTGATTACATTATTTACATGGTCTCGTGTGGTTGAACAAGGTAACAACCAATGAACAATCATGACCCAGAGTCTTCAATTTGAAAAGTAAATATTGTTTGCAAACTACGGGTATCTTATAAATGCAAATGTTTGACTATATTAATTGGAATGTTTATATCCTAACTAGATTAATATAGGCAGTAATCCAGAAAACAAACAAGTTCCTTGACCACATGTTCCTTTTGTTGACAACAATGTCACATGATCTCTTTTGGCGGGAAAATACTGGGGAAAACCCAAATGACAGACAAACATTGTCTAGTTATTTATAGACAGTTAGATCAACAGCTGGGATCTGAAAACTTATTTAAATTATGAAAAGAGTGAAACTGGATATATATAGTTCCATTACATTATTGTATTGGAAAAGAGGGGAGTTAATTTAATAAAATTTTACATAACAAATATGATTTTATAAACTGCTAATTAGGCTTAATTCGGTTGAAATGACTCTGAAATTTTGTGACTAAATATTTGTTTATGATTAATTCCTTTACCTTTTTTACCAAGTGGTTTTCCATAAGAGAATTTCAATAAAATTTGTCAGAAAACTCCTTAAAATAAAATTATATGTTGCATACATTATCACATGAATAGCAATATAATATCTGGATCCCTCACTTTAATATTCCTGCAAGCTGGGAAGCCACATCAGGTATTTCTTCTCCCTGTTTAATATGTTCCTACAAGTGTTGACCACTTATAGGACCATCTACAAAATGTATGTGATGCCCCCCTTTCCAAATTAGCTGTATATGACAAATACATGCAAGCAATATAATTCATAATTAATGCACAAAGAATCGATTTGACAACGCAACACAAAATCTCTAATTTGTTGAACCTTCTTCCCCAATCTTGATTTTCATTCTGTAGTGAACCCTGGAATATTCTATCATACATACTATTTCAAACTTTTTTTTATAACATATGACATTTTCCATTTCATGCTTTTATTTCCAGCTTCTTCGTAAATCATTGTACAGAATTAGAGATTATCATGTGTGTTGTTATTTAGGTTGCTGTACACACTATGTAAATATTGTACAGGGTTAGAGATTATCATGTCTGTTGTTATTTCAGTATGCTGTACACACCATGTGAATATTGTAAAGGGTTAGAGATTATCGTGTCTGTTGTTATTTCAGGCTGCTGTACACACCATGTGAAGATTGTACAGGGGTAGAGAATATCATGTTTTGTTATTTCAGGCTGCTGTACACACCATGTGAAGATTGTACAGGGGTAGAGAATATCATGTTTTGTTATTTCAGGCTGCTGTACACACCATGTGAAGATTGTACAGGGTTAGAGATTATTCCTGTTGTTTTACTAGAAAATCAAACTGGGACAGATATTACACCACTAAATGCCACTGTATATCTTTGGATCAATGTTACAGCACTATTTGATCCACCAGTAATATTTCTTACTCAGTACGGAGAATCTTTGTTAGCTGCCGACCCAACAGAACCCATTATTGTAAGTTTTTTTTGGTAGTACACTGCATTTGTTTTTGAGTGGTGTAAGTGTGGAAATCTGTTCTCTCAATTTTAGATCAATCAAATGTTTTCAATGTCCAATTGCCTCAATTTAGAAAATTATGGATGTTCAACTTTTCCTTAATAAAAATTAAGTACATATACTAAAACCATGAATGAAACTTCCTCAGACAAAGTTGATTTTAACAAATTTGTGTGTTGTGTTGAAAGTCTTTTTGGTGTTTTTCCTGTCAAAGAGAGGTGAAAGATACGAAAGGGATATTCAAACTCATAAGTTGAAGAAACAAATTTTATATTTTTTTTGCTTTTCAAACCTTTCGTCTCAACCCTAATTAAGTTTATTCCAGGAATGTGTGTTGTGTGCACAGAAATCATAATATTGTAGTTGGCTAAATCGTAATTATCTCCCTTTCTTCAGCTATTATGTACAATAGGGTTTAATACTGGATCAAGGAAAATTGCTGTAAATTTACCAAACACATTTTTTTGGGGGAAAATGAAAGGATGTTTTTGTGAACTCCATGTGTAATAGACAGATGTCAGAATAAGCATCTTGATGGCAAGAAACCCTTTTTTACACAGATATACTTGGAAGAAAAGACACAAGTAAATGAAGATAACTGGTCCCCTGCTTGGATAGCAGTTCTAGGAGCCTATGATGTGGAGATTGAGGACACTCTGATGCTTATTACCCAGAATGCATCAAATGGTATTTTGAATATCACAGAGGAATCAAATACTGTTCCAAACATCACGACTTGTCCTCCCATAGGGAACAGAGAGGTATTGTTATAAGCTCATATACTGTCAAACTATAATTATTTGTGACATACTAATTTTCGTTTCCTCTAAGCACAAAATACATATTTTCCATTTAGTCCAAAAGTGTTTTTCTTAAAAAACAATGAATTTCAGAGTACACGAACCAACTCTGTTTTCACAAACCATGAAAATAATTACCATAAATTATATTGCCATAGTTCACATCTATGTGTTTGCAAGGATAAGGTATCTGTTTACTCTAAAAAAAACTCTGAAATAAAAATTGGCAGGTAACGGCTTGTCAACCTTGGTCAGCAACTTATCTAAAGGAAGGAAACTGTGACAGAAAATCCTTGGTCCTCCAAGTAGGGAGTTCGGCATAGGGCCAACAACTCTATCCTGTAAAAAAAATTTTAAGTTACGGAAACATCAACAAAGTAATTTGTTGCTACCCTACATGCCAATGTCATACTGGGCAGTAAGTAATGAAATTTCCACCTTATTGCATGCGAAAAAATGTCATTGTTACATAAATCACCTTATTGATTTTACTGATTAATTCTCTACAACTTAATTTTCAGCAAACAATATTTCCATGTGGCACTTTAGGCCTAAACAAGGAACCAGAAAAGGCAGCTTGGTTATACATGGAGATTTTCTATGACCAGTTGTACAATGAATCTGGTATAGATGAGATAAAGATTTACATCCAGGATGATAATAACATCACATCAGATGTAATCTTCTTACAGTTTGTTATACTCATGTCACCTTGTTACAGTAATGGAGATTGTCAACGTAAGTTTCGTCACTTAAAAATACAATATTGACATATAAGAGTTCTATTTTTTTTCACATGGATAACAAGTAATGATGTGTATGAGAGTAAGTTTCCTCACTAAAGTGAACATTTATGATATATGCGAGAAGTCTCCCCACTTTTTCAATAGCAAGCTCAATATTTTTCGTTGGATAAATGTCTCTTGTTCCCAAAGTCATAATTAGGAATCTAGTTTTACCCATCCTTGTGCTCCATTATATTTTTTATGAGTTCAGACAAGGGTATCTATTTATTTATTACATTGGTTGCAATGAATTACTGTGGTTTCCCATTGAAATGAAAACGGATAATTTCACATGTGAAATAAACTCAGTTATTTCACTCCTCTGAAGTCATACAACAATAGGTGTTGTCAAGACGATGTTGATGACGTCTCATCAAAACAAATTGTTAATGCGTAGAAAATGATATAGTTCCTTACATTTAATTTTATTAAAAAGCCCATTGTCAATTGTAATAAAAAGAATAAATAATCAAAGAATTAAAATATCGAAAAATATTCAACTGGTGAACGAACTACACTGATAATTAACTCATGCGCTACAAGCATTTGTGTGAATTCATGTGTTGTTCCGTCACTCGTTGAATATTTTTATTTATTTGAATTCTTCGATTAGTTATTCTATAATTTTCTGCCTGAAACATATAGGAAATTTTTCCCATGGCTCTGATTCATTATTTCCTTTAGTAGTTTAGTACTGTAAATTCTATACAAATTGCATTGTAAGAGCTCTCAAGTGTACAATACTTGCCAGATTTTATGAAATTTATCTCAAAAGTTTATATCAGCAATGTCTCAAAAATTCGAAAATCATTGCTGATCAACTTTTTAAAAGAGTTGTGCCCTTTTGAAATAATTATTGGGTGAGTTTGAAAGTCAGCGCTGATCTATCATTTTTTCGGGAGTTTTGTCTCTTTGAAATGTAATATATATATTGAACATTGCATTGTAAGCACCCTAACACCTACCTTTTTTTTTATGAATTTTGATGAAGTTTATATCAAGGCTGCAATCAACAACGTCTTGGAAGAGTGCAACAAACTTTTTACAGGAGTAATGCCCTTGGAAATAAAAATATATTGAAAATAACATTGTCAGTGATCTCAAGCTGACATTTCTTGAAAGATATTTATTAAAAAGCTGGAATTTTTTTTTTAGTTATTGCCCTTGGGCAAACAAAATATGTGCAAAGCAGGGGATATTGGAATCTGTTCTTTTTATTACATGATAGCATTTTTTCAGGATTATTTCAACATTTTATCACAGTATTCATGCAAGGACTTGTATAGTGTATACAAATTCTTGATTCATGCAATAAAACTTCAACATTGACAACTTTGTTTAAAAACAGACTAATTTTTCATTATTTATTTCAGCCAAGACTGGCAGTCCTTACCCTTGCCAAGATGTCCAACGAGCCACTAATTTCACACAGTACTACTACTGCCTGTGTGAGCCAGGTTGGGAAGGAGAATTCTGTGAGATCAATATTGACGAGTGTGCCACCAATCCCTGTGACAGTCCGTATGTCTGTACCGATGGCATCAATTCTTACACATGTGCATGTCATGTTAGTGATCCAGACTGTGACGCCCTGCCCCCATGGGTCTTTGCTTTGATAGCTATTGGGGCACTGATTTTAATCCTCATTATTCTTGGCCTGTTGTACAGATGGAAAGTCAAGAAAAGGTAGGACTTGATGAAAACATTATCGAAGATATATTGTTTACTTCTGTTACAATCCGTTTCAAAAAAACTTTGAAAATTAATTCTGTAAAAAAAATCCGCATACTTAAGTGTTGCCTCTTGTTTTCATAGTAAGAATGAGTTTCTTTAAGTTTGTTGTAAAATAATATCTTTGAGACTTCTTTCTAAAAAGCATCTTTGAGACATTTTGGCACACATTTTGTTTTTAATGATTAGCTATTCAGGGAAATTTTCTATTTACAGTGGCCATTTCAAGTGGGTTTTGAAGTACATCCTTTGCCAAGAGGAACCACAAAAGTATGATTATGAAGGTGAAGAAGATGCAAGGTCTATTTCTACTGTTACCTCCATCATGTCCCAGGAGTTTATTAACCTCAAATATGGTAAGATTATTTTCTTATATCTTAAATATGTCCCAGAAATTCATCAACCTCAAATATCCTTGAAGTTCTTAGTATTACCTCAATATGCGTGAGGAGTTTTATCAACCTCAAAAATGATTTTACATAATACTAAACCCTCTAATGTTTCAAAACTTTTTTCTAGAAGTTTAGTTGCCCCATAAAATGATATTACACTAGTTTTATTTCAATTCAGGTTTGTGTTATGAGTTAATAAGATTTTGATGTTTTTTTTAATCATGCCATAATACTACAAATTTCACATAGAAATAGTTATGATATTACTATTAATACAAAACAACTTTATTTTGGCACATCATATTAAAAATGACTAAGTATTGACTCTTTTAAGTATGTAACATCAGATTTGGTCAAATTTTCAATAATGAAAAAAAAAAGTTTTTACCATAATTTACTTTGGTCGCCACCGAGGATCCAGAAAGATTTTGTGTCTAGGGATTCATTATGATCATTGGCAACTATTGGTTACAGAACATTTTGGATTATAGGTTGCGGACAAGGCTTTCCTCGAGCTTTTAGGTCTGAAATATGCACAAAATCGTTGTATTTTGACAATATATCCAAAATGTGCTGATTTTGAAGCCAAAAATGTACTCTTATGAAAAGACTTCTTTTGACAAAGATGTAAATCTTTTGAAAATAAACTAATCATAGATACCAGGATTGAAATTTTGTATTTGCTCCAGACACACGTTTTGTCTATAAAAGACTCATCAGTGACGCTTAAATGAAAAAAAGTTAAAAATGCCAAATAAAGTACGAAGTTGAAGAGCATTGAGGACCAAAAATTCCTAAAAGTTTTGCCAAATACAGCTAAGGTAATCTATTCCTGAGGTAGTTTTGTAAACAGTTAATTTATAATAATGACCATATCAATGATAATTCATGTCAACACAGAAGTAATACATCCATTTAAGATCCAGATTATGGCCATTTTGAAATGTTTTCATTAAGTTGAAATTCAAGGCCATATTTTGCCTGAAGTGAACTTTGTCCTTTACAATGTTTTCTTAGCAACCCTAAAAAAGCTTGAAAGAATCAAATATTGAAGGTTAACATAAAGGAAAAGTTGTTATTACTTAACTGATTGCAAAAACATTGAAAGGAACAGCACTTTATTGCTTATTGGACTCAAATACAATAAAGGATCAACACTTTTCCTCTATTTTGTTTGGAAAGTTATGATGTTGTGATCCAAAATTTCCCCTTCACAGGATCAAGGAAAAACACTTGTATTGCCATACTGTGTATCATTACAATTGAACATGTTTTCTTGTTAAACAGAGGTTTATACAAAGTCCTCAGAAATGTTCCTGATTATTTTTAACTGTAATTTGTTCCATGTTTGACTAGAGTACTGATTCTGGATTGTAGATATACTAAAGGTCCATTCATTATTTGTTGTAATGTTGTAATTAATATAAAAATGTGTCTGTTGTTTATACTGTACATATTTCTCCTTTGGTCAGTGGATGTGTGTTTTGAAATAATGAAAAGTATGTAACGCCTGAGTAAACATCCAGAAAAACAGTTACCTCCTTGCAAAAATCTTTTGACCTGACATTAAAAACCTGTCTGAGTATAAGTCTAACTTGCCGAAATGTGTGCCCAATGAACAAAATCCTCAAAGTCACACATAATGAGTTCTTAAGACAATTAATTTAAGCAACATTTTAATTATCCTGATTTGCTTCAGAACTCTCCATTTGAAACTCATGATATGTAAAATTAAGCATTTAGTACTCATATCAACAAAAAAATCAACATAATTCAAAATCCTGCTCTATCCCATTATAAATAAACTTCTGTGTAAATACATGTATTGCGTAGCAGTGCCAGTTGTATCCAGGTTTGAATGAAACATAAATCATTAAAGAACTATAACTTTTATTATTTTATATTCATCACTTAATTTTGGCCCTTGGGAATCTACTCAACTGAAATTAAAATTTTTGCTCCATGCCTAAGCCGAGAGCCTATGTGCGTACTGAAAAGTAGCAAAGTAAAGACCCCTGGCTTGACATCACACCAGTCCAATTGGATCTATGGTTCCAAATAAATGTGTGAGGCTATCAGGAAGCATATGAGGCTATCAGGAAGCCTATAAGGCTATCAGAAAGCCTATGAGGCTATGTCTGAGGAAGCCTATGAGGCTATGAGGAAGCCTATAATGATGCTATGAGGAAGCCTAGTATGTGGCTATGAGGAAGCCAAGTAGTGTTGATGTTGAATTGGTGTTGGAATGAATTTGTATGAAATTTGACAGTTTATCCCCAGAAATTCTTGGGGGATGAGTGAAATTTTTGAAACAACCAGTGATAAAATTTCATAAATGTCCAAACATGATGGACTTGTTTCAGATGCTGAGGTTATTTATCTGATCCATGCCTAAACCAGCAGCCTATGTACATGTGCGTACTGAAAAGTAGCAAAGTATAGACCCCTGGCTTGACATCACACCAATCCAACATAGCTCCTAAAAGTACTTTTTGCACTACTGGTTGCTGAGATCTACTGATATGAACTGGTGTTGGAATGAAATTTTAAAGCACTTTTGTAACATATACATATACAGAAAAATCAATAAGAATCTTATATAAACTGTGCTGAGATTGATTCCCCTGTCATGGCAATATTGAAGGTGTAAGGTTGGGGTTGGTGGGAGGCAAGTTTTTAGTTAAGCCACTTTTTGAGCAAAAATTATTCTTTTAACTGCTTAATCTGCATTGAAAAAACTGGACACTAAAGACAGCATGTACTGGTTTTCAATATACAACTACTTAATGGGATATTCCTAAATGGGAGGAGCTAAACTATACCAAAGTTTATGTGCAAACAAACAAAGGATAAAGGAAAGCCAGATGCCACAAGTGGTCACTAATTAACAAAACATGTATATTTGTAATGGAACTGATGTAATTAAACCACCCTGCTAAGAAACACCTGATAAACTCACATGTAGCTGATTAAGATATGATAATAAATCTGCTTCTTCTCAATAGTAAAGAAAACAAAAAATCCTGGGAAAATCCTAAAATAATGACTACTGAGTGTAATGGAAATCAAACTATGTATAAACATAACTTATATAACATATAATTAACTATTTATACAAAGTCCTTAGAAATGTTCCTGATTATTTTTAACTGTAATTTGTTCCATGTTTGACTAGAGTACCGATTCTGGATCGTAGATATACTAAAGGTCCATTCATAATTTGTTGTAATGTTGTACTTAATATTAAAGTGTCTGTTGTTTATACTGTACATATTTCTCCTGTGGTCAGTGGATGTGTTTTTTGTAAAAATGAAAAGTATGTTACGCCTGAGTAAACATCCAGAAAAACAGTTACCTCCTTGCAAAAATCTTTTGACCTGACATTAAAAACCTGTCTGAGTATAAGTCTAACTTGCCGAAATGTGTGCCCAATGAACAAAATCCTCAAAGTCACACATAATGAGTTCTTAAGACAATTAATTTAAGCAACATTTTAATTATCCTGATTTGCTTCAGAACTCTCCATTTGAAACTCATGATATGTAAAATTAAGCATTTAGTACTCATATCAACAAAAAAATCAACATAATTCAAAATCCTGTTCTTTCCCATTATTAATAAACTTCTGTGTAAATACATGTATTGCGTAGCAGTGCCAGTTGTATCCAGGTTTGAATGAAACATAAATCATTAAAGAACTATAACTTTTATTATTTTATATTCATCACTTAATTTTGGCCCTTGGGAATCTACTCAGCTAAAATTAAAATTTTTGCTCCATGCCTAAGCCAAGAGCCTATGTGCGTACTGAAAAGTAGCAAAGTAAAGACCCCTGGCTTGACATCACACCAATCCAATTGGATCTATGGTTCCAAATAAATGCGTGAGGCTATCAGGAAGCATATGAGGCTATCAGGAAGCCTATGAGGCTATCAGAAAGCATATAAGGCTTGCCAATTTTGCTTTTAATTATATTTGTTATATATTTTTTTTCAATTACAGATCAAAATTTATCAGACTATGAAGATAGTGAGAGGGTGAGTAGCTTACTCTTAGTAAGTGGCAAGAATACTTATTGATAGAAAGAAAGTTGCAAAATATACATTGATTGAAAGAAAGTTGTAAAAATACACATTGATTGAAGGAAAGTTTTTTGTGGATATAAATTTTAACTCACCTGTCCTAAGGGGTCCATATGAGATATTGTGCATTGAGGTTTCAAAGAGATTTTATATCAATTTTGGTGCTCAAATGGTTACAAATGAGAAGTAATGTCATGTACAGTGTTTGATTACACGGTTTAGTGAATAAATTTATGCAAACCAGGTTAGACTGGATATTGGAAACCCCTTCTCAATTTTTTTCTTATAAACTTTCAATTTTTATTAATGCCCTGTCAGCTGCTGAAGTTACAGGTTCCTTTTTAAAATCTGACTAAAACAAAAGTCAATATTAGGCACAGATACATCCTGAAGCCTTGGAGCTTCTAATTCTGTGGTTATACAAGATTTTGCTGGTTTCGTGGACCATTGGTCAGACAGCAACCCAAAAATCAAAATTATTGGTTTTATCATATGTAACAGTAATATATTTATGGAAACTTTCTGCTTTCATGTTAAATTCACTATTTTTTATAGGATTTTGAGGGAATGTTTTCACCACCTCCACCATACAGGCCAATGAATGACATGGAAAGGATGAATTTTGTCAAGGTAAATGAATTAGTTATAATGTATTAAAGTATGTAGTGAACAACAAGAGATCTTGAACATTCAGAACAAACTAATGTAAGTTATTCTTAGCCAAACTATAGTAATTCTCAGACTACACCAAATAAAGATGGCTACATCTTCTATACATCATCACATCAATCAAGTTTGTTGATTAATTTCCATTTGTTTAATTCAAGAAAGTTTTGGAAAGTTTTGAACCTTCAATATCACATCAATATCACTTCAATATCACTTCAATATATCACTTAAATTTTCGAAAGTGAAACAATTTCTCATAAGGTAAGTCATACAAATACAAAATGTTGAAAATTAAACCTTTTGTAAATTTAACTTCCTTTTCTTGAGCTAGTCGTGAACAAAAGCTGTGTGAAAGTTTCCTGAAATATTGTATTATATGCTTAGAACACCCTTTGTTAAACAGTCAAGCTAGTTATCTCTTTTATTAAATTGTAATTTGACCAGTATATTGTTTACATTTCTCAATATTGAGTAATTACATCCATGCTTTAATTTTCAGGATATAAGAGTAGAGTTTGACACAGATCCATTTTCCAACAGAATGGAATGGGAACAGGTAAGTCAAAACATAAAAAAAAAATTAATTCTTATGTTTTAAATTTGCCACCTTTTTGTGTTTAGTGTAATTTGACCTTTTTTTAAGGTTATTACAGAAACACGTGTTGTACACTTGGTAATCATATATATAAACGTTTTTTAAGTGGTTATGGAGTTGAATAGCACCCTGCCTTTGTTTGAGTTCATTTTGTGACATACAAATTTGGATAAAGACTTACCTTAGGGAGTGCAACAGCCTCCCACAAAAAGTAGGTCACTTTCATCTACATTTTATGTTTCATTGTCATGCATTAGATTTTATTCAAGTTCTTTATTCAGCTACTTGGTAACATATAATTTTGCTTGGCAGACACATGTTGCTAGTTATCCTTGTATTTAGTTAAGTTTAACAACATGTAATTTATAAGTCGCTGGGACATGGGCCTTTTCTGCTTATGCGGCATACAGCAATCACTAATCAATCAATCAATCAATGTTATTTATAAGAATTGAAATAAATAATCATTTTTCATAATATGCATACCTCATATTATCAAAAATGTTTTTTTACAATTTTTATAAAAGAACATAACTGCCAAATTTTCAAAATCTCCATGGGGATTTTAAGTGCAAGAGGACATTATGCTCCTCTTATATTGTCATAAGTGTTCTTAATCTACTACTATATTGTTTGAATGAGTATATATATGCTTAAATGCCTTTATAACTCATTTGAATACCTGTTTTGTTGTGTTCTGTTTATATAATAAAGAATTTCAAAATTCAGGTCAACACCTCTCATGAGTGATAAATCGGGATAATTGGCAGATCTGAAAGAAGAGAAACAATCTAGTGTCATGTATTCAAATGAATAAGATCACATGGTTCAGTGTAATCTTATAATAAAATCCCTCCTTCGAACAGTAAGAAGGATGCAATTAGGGTATTAGTTAATCACATTAGAATGGTTTTTTTTATTTCAGTGCTTCCCACCAAAGTCAGAATGGGTAACTTACCAGCGACATCAAAAATCCGACTTTAACCCGTTGATCATGTCAGAAAATTCTAAATTTACAACTCCAACACCAGTACCTGATGAAGAATCAATTCCTCAGAAGGAAGGAGCAGAATATGTTTCACTTGATCGACATAAAAAGTCAACGTTTAACGCACTGATGGGAAAAAGTATGGAGGACATTGCAAGTGGTAGAACAACTCCTCCCACACAGATGTCACTCATGAAGTCGGATAAATCTCCATTACAAAATGGTGATGTTGTCGTACCTACTGTAAAGATTGCCCCTGCACCAGAAACTGTTGTGGAAGTCTTACCACAAACTGAAGGACCTAGATTTAATTTGCCTAAAATATTGAAGTTACCTGAACCAACTCCTATCCATATGACATGGAGGGCTCAGACTGAGATTCATGAAGACAGACCAAGTACATCTGGACTGTCATCATCAAGCGGTGGCCATGAAGACTCTGATGCTATGCCAAGTTCATCTGGAGAGCATTTCGACAAGATTCCTCCAAGACCAATGTCTAGAAACGTGGCAAGATGGGCGCCCTCTGCAGTCACACATAAATCACAGGCTTCAAAACACACTCAGGAAGACAGTACAGATGATGATGAATTTGCGGCGCTAGAATCTAGAACTGGAAGGCCAAAGTCCAGATATCGTATCCGTGAAGCTAAGCCTGATGAAAACAAATATAAAGGAAGTTATAGTAACTATCCAGATTCTCATGCACCTATGTTGTAAACTTTTTTCTAATTTCTGAAAGAAGAAAAATTTGTTGGTACTCTTTTTTGGATTTTTTTATTGAATTATTGTTTAATTGATTTTGTTTTACATTTTTATATTTTTATTATAGTTTTTTTTTTCATTTATTTATTTTTTTAAGCTTTTATGAAGTTTTGAATGTTTGTTTATGTTATTGTAGTTTGTTATAAATTGTGACTGAAATATGCCATAGTAAAAATCATAGATTAGCCTCCCTTCCCTCAAAAAATTATAAAACTTACTTTTCTGACTTGTTGTTATAAAAAAATTTGTAGGTTTAAATTTAAATCCAAAATGAGCCTTTTTAATTGTTTATTTGTGGACAACGGTACAAATAAATAACAATCTTAGAGGTCTTTTTTTTGTTCTTGCTTAATTGTAGTGAAGTGCTTGATTATACCAAATACCAAGTTAGTCCCAACAAGTCTGCATAAAACTTTTGCCATTTCTAACTAAACCAGTTTCTACCATTCGTTAACTAGTTCTTGACCATTCTCACCTTTAAATAGACTTGACATGTTCTTCATTCTTAAAATTCATTTGACTGGTAGCAAAATGTCAAGAAACAGCTCTAGAAAAGTTCTAGTCCCCATTTTATAAATTGATCATGTTTAAACAATTATTACCGGTAAGAGAAGATATTTGTATATTTTTAAGATGGTCAAATGGTGAAAATTTTATTGGAATAATAAAGAGTTGTATTTTCAGACTGTGATATTTTTATGCATGTGATATTAATCTGTTTTGTTTATAATGTTATTTTTATTTATGTGATATTAATCTGTTATGTTTATTGTTTTTGTTTACTAATAAATAATTTTATTGCCTGATTTACTCTCAATTTAAAGTTGATAGAAAGAGTACTACTGTGGATTCACTTATAATCCTGGGATACATGGATTCCATTGGATTCATGGATTCCATTGGATTCACTTATACTCCTGGGATACATGGATTCCATTGGATTCATGGATTCCATTGGATTCACTTGTACTCCTGGGATACATGGATTCCATTGGATTCACTTGTACTCCTGGGATACATGGATTCCATTGGATTGACTTGTACTCCTGGGATACATGGATTCCATTGGATTGACTTGTACTCCTGGGATACATGGATTGCATTGGATTCACTTGTATTCCTGTGATACATGGATTCACTTGTATTCCTGGGATACATGGATTTCATTGGTAAGGGGAAATTAAGAATTTGAAAATCAATGAAATGCAAACTTTTTGTAACATTGATAGTAGTAAATGATAAAACCCCTCAAAATAGCAAATATTTCCAACAATGGAAAATGAATCAATTCACAGTATGTTCTTTTCTTCATTTGTCATGACTGTGATGTGTAATGAAGTAAGTATACTGTAATCAGTCCAGATACAAACTTACTAGTCTAACCCATGACATCAACAAGTCCTCAAAACAGGCCATCGCAGCAATCACAGTCTACAAACAGACAAACTTTGGAGCAAATGGTATGAACTCAGAAATGTAGTGAGATCAGATACATAGACACAGTAAGCATGTATTATACATTTACAAAGTCAAAGACAGGAACTGGATGAAACTAGAAATAATATAGAGTGGTCTAGCAGGAAAATATGGCAAAGTTAAAATGTCTTGACCATAAAGAGAAACTGAGACTGTAATCAGATTAGGATGGCAACAATAGAACATGTGAAGTGATAGTTTTTAGTTACAGTAGAATGTTTTCTGTGAAACTCTTATCCAAGTGTTTCAAAACTAATATATGGTAATTAGAAATGTCATATTCTTGTGGGCAGAACATGCCTTTACTAAATTCTTCCATAGATATAAAGATTTGGTTTTGAAGTTTGGCTGTACCTGTAGAAAACTTATTTTAAACGGGATAGCACATCCTCATTTTTACGGAGCTGTTGTTTACCATGCCGGGAAATTTAGAAACAATTCTGGTAAACTTATCGGTCCTTTAAATAAACTTATTCTTAAAAGGTTACCTATTCAACACTGTAATTAGATCATTGAATATTGTTTTTATTGGTATAAATATTGATTTTGTTATCAGTAAATTAAAAGGAAACTAAATATTATTGTTATATACATATACACATTCATGGATCTACAATCTGTCGATACCTGTAAATTGGCATTGCACAAGGTCATGTTTTTCTCTGACTGTTTATGACGGTCTTTACACTAAATCGATTGGATGTTGGATGTGTACTGATTGATAATTTAGTCTTAGATGCATGATTTTTATTAGTTGTTAGTGGCTTTGAACTAGCTGTGAGTACTCTCAGATCTGTACTTAGTGTCTTTTTATTGTTGGGATATACAAGTACCCGGCCACGTCCACTCTGTGTTTTTGTTAGATGTATTTCTATTTGTATCCATCTGATGAGTTAAGCCTTTTTCGACTGATTTTTATAGTTCATTCTTATGTTGTTATGTTACACCACTGTCCCATGTTTGGGGGAGGGTTGGGATCCCGCTAACATGTTTAACCCCGCCACATTCTGTATGTATTTTCCTGTCTCTAGTCAGGAGCCTGTAATTCAGTGTTTGTCGTTTGTTGATGTGTTACATATTTGTTTTTCGTTCATTTTTTTGTACATAAATTAGACCGTTAGTTTTCTCATTTGAATTGTTTTACATTTGTCATTTTGGGGCCTTTTATAACTGACTTTGTGGTATGGGCTGTGCTTATTGTTGAAGGCCGTAAGGTGACCTATAGTTGTTAATTTCTGTGTCATTTTGTCTCTTGTGGAGAGTTGTCTCATTGACAGTCATACCACATCTTTTTTACATCACTGCATTTGTTCACGTGATTGCCATTTGATATAAAAGGAGACCTCTTAAAACGAGGTACATTGACACATCCATTAAAATGCCAAAATAAATCATAGAAAGTTCAAATGATTTAGAGGACTTCTCCGTTGTATGTTCACAGGATTTTATGACAAAATATGACTTCTTTGTTGTATGAACAAAATTGTATGTCTATATAAGACTTATATGTTGGAGGATATGACTATGACATAAGGGTTGTATAATGACATATGACTTCTCTTTCATATGAATAAAGGGATGTAGGACGACATAAAACTTCTCTGGTATATAGATGAAGGGTTGAGGATTGACTTAGGACTTCTCTTGTGTATACATTAATGGTTATATGATGACAAAGGACTTCTCTGGTGTATAAATAAATGGTTGTATGACGACATAGAACTTCTCTGTTGTATGAATACAGGGTTGTATGATTATATAAAACTTCTCTGTTGTATAAATACAGGGTTGCAGACTGCATAGTACTTCTCTGTTGTATGAATGAAGGGTTATATGAAGGACTTATGTTTTCTCTGGTGTATAATAAATGGTTATTATGATGGCATTAAACTTCTCTATTGAAAAGAAGTGTTGTATGACTACATGGTTGCAGTGCACATAGGACTTCTTGGGCGTATAAATGAAGGGCTATATGATGATTTAGGACTTCTCTGGTGTATACATGAAAGAATATATGTTGACCTAGGACTTCTCTGGTGTATAAATGAAGTGTTGTGTGACGACATAGAACTTCTCTGTTGTATGAATACGGGTTGTAGACCACAAAGGACTTCTGTGTATAATGAAGGGTTATTTGATGCCTTATGACTTCTCTTGTGTATAAATGAATGGTTAAATGATGACATAGAACTTCTCAGATGTGTGAATACTGGAATGCAGACCTCATATGACTTCTCTGTTGTATAAATGAAGGGTTATAAGATGACTCGTGACTTCTCTAGTGTATTATGAAGGATAATATGATGCCTTAAGACTTATGACATAGAACTTTTCTTTTGTATGAATAAAGGATTGTATGATGACATAGAACTTCTCTGTTGTATGAATACAGAGTTGTAGACCACATAGAATTTCTCTGGTGTATAAATGAAGGTTTATATGATGACATAGAACTTCTATGGTATATAAATAAAGGGTGAAAAAAGAGAACATATAGAATTTCACCAAATCTGGTTTATCTCGGAGATTTAAATGAAATTAACTCAAATACAAAGTTTTATGAATATCTCATGGAGATTAAGAAAATCCTGGTCCTAAACTATGATGACTCAGCATAAATTCACAGTTTACAGTATGCATAGTTTACTTAAAGGCCTGAATTCAAAATAAATTCTAAATGTATGCATATTTGTAATTTGAATTGTTTAGAAGTGCTTATATTTACTCTTTGCAGTCATTGAAACTCAAAGATCCTTCCTGAATATTATAATGTTATAACTCAAAAGAAAGCTGTAATACCTGAATGTGCTTTTCTGTGACGGCGGCATAAAAGAATACAAGCTAGAAATACAAAAATACCTCAATAAAACTAACAATAGTGTGTTCTATCCTACATATGTATTGAATATTCCATATTCACAGAAAAAGCAGAATAGTTTAGCAAATGTGAGGCCCCAGTGGCAAAAAAACAGAAAAATGCCTATCCCCTGGGTCACAAAACAGATAATTTAACCTGTAAATGCTATGATTTTATTATTTTAAAGGTCTTTTGTATAGAAAACAGTAACTGTTCTTTGAAATTATGCAAAAAGCAGATGTTAGCAGTCAGTTCTATAAAACTTTCAGTGAAGTCATACTGGTAACTTCATACATACAACTTTTGAAAATATTGCTTTGTTTAAACACTTCTTGTTCATATATTAGCTAAATTATGTTAGATATATGGTAAGAGATGATATTGTTGTGACAACATTTCTACACTGACCATTTGAGGTAGAAACTGTTAACTTTAATTGACAAATAGGCATACAGTAAGATGTGGACTGGAGACAAAGGCAGGATTGGATACTTGATATAATCTTCAATGTTGGAATGATTAACTACTAACTTTACATTTATAGTATTCTGAAATGCTTTTAATTTGTTATTAGAATAGTTTCAAACAGGTTCTAGACATTTCATGTCAGAAAACATGCACATAGGATAAGCTGACAATAATTAAAGTCTTGTTTTCAAATTCTTTAAAAAATTGAAACAGGGGGTGGGGGTATAAAATGTACTGTTAAAGAAAAGTTAGAGTATATGCAGTGATTTCTTTAAGGCTATAATTCTGATAAATATGTATTGTTGTGAGAAAAGGTGTTTTTCAAGAGTTTTCTATTTGAATAAATGTTGGTATAGGTTGCACTTTGTAAATACAGCCGTTTCACAAGCCACGCCTCTTTTGGGGAGATATATAATATTCATAGATATGTTAATTTGTTAACGTACTGGTTCCCAGATATGATCTGTGTTTCATCTCATAGAGACATAACTTGAGAATGTTACCAGGACAGAAAAAAATGGTAGCGCCTAAAATTTAATTCTGAGGAGGTCCAAAAGTGGAGGTAGGGGTAGTATAGAATTTTAGTATAAGTTTAAACTCTTAGAAGTTCAGGGCATATAAATGTTGAAAATATGCCACATAGCCCTATATTTTGACCTTTGAATGAAATAGTAGTGCATATCAACTTTCCGTTCTGGGATATAATTTTTCACGAAACTTCCTAGTAAAAGTGGCACAGTTTTAACCGCAAAGGGAGTTCCTATGGGAAATTGCATTGTCTATATTAACAGAATTGCAACCTATATGATGACAGGGCTTTTATTGTGTATAAATGAATGGTTATATGATGGCATAGAACTTGTCTTGTGTATAAATGAAGGGTTATATGATGACATAGAACTTCTCTAATGTATAAATATGGGGTGGCAGACCACATAGGACTTCTCTGTTGTATAAATGAAAGGTTATATGATGACTTATGACTTCTCTGGTGTATTATGAATA